CACGATTTTATCATTTATAAAAAAAATCTGACATGCTTGTTTATTAGAGCTTAAGATTGAAAGTTTTTACTTTTTATACGCATGTAAAAACTTAATATGCCTAGAGTATGGTTTATAATAGGTTGAGTAATACTTTAAGACTTAGGAAAAGTGTTCGTTTTGTAGGTTTTGTATTTGTCCTGAAATAAAACGTAGACGATACTACGTAGATTTCTTAGTTAGTGAAAGAATTTTTTAGTATATTGAAGAAACTAGATTGTTGATATATAAACGGATAAAAAAATAAATGTGTGGCTTATATATCTAAATTAATACAGTCGTTGCTTGTAACTCAAGGAACAATTCAACCAAAACTACTAAATCCAGATTGACATTTGTTCGAGTCAACACATTATCATCGAAACAAGCACGTATAAATTCTTGACAGTTTGAGAAAATATAATCACTAATCAAACACACCAATTCAAACGTCAAGTGCATCATAGATATATTACCACTATAAACGTGGGGGGTTTTGACCTTTGAGACATAAGAGAACACGATCTACAGAAATATTTTTTACCATTTCAAACTTATAGGTGTATAAATATATATGAATATATATGGACTGGTTCAACACATAAAATTATCTATAAATTAAGCTCTGTATCTCATATGTTTCCTACCTCTCCATTAAAACCATACTCAAGAAACAAAAACTCCTCTCACTGAAAACATTGCTTAAGTTAATATACGACCATGAAGAATCTCTCAGTTCTTGCAGTCCTATCTCTCTTGGCTTTAACACTTCCATTGACAATTGCTTCTGACCCAAGCCCCCTTCAAGACTTCTGCGTTGGCGTCAACACCCCGGCAGATGGTGGTATGAACATGACTTCCTAATTAGTATATTAATCTTTTTAGTGATTTCTCGTTTCTAATTATAACATTTCATTATTGGGTAATTGTGTTCATCAGTGTTTGTGAATGGAAAGTTCTGCAAAGACCCAAAACTTGCGACCGCGGATGACTTCTTTTTCTCAGGGCTTCAGAATGCAAGACCCGTAGGTAATGCTGTTGGGTCGAATGTGACAGCCGTTAACGTTAACAACCTTCCAGGGCTAAACACCCTTGGAATCTCTCTTGTCCGTATAGACTATGGAGTCAATGGACAGAACCCTCCTCACACCCACCCACGTGCCACCGAGATCTTGCTTGTCGCGGAAGGAACTCTTTTAGTAGGGTTTGTTACATCAAATGGTGACGGAAATCGTCTCTTCTCAAAAACACTCAACGTGGGTGATGTATTTGTGTTTCCAGAAGGACTCATCCATTTCCAAGCAAACATTGGGAAGTCACCTGCCGTTGCATTTGCTGCTCTAAGCAGCCAAAACCCAGGTGTTGTCGGTATTGCTAACACCGTGTTTGGGTCTAACCCAGCAATAGATCCCAAAGTTCTTGTGAAGGCATTTCAGTTGGATCCTAAGGCTGTGTTGGATCTACAGAACAAGTTTAAAAAGTAAAAGTTTATTGTGCTTTGAATTGCTTTGAATTTATTTAACCCTGTGTGAACGAGGATCTTGTACTAAATGCTCATTGTAGCATGACATGATGTTTGTTGTTTGCTTTTTTACCTTGATCAAATTTTTATTGTACCAATGTATTTTTCTTCAAATGAAATGAATAAATGTTTCGAACGTCAATTTGGAAACTAATTAATAAATATTTATTTTGTGATGGAGTTTCTTTAACAAAAAAAAAAAAATAATAAAAAAAGATTAAGTCCATCTTGTAACAAATTTTGTGATGGTTTACGATCAAGAAATTATATTATTGAGTGATTCGTATGACTTTGTCACAAAAAATATTGAGTCACTTTTGGTCAGCACCAATTCCAACAAAAGTACTGTACAGTGATCACATAATTGTATATTTAATAACACGATTTTATCATTTATAAAAAAAATCTGACATGCTTGTTTATTAGAGCTTAAGATTGAAAGTTTTTACTTTTTATACGCATGTAAAAACTTAATATGCCTAGAGTATGGTTTATAATAGGTTGAGTAATACTTTAAGACTTAGGAAAAGTGTTCGTTTTGTAGGTTTTGTATTTGTCCTGAAATAAAACGTAGACGATACTACGTAGATTTCTTAGTTAGTGAAAGAATTTTTTAGTATATTGAAGAAACTAGATTGTTGATATATAAACGGATAAAAAAATAAATGTGTGGCTTATATATCTAAATTAATACAGTCGTTGCTTGTAACTCAAGGAACAATTCAACCAAAACTACTAAATCCAGATTGACATTTGTTCGAGTCAACACATTATCATCGAAACAAGCACGTATAAATTCTTGACAGTTTGAGAAAATATAATCACTAATCAAACACACCAATTCAAACGTCAAGTGCATCATAGATATATTACCACTATAAACGTGGGGGGTTTTGACCTTTGAGACATAAGAGAACACGATCTACAGAAATATTTTTTACCATTTCAAACTTATAGGTGTATAAATATATATGAATATATATGGACTGGTTCAACACATAAAATTATCTATAAATTAAGCTCTGTATCTCATATGTTTCCTACCTCTCCATTAAAACCATACTCAAGAAACAAAAACTCCTCTCACTGAAAACATTGCTTAAGTTAATATACGACCATGAAGAATCTCTCAGTTCTTGCAGTCCTATCTCTCTTGGCTTTAACACTTCCATTGACAATTGCTTCTGACCCAAGCCCCCTTCAAGACTTCTGCGTTGGCGTCAACACCCCGGCAGATGGTGGTATGAACATGACTTCCTAATTAGTATATTAATCTTTTTAGTGATTTCTCGTTTCTAATTATAACATTTCATTATTGGGTAATTGTGTTCATCAGTGTTTGTGAATGGAAAGTTCTGCAAAGACCCAAAACTTGCGACCGCGGATGACTTCTTTTTCTCAGGGCTTCAGAATGCAAGACCCGTAGCTAATGCTGTTGGGTCGAATGTGACAGCCGTTAACGTTAACAACCTTCCAGGGCTAAACACCCTCGGAATCTCTCTTGTCCGTATAGACTATGGAGTCAATGGACAGAACCCTCCTCACACCCACCCACGTGCCACCGAGATCTTGCTTGTCGCGGAAGGAACTCTTTTGGTAGGGTTTGTTACATCAAATGGTGACGGAAATCGTCTCTTCTCAAAAACACTCAACGTGGGTGATGTATTTGTGTTTCCAGAAGGACTCATCCATTTCCAAGCAAACATTGGGAAGTCACCTGCCGTTGCATTTGCTGCTCTAAGCAGCCAAAACCCAGGTGTTGTCGGTATTGCTAACACCGTGTTTGGGTCTAACCCAGCAATAGATCCCAAGGTTCTTGTGAAGGCATTCCAGTTGGATCCTAAGGTTGTGTTGGATCTACAGAACAAGTTTAAAAAGTAAAAGTTTATTGTTCTTTGAATTGGTTTGAATTTATTTAACCCTGTGTGAACGAGGATCTTGTATTAACTGCTCATTGTAGCATGACATGATGTTTGTTGTTTGCTTTTTTACCTTGATCAAATCTTTATTGTACCGATGTATTTTTCTTCTAATGAAATGAGTAAATGTTTCGAACGTCAATTTGGTAATTAATGAATAAATATTTGTTTTGATATGGTCAGCATAAATATTTGTTTCTTTTAAAAAGAATTAGGTGGTTGACTTTTTTTTTTTTTTTTTTTTTTTGATAAAATGTGAAAATTTTATACCAATTTTCAGCTTTTGACAGAATTACAGAGAAAACTAAAAAAAAATTGAAAGACCAAAATCTACATACAAACAAAGTTACTAAAAGGGAAAGGATAAACAGTCCTGCCGTTAATTAGGTGGTTGACTTGCACGGTTGAACACCATATGCGGGCATTAATTTTTGTACATTAAATTGTTACTTTTTATACGCATGTAAAAACATAATATGCCTAGAGTATGAATCAAACGTAGACGATAATACGTAGATTTCCTAGCAAATTTTTCGTTTTCTAATTTTTGTATTCGTGTTGAAATAAAACGTAGACGAGAATACGTAGATTTCTTAGCAATTTTTTCGTTTTGTAATTTTTGTATTCGTGTTGAAATAAAACGAAGACGATATACGTAGATTTCTTAGTTAGTGAAAGTATGTTTTAGCATTTTGAAGAAACTAGATTGTTGATAGATAAACGGATACAAAAATAAATTTGTGGCTTACAGATCTAAATAAATACAGTCGTTGCTTGTAACTCAAGGAACAATTCAACCAAAACTACTAAATCCAGATTGACATTTGTATAAACCCGAACGGATCCATAAAATTTAGCCCTGAACCGACCCGAACCCGACAGGAACCGAATCGAAACCGAACCAAAATTTTCCTAAACCCGAACGGGTCTAAAATTTAGCAACCCGAAAAGACTCGAACCCGAATAGAACCGACCCGAACCCGAACCGAAACCCGAACTCCCAGGCCTAGTTTTTCCTTTATACATTCGTCTATATATAATAAGAATCATTTGTTATCCGTTCATTGTAATGTAACATTGTTGGTCGTTGACTCGTTGTTGTAACCTTTATGGAGTTGGCAAAAGTATTACAGTATGTGACAACATATTATTAATTAACACGTTTCCAGTTTAGTGTAAGGAGGTCACTTACACGTTTGACTTATTAACTAGCATATGGTTCCAATTTCTATGTTTCAATTTGCGGCTCCAATCCCTGTCCTTTTGTTTCCTTGCCCTATTTTTCACTAGCGTTAATTTTCTTTGTTTAAGTGAAAAACAGATTAAGGAAATTGGGCTTCTTCACCTTTACAAATCACAGGCCCAGAACTAATGATCAAATTAGAAGCCCACATTATTCAAAGAAAATTACATATTAAAATCATTGAGAACGTCGTTCAAGGGTAATGACAACAAGAAACATCATGTCACGTCATTTCTTATTGATGAACGTGGTGATACATGATCCTTTATTCAAACAAAGGTAAAGAAAACGAAAGCAACTAAAAGTTCAGTATTGTTTCAGTCGATGGTCCGAATATGGCCTGTAGTTTCCTGATTATTGTAGAGTCCAACTGAAACGACGTTGCAAGAACATCCGGGTTTATCGGCGGGTTAGACCCAAAGACGGTGTCAGCAATAAAGACAGTACCAGGGTTTTGACTGTTCAAAGATGCGAATGCAACTGCTGGGACATCTCCTATGTTGACTGCGAAATGGAGGACTCCCTGAGGAAATACAAACACATCTCCAACGTTAAGCGTTTTGGTGAAGAGGCGTTGGTCGGAGACAAAGCCTGCCAAAAGTGTTCCTTCTGAAACACCCAAGATCTCGCTGGCACGTGGATGGTAGTGAGGCGGGACTTGCCCGTTCACCGCAACATCTGCACGGGCAAACGATATTCCGAGGGTGTTTAACCCTGGAACGTTATCAACATTGGCAAATGTCACATTTACTCCATACATATTATTTGTGTCTTTTCGCTCGTTAAGCCCTGTGTAAAAGAAGTCATCCGCTGTGGCAAGTGTTGGGTCTTTGCAGAACTTTCCGTTCACAAACACTTTACATAATAACCAAATAAAAGGGCATAAGAAATGAGAAAATCAATGAAATATATTTTACCAAAAAAAAAAAAAATGAAAGATTAGCTCATAAAGGATTAGGAATTTCGGTAATGTAACATACCACCATCTGCTGGGGTGTTTACACCGACGCAGAAGTCTTGAACTGGGCTTGGGTCAGAAGCAATGGCGAATGGAAAGATTAAAGGAAAGAGTGACAAACTTGCAAGAAATGAGAGACTCTTCATTGGAATATATTTGTCGAAGCAAATTAGAAAGAGTGGAAGGTTTTTTTTTATTTTCTTGAATTAGGTTTTGACGGAGAGGTAAGAAACTTATGAGGCAAAGAGCTTAATTTATAGATGAACTTCGGTATTAAACAAGTCAATGGATGGGGAGGATCGAAAAGAAAATTTTACGTGGAGAACAAATATTTTTCTAACTACCGGTGGATGAAGTATATCGTGCTATATTATTGAATGTACATTTGATATATATACATTCGATATTTTAATAATAATAATATATATATGTATAAATAGTTAAGCATCAATTAGTTATTTAAAAAAGTTATTGTCCAGCTAGTTCATTTTAAGTAAAAAATACCGTGGAAGAGTTTTCTGACAAATTGAAATGTTGAATTTTAGCAAGTAAGAACATTTCCGAAGCTTTTTGAAAAGTGATAATATATCTTCTTCAAAATTGAATGGGAGCACGTATTAGATCTCTATAAGCTCTGCATCTCTTGTTTTCTGTTTGGATAGAATTTGTCTCCAAGCTATTTCTAGTATTTAACATACAAAGTTATCGATCAAGAAAAAACGTGTTCGATCAAGTTTGAATCACTACCCATGTGACAATTACTGAAGATATACTAAAAAAAGACCAGTACATCTAACATTTAATGAAGGTCAGTTCCTCTCTCTCTATATCTCTTTTTTTTTTTAATTATTGGGAGGTTTTGAGTTTTTGCTCTTAATTTAATTTTTTTTGGTTGAATTATAAAATTGATCTCTTTACATTTTTTTTTCTTATTTAGAATGATCTCTTTACTCTTTTTTTTTTTATAAACAAAAAAGTCCACTGTCATGGACAACTTGAAAAAAGATTGTCGGTTACAATTATTTTTTCAATAGATGTTGTCTTAAGAAAAAAGTATTGAGGCATGGTTTGTAATTTTTAAAACAGTTTATAATTCCATGTAAAACAGGGTATTTGGATTCTTATACTTTTAAGTTTTAACCAATAAAATCCCTTTAAACATCTCAAAATCATAGAAGTCACTTAAATTTCATCACTTAAAAATATTTTTAATAATACAGGATTTTAAAGTACATTTTAAAACTCCAATTCAATAATTTTACACCACTTTTTAGAAAAATCACCTTATATCATCTTGAAATCCTCATTTGAATTGAATACAACCCCAATGACTTTATGATCAACCCCAAAAACTGAATAAAAATAATCTTGTGGATCTCGATGATTTTAGCTCATTCTTTATACCATGCACAACGCATTTAATTAGGCCAGTATAATTATTGAACATACATCTCTGGAATCAAAGCTATAATGTAGTTAAATAACCAATAAAACTACAAACTAAAAACAATAAATAAAACTACAGAACGTGTTTATCAAGCAATATACTAATATTGAAAAGAATCTTCATGCAGATCTCGATTGGTTTATGCTCGTTATTTAATTCACCATGCACAAGTCACTTAATTAGACCAACATAATTATTACTATTTTTTTTGTAAAAGACCAACATAATGTTTGACCACAAATGTCATTTCAAATAAAGTTGTAACCCACCGGGTGGGATTCTTGGTTGCCAGGTTAACGTAATAAAAACGACCAACACTGTCTCACAAGTGTTTTTCCATCCACAGAGAACCTCTAAAAAATTCTCAAACAATAATATTTTAGTGTAGTTACATTTTATAATTAAATTTCAAAAAGTAATTAAACAAGTGAAAATTTAACACGTGTGTTTATTTTTCTCTTATTCTATGAAATACTTTTTTGAGAACCTCTCAGTGGGATGCTTTTACGTAGTAGTACTTGAAGTGGATTACATGCAAAAGTACTGCGTTAAGTGGATTGCATCCAAAAGTCACGTTTGTCTTATTGATGAAACGTCATGGAAAATACATGTTCCTTATTCAGACAAAGGTAAAGAAAAGGAAAACGAAAGCAATTAAAAGTTGAACATTGTTTCAGTCGATGATCCGATCATACGAATATGGTCCGTGGTTTCATGATTATTGTAGAGTCCAACTGAAACGCCTTTGCAAGAAATTTCGGGTTTATTGACGGGTTCGACCCAAACACGGTGTCAGCAATAAAGATCGTACCAGGGTTTTGACTATTCAAAGAAGCGAACGCAACTGCTGGGACCTCTCCAATGTTCACTACGAAATGGATGACTCCCTGTGGAAACACAAAAACGTCTCCTACGTTTAGCGTTTTGGTGAAGAGGCGTTGGTCGGACACAAAACCTGCCAAAAGTGTTCCTTCGGAAACACCCAAGATCTCGCTGGCACGTGGATGGTAGTGAGGCGGGACTTGCCCGTTCACTCCAACATCTGCACGGGCAAACGATAGTCCGAGGGTGTTTAACCCTGGAACGTTATCAACATTGCCAAATGTCACATTGAAACCAAATGGATTATTTGTTTCTTTTCGCTGATTAAGCACTGTGAAATAGAAGTCCTCAGCTGTGGCAAGCGTTGGGTCTTTGCAGAACTTCCCGTTCACTAACACTGAACATAATAACAAAGAGTATAATAAATTAAACGAGAGATCAATGGAAGATGAGCGCAACAACGATTAGGAAACCATCATGTACAAACCACCATTTGCCGGGGTGTTTACGCCAACGCAAAAGTCTTAAACTGGGCTTGGGTCAGAAGCAATGGCGAATGGAAAGGTTAAAGCCAAGAGGGATAGACTTGCAAGAAATGAGAGACTCTTCATTGGCTGTATTTATCGAAGCAATTCTCAGAATAGAGATTTTTTTTTTTTTTTCTTGAATAAGGTTTTGATGGAGATGTGAGAAAACTTACGAGACAGCGGAATTTATAGGTGAATTTTAGGGGTAATTAAGCCTAGAATGACATTCAAACAATTACAGAATAAAGGAAATAGATGAAAATGACGGATGTGTAATAGTAAGACGATTGGAATATTAAAATATGAAAGTTTTGAACAAGGTATAAGAATAATCTTTTAACATTCATTAAATGGATTTTGTATATTCAGTATTTTTTGTTATAAATACATGTATTTATGTACATTCAGTACTTTTATGAACAGATATATAAATATTTTATTGCAAAAAATATATGTTTAAAACATATCTGTCCGGCCTTTTTTGTAAAAAAGATTTTAAGGTTTTTTTTTAATCTGAAATTTTGAATTTTGGCCAAACTCGAAAGTTTTTGTGAGAAATTGAATTGTTAAGCAAGGAACTTTTTGGAAGCTTGGTGTGCTCTTCTTCTATTTCTTTTCTTTCAGAAAGTAATAATATATAGTCTTCTTTAGTTAGAAAAACAAAATCATAAATATTAAGAAAAGAATAAGGAGCACGTAATAGGTTTTTGGAGAGGCCTTAAGAATTTGCCGCATTAGGTCTAAAAGCTATTTCCAGTATTTGATTTGATCAAGTTTGGTGCGTGAAGGTACATCAGCTGTGCTAAACATAAACCGACTTACAAAGCCTTTTCTTGTTGGTGCGTGAATTGGATTGCATGCAAAAGTAACTCCTTAAACATTAATCCATTCTTGACAGAAACAAAAAAACTAATATATTAATTCATTCAGAACATCGTCCAGGTGTAATGACAACGACCAACATCATGTCACGTCATTACATTACTATGAACATGAAACGTAATCCATTTTTTTGTATAAGATGGATGGATAATACATGATCCTTAATCCTTATTCAGACAAAGTAAAGAAAACGAAAGTAACTAAAATCTCAGTATGTTTTAATATTCGATGAATCATCGAATTTGGCCTGTAGATCCATGATCGCCGTGACGTCCAACCGAAACGCCTTTGCAAGAACATCCGGGTTTATCGGCGGGTTAGACCCAAACACAGTTTCAGAAATATAGGTAGTACCTGGGTTCTGACTGTTCAAAGCAGCGAATGCAACTGCTGGGACTTTTCCCACGTTGGCTGCCAAATGGACTTGTCCCTGTGGAAACACAAAAACGTCTCCCACGTTTATCGTTTTGGTGAAGAGACGTTTGTCGGACGTGACAAAACCGACCAAAAGTGTTCCTTGTGAGACACCTAAGATCTCGCTGCTACGTGGATGGAAGTGAGCCGGGATCAGTCCGTTCACTGCAAAATCTGCACGTGCGAACGATATTCCGAGGGTGTTTAACCCTGGGACGTTATCAGCACTAGCAAATGTCACAAATGATCCAAGCTCATTATCTGTGTCTTGCGTCTCGTTAAGCCCTGTGAAAAAGAAGTCATCCGCTGTAGCAAGGCTTGGGTCTTTGCAGTACTTTCCGTTCACATACACTGAACATAATAACCAAATAGCAGACAATAAGATATGAGAAATGAGCGTCAAAACGATTAGGAAGTCATCACGTATATTATATACATACCACCATCTGCCGGTGTGTTGACGCCGACGCAGAAGTCTTGAAGCTGGCTTGGGTCAGAAGCAATGGCGAATGGAAATGTTAAAGCCAAGAGAGATAGACTTGCAAGAACTGAGAGACTCTTCATTGGTTTTTATCTTTTGTTTTCTCGTATTAGGTTTTGATGGAGAGATATGAATCTTATGAGACTATAGAGCTCAATTTATAGATGAACTAAGGTACTGAACTAGTCTATGCAGGGACAAGGAGGATCCAAAAGTAAACTTTATTAATTAGGAGAATAAAATATTACAGCAAAAATAAATTAAATATTAATTTTAGATATTTGAGTATTGCTTATATAGGTAATTGAAAATGGAGAATACTGAATTAATTATATGAAAACAATATGATATACTGTTTCAAATAGTGTGAATTGTTTTACTCTCACAATGTAATACTAGTAGTTAAAGAAGATGGAAGAATGAAGATACACTAGAAATTTACAATGTAATACTAGTAGTTAAAGAAGAATGAAGATACACTAGAAATTTAGAACATAGGTGATTTGATTGATTTCTTTTTGGGGAAAGAATCTGCCGCTGGGGTAGGTTTACGTGTTTGATAAAGTTTGAACACTATCCCACATGTAGCAATTAACGAAGTAGACAAATCCACACAATTATAGTTATTTTATTCCGAAAATCACGAAATCCAATAAATATTGAAGATATTGGCCCTAGTCTTGTAATTTTGCTAATGTGTCAGCGTTATATGTTTTCTCAATTTTTTACTCATTCCTTTTTTTTTGGTCAACAACCTTTCTTTCCTTTTTTTCTAACCGATTTTCAACTCATCCACTATTTTATTTGTCACATAGTGTCTGACTACAAACAACAAGAGACTTATGAATACTCAAAATCTAAATTGCTAAAGTTGAGAAAAAGTTCTATAGCCAAGTTAAAGGCATAAAAAAATTCCGAACATATTTTATATCATTTTTTCTTTCATTTTCATAATAAATTTTAAACTTAACATATAGAAAATTATTATACAAATAAAATTTTGCAACTACAGATTTTTTTATATATTTGGAAATTGTCTTACAAAGAAATTAATCCCATGCAGAGCAGAGCTTCCCTAAACCTGTGTATTAAAAATCTCCAGAAAACAAAAATTAACAACAATTAACGAAGATATTGCGCATAGCAAAGTGATAATATTGTCTATAACAATTAATGAAGTTATTTAAACTTCCTTAGTTTTCCGTGATTTGATTCCAAATATCACGAAGTCCAACATATAACAGTTAATGAAAATATTGTCTGTAAGGAAAGTGATTTGGTGTCGAAAAGCGCAGTGAGGAAATATTATTGTAATCCAACGGTGACCCAACAGAATCGTGGAGGAAGCGGGGTGAAGAGGACTGGTTTGGTTACAATCAAGAATCGAAGAATTAAAGCCACATAGAGTCATAAAATACTTGTTCGATAGCCATGCGTTCTAAGCGTACAAAAATAAACATTTTCACAACGCTTATTTGGCGTGAAAAAAAAAAACTATAACCATGATTATGAGTAGTTAAGTCTAATCTAGCATAGAGTACAATCTAACTCATGAGAACATATAGATCTTAAACATGAGGATTCAACCATGAACACCGATATCTACATATATAACCGGCCAATCCCCACAAGTGAGTTTATTCACAATTCACAAACTCACTTATGAACATGCTATGAACACAAAGGTAAATACATAATGAAATTGTATAAATTAAGTAATTAGATGACATATAAACCAAAGATAAACTTGAAACTCTTAATGTAAATGAATGATATAAGTGACTGTAGCATGAAAGAGTTTAGATCAGGAGAGTTAATTCGACATATGACTCCAAAACATATCTTGTCTAAAAAAAAGTCCAAAACATATGGCTAAGAGACAATAAAATTAAAAACAGATAAAACATATATCTACTTTTAAAATATAAGTCCACTATCTTGTAAACTTCTCACCCCCATACGTTTCTAACAACACGCTTTTGTCAAGATACTTTTAAAAACTCGAAAATGACAACTTTCAAAGTTGAAACATTGAAATAGTTTCCCAAACAATTCCACTCTCTCGTAAACATCTCACCCCATACCACAACCTCCCAATCCCATACCAAAAAAGCAAGATAAAAACTGAGGTCGTATAAAAGAAAAGTCAAATTCCCTTAATATTTTATATTTGATTTCAATTAAAGAATATATATGGTCATTTTGAACGAAATACGAGCATACCAAGCCTACAAAATATTAAATTTTACAACTGTAACTCTTAATTTTCAATGCCTCAGAAAAACTGATCTTTCACTTTGGGGAAAAAAATCGTGATAAATCTTTTTAGTCACGGAATTGGGACACTACAGGCCCTATATTAGTGATTAAGACGTTATATATATAGTCAATTAGTATTGGAAACAATCAGAAAATTCACAATCATAACAATGATAAGAATAAGTCACATCATTGACATTAATAGTGATAACCTAAGCCTTTTCAACGCTAATTCGTAGGTAAATTTGTGACGAGTACGCTTCCTCACCGCAATTCTACATGTTCTGTCTTGGCATGTTGCAACGTCTCTTTCCGTAAACTATTAAGATAGATTTCAAATGGGGCCATTTTGGAATAATAATATGTTCTTTATTTGTAATGTTAATTAAATTAATTAATAAATAAACTAGTATAAGAAATGAAAACAAATATAAATTCTAAATTAAAAGTTTATACATTTATTTTTTCTTGAACTGAATCGAACGTTACATAAGACATATGCCAACATCGTCGATTAAGAAAAACTTTAGAGGATGACAAAAAAAAAAAAAAAAAAAAAAAACTTTATAGTTAACGAATTAAGAACATTTACACGTTGTAAAAAAATCAATTCTACTATATGAGTTGTTGTGAAGCAAAAAAACTTTCAACCTTTACTTCACTAATAATCTGATGTTCAACTGGAGAGAGACGTTCAAGTAAGTACGTGAAGAAGACCCGGTTTCTTCATCAAAGAAGAATGAAAACGTGGTGTGAGAAGCAAAGCAACCCAAGAATTAAATATCTAAGTTACGAGTAAAATATTATAGAGCGGTTCACTCTCGACGTCTCGTCACCATGCGTCGAAAGCTTTATTGGAAAAGAGGTAAGGAATTCCCTCTTATCCGTGAAGTCTGACGCCAACAACGAAGAGATGATGAATGAAACAATGTAAGCTGCCCACCACCACTAAATCGAAACCTCTGTTCAGCTAATTTGGATTTTGTTGATCTGTTATTTCATGCTCTGTTTTAGCTTTAATCTGTTAGCTTCTTGCTTGTTTTCCGAACCCATTCGTAACTACGATGAGTCAATGTATATTTGTTCTTTTGTTGATTTAATGAATATCTCAGTTAAAAAAAAACAAAAAAACGAATTAAAGCGGTGACTTCAATACTGAGAAGTGGAAGTGATAGTTAGAATAATTTAACAAGAAAAAATTATTTTAATGATCAAATATCAGTTTTAAGAAATGTTAGTATAGTCTTTCTAAACTTTCAAAACATTAAGGTAAATATTTACTACTAATTATTCATAAACCCTTTTAGTAATGTCTTATGCTCAGGGTAGAATTCACTTATGTACTAGGCTTTTTAGAATTTCACTTCTGTACTAGTCTTTCAAATGTGCAGGATTGTGCAACAAGGAACAACAGATAAGACAGATCAAAGTATCAAACGTTTACAAAGTGTAGTTCTGTGGGACAATTAGATCATGCGAAACAAGTGGGGCATGATGAAACAGATAAACGTTGAATGATATATATATTAAAACGTGGTACAAATATGTTAATTAATTTCTTCTAATCTTTTGGATGGCCTTAAGAACTTTTTTATAGATAGAACTGTATGGATGCGTCTATTTAACCCATATGATTTTTTCTACATTTTGTGAACAGAAGAGGGAAAAAAAAAGATAAACCACGTCCTAAAGTCTAAAGAAACCTAATTAATATCGACCTAACAAAAAGAAAGGTGTGGATTATATGATTGCCTTGCTATTTTGAACCGCATGCATCTTTCAATTCTTCTAATATCCAAAACTTAACAAACGGACTACACTTCCTCATTTACGATGAAAGCTGAGATAATCTTTACCCCACCACCTAGAAACGTCCCATACCTTAATTCATCTATAAATTGAGCACTAAGTTTCTTAGCTTTCCATCGAAACATTATTCAAGAAAGAAAAAAAGAAAACCTTTCCTCTCTTCTACAAACAGATGCCAATGAAGAGTATCTCATTTCTTGCAAGTCTGTCTCTCTTGGCTTTAACATTTCAATTCGCCATTGCTGCTGATCCAAGCCAACTACAAGACTTCTGCGTTGCCATAAACTCCCCAGTAAATCTTGGTACGTATGTACATGATGATTTACTAATCGTTTTTACGCTCATATTTCACTGATCTTTCATTTCTTTATTTGGTTACTATGTTCAGTGTATGTGAACGGAAAGTTCTGCAAAGACCCAGCGTTTGCCACAGCGAATGACTTCTATTTCACAGGGCTTAACCAGCCAAAACCCACAAACAATAGGCTTGGATCATTTGTCACATTTGGCAATGTTGATAACGTTCCAGGGCTAAACACCCTCGGACTATCCTTTGCCCGTGCAGACTTTGCAGTGAACGGGTTAGTTCCACCTCACTACCATCCACGTGCCAGCGAGCTCTTGTTTGCCGCAGAAGGAACACTTGTGGTAGGTTTTGTCGCGTCCGACCAACGCCTCTTCACCAAAACGCTAAATGCGGGAGATGTATTTGTGTTTCCACAGGGACTCATCCATTTCGCAGCCAACGCAGGTAATGTCCCAGCAGTTGCATACGCTGCTTTGGGCAGTCAAAACCCTGGTACTATCTTTGTTGCTGAGAACGTGTTTGGGTCTAACCCGCCAATAATCCCCGCTCTCCTTGCAAAGGCATTTCAGCTGAACGTCACTACGATCATGGATCTACAGGCCAAATTCTAATCTTAAAGCAAAAACTACTAAGCTAATAATCATTTCTGTTGTTTTCCTTACCTTGGTATGAATAAGGATTAATGTATTATCCATATACCTCTTATCAAATAATATAATGTATTACCAATCCCTTTCATCAAATACACAATACCGTAACTTTATGTTGGCCGTTGTCTTAATCCTTAAAAGACGTGTTCAGTGTTCTCAGTGAGTTAGTATTTTATCAGCTCAACAGGGTATGTCTATTCTTACCTTTGAAACGAATTTTGATATTTTTATGTCGCTTTGTGACACTCACTAGTTTTCCTGCTCCTGTTTCAGGGAACATATATACAAAAATAGAGAAAACATATAAATTGTCAACCAACAACCGGAAAACGTAACTAACCTATCAAAATATCTAACCATGTCATTGAGGAAAATGATAAACACACAAATAGTTATAAAAAATTATATGAAAAAAAACTCACACATAAAAGCGTTGAAACATTCAAATAATTATTTCTCAAACAAGTCCACTATCCTACGGAAGGAATTAGAGCGCTGACTTCAAAACTAAAAAGTGGAGGTGATATTTACAAGTAAAGATAAGATTAAATGTTCTTCTAATACTCAATTAATGTTCAAATATTGAAATAAGTTGATATTCATATGTATAAATTGCATATTTATTGAGTTATTTTGTTGATAAAGGGTCAGTGGGAAGATTATTTAGTTGGAAATGCTACTCGATGTTCTTTAAACAATAAGGTATGTATTGTTTAACAAATACTTTATTTGATATATATTTATATAATAACAGCAAAATTAACTAGCTAATTAATCAGATTCAATTACTGATCAAGGTGAAAAAAAAATTATTGACTACTTTAGATAAAAGTCTAGAGGTGACACTCAGGAAAGAATTTGCTCTTCAAAATAGAATTATATTACATGGTTTTAGCCTGGCCCTAGGGAGTGTACTGGTTCACGAGCCCAAAACCTCTAGTCATTAAGAATTCAATTCCACTATATGAGTTGTTGTGAAGCAATAAAACTTTCAACCTATGTTCAACTGGAGAGAGCCGTTCAAGTAAGTACGTGAAAAAGACACGGTTTCTTCATCAAAAAAGATTGAAAACGTTGGTGTGAGAAGCAAAGCAACGCAAGAATTAAATATCTAAGTTACGTGTAAATATTATACAGCGGTTCAACCAGGGCGGCTCAAGTTTATTTTAAGCCTGGCAAAAAAAAAATTTAGACTCCTTCTTAATACCTTTTTCAATTTTTTTAATCTATTTTTAATGAAAAAAAAATAAGTTTATCATAAAATAAATGGTTATGAGAGAAAATATGTGTCTAAAAAGTATATATATTCTAATAACAAAACAAAATTTAATCTAAACATTATTAAAAAAAAAAAATTGTGCCCCTATAGCTTGGAGCATGTGACCGGCCTGGTGCGTCGAACCATAGAGCTGACTGTATGGATGGATCTATTTAACCCATATGAGTTTCTCTACATTTTGTGAACAAAAGAGAAAATAAAAATGAAAACCATACCCTAAAGTCTAAACAAACCTAATTAATACTTTTACAAAATAAAAACAAACCTAATTAATATGAACCTAACAAAAAGAAAGGTGTCGATATTATATAATTGCCTTGCTATTTTGAACCGCATGCATCTTTCAACTTTTCTAATATTCAAAACTTAACAAACGTCGGACCACACTTCCAACATTTATGATGAAAGCTGACTTGAAGATAAACTTTACCCCACCACCCAGAAACGTCCCGTACCTAAATTCACTCTATAAATAGAGCACTGTGTCTCATAAGTTTCTTATCTCTCCATCGAAACATAATTCAAGAAAACAAAGAAAAACATTTCCTCTCTTCTACAAACATATGTCAATGAAGAGTATCTCATTTCTTGCAAGTTTGTCTCTCTTGGCTTTAACATTTCAATTCGCCATTGCTGCTGATCCAAGCCAAGTTCAAGATTTCTGCGTGGCAACAAACTCCCCAGTAAATGGTGGTATGTACATGGTGATTTACTAATCGTCTTTACCCTTATCTTGCATTGCTTTCTCATTTCTTGTACTCTCTTTTATTTGGTTTATTATATGTTCAGTTTCTGTCAACGGAAAGTTTTGCAAGGACCCAGCGCTTGCCACAGCGGATGACTTCTATTTATCAGGGCTTAATGTGCGAAAATCCACAAATAATCAAATTGGTTCCAATGTGACATTTGGCGGTGTTGATAACGTTCCAGGGTTAAACACCCTCGGAATATCGTTTGCACGAGCAGATATTGGAGTGAACGGTCAGGTCCAACCTCACTACCATCCACGTGCCAGCGAGATCGTGGGTATCACAGAAGGAACAGTTTTGGTAGGTTTTGTCGCGTCCGACCAACGCCTCATCACCAAAACGCTAAACGTGGGTGATGTATTCGTGTTCCCACAAGGACTCATCCATTTCGCAGCCAACGTGGGACAAGTCCCAGCAGTTTTATTCGCTACTTTGAACAGTCAAAACCCTGGTACTATCTTTGTTGCTGAAAACGTGTTTGGATCTAACCCGCCGATAACCCCGGCTCTCCTTGCAAAGGCCTTTCAGCTGAACGTCACGACGATCATGGAGCTACAGGCCAAATTCTGATCATAAAGCAACAGTTATTAAGCTTATAATTTATGTTTTTTTTCTTTACCTTTGTATGAAGAAGGATTAATGTCTTATCCATATCCCTCTCAAATAATATAAATCAATTAATATTTTGGTCATCATAGAAGATTGCAAACGTTGGTGTGTGAAGAGAAACAACAACGGTGGTTATTACAGTTATAGAACCAAAAAGAAACGAGTTCCTCCTGTTGATCCTTTGTCTCACGAAACTCCTAATTCCTTCATCGAAACCTCTATAAGTAGCGTTAAATGGCCTTTTCATCTTCATCACCTACAAACGAAATCCCGAAACAGGAAACGTGACTCTCGAATGGAGTTTCCATGCAACATAAAATTCAACAGAAATACAAATGTATTTTTTAAAATTTTGTTTTTTATAAATGAAAATGTTTACTATTTATTACATGAGAAATCAATACAGTCCTAAAATGAGCAATAAGCCAATAACCCCGAGGTGACTCTTAACCAAGTGGAATGGAACCAAGAACATGATTTTGAACCGAAGGATAATCTTTGTGGGGATTGAACTGAATTCTTCTACGACACAAAAATTTGACCGATGAGGAAAACCTTATCTCCATCGAAGCATGACAATTGGAGACCTAATTTGATGTACATATGTAATGCCCTGACTGACATAATTCATGGGCTCCTAGGCCTTCTCTCAGTTTGTGGATCTCACATTTGCTATTCCAGGAAGCTCGAAAACATTGTCAGACAGATCCTATAAATCACCACATGATATTTTCCAAGTTTTGTTCCAACTCTGACTGTCCTATAAATAATTTTCCCAGTAGGCCCACCTCTGCACGTTTAACTAACGGAGTTCACACGGAAGAGCATATTTCGAAAGCAAAAAGGGTAGTTTGAGAGAGGGAAGAGTGACAGTTGGGACAGCCTTTGGAACGAGCCTGGTGGGTTCAAGCGGAGTGCACCAATGATTCAACATTTTTCTTTTGTTGCATGTCATTTTTATTTCCCAGCATCAAACAAATAGTATAATTTACATGATGTACAAAAATAAAGTATTCGCAACTTATGGTTTAATACGTAGGAAAATTTTATTAATCAGTGTAGTTAATTCGATATAACAATAAAGGAGACTCATAAACAAAAGATTAAGAAACAATAAGAAAAAATGATAAAAGAGTGTAAAAACCGATTAGGAAGTCATCACGTATATATACATAGCACCATCGGCCGGTGTGCTTACGCCGATGCAGAAGTCTTGTAGCTGGATTGGGTCAGAAGCAATGGCGAATGGAAATGTTAAAACCAAGGCAAGAGGGATAGACTTGCAAGAACTGAGAGATTCTTTAAAAAGTTATGTATGTTTTTGTTAACCAAATATTTTATTTGACATAAATTTGTATATTAACAGCAAAATTAACCAGCTAAGTAATCAGATTCAATGACGCATCAAGGTAAAAAAAATAAAAATTGACTACAATAGCATATAAAATTTGTATCTTCTAGTCGCATCATCAAGCAATTATTATCTACATTGTCCAAAATATAAAGAGTTTACAACTTCTGAGTTTCTTAGCATAAATGATAACAATAATCAATCAGGAGAGTTAATTCGACATATGACTAAAGTAAAATCCAAAACATATTTTATCCTAAAAAACTCCAAAACATATGGCTTATAAATAATAAAAACAGATAAAACATATAACTACTTTAAATAAGTCCACTATCTTGTAAACTTCTCACCCCCACACGTTTCTAACAACACGCTTTTGTCAAGATACTTTTTAAAACTCGAAAAGACAACTTCCAGAGCTGAAACATTGAAATAGTTTTCCAAACAGTCCACTCTCTTGTAAACATCTCATCCCATAGAGACCCAGGTCGTATAAAAGAAAAGTCTACCCAATAATATTTTATATTTTCTTTTCAATTAAAGAACATATGGTCAGTTTTCAATTGCTCAGAAAATTTGATCTATCACTTTGGGGAAAAATTCATGATGAATCTTTTTAGTCACGGATTTAGGATACTACAGGTTCTATATTAGTGATTAAGATGTTATATACTGTATTAGTATATATACTCACAAGAACCAAATATATATTAAGAAGAAAAAAATATAGTCAATTAGTAATGGAAACAATTAGAAAATTCACAATCATAACAATGATAATACTAAGTCACATCAATGACATTAACAGTGATAAATAATAATAAGTCGGTAACCTAACCCTTTTCAACCCTAATTCGTAGGTATATAAATTTGTGACGAGTACGCTTCCTCTTGTGTCTATGAGTTTGCAGCCATACATTCACCGCAATTCTACATTTCCTGTCTTGGCATGTTGCATGCAACGTGTCTTTCCGTAAACTATTAAGATAGATTTGAAATGGGCCATTTTGGAATAATAATATGTTTCTTTTTTTGTAATGTTAATTAAAATTAAATAATAAATAAACTTAATATAAGAAATGAAAAAAAAATATAAATTCTAAATTAAAAATTATAACATTATTTTTTTCTTAAACTGAATCGAACGTTACATAAGACAAAAAAATTATAGTTACAGAATTAAGAACAATTACACGTTGTTTTTTTTTTTTCTGGAAAAAGAATTCAAATCCACTATATGAGTTGTTGTGAATTAGCAAGAAACATTTACTTCTCCAACAATCTGATGTTCAAGTGGAGAGAGCCGTGTAAGTAAGTACGTGAAGAAGACACGGTTTCTTCATCAAAAAAGATTGAAAACGTTGGTGTGAGAAGCAAAAAAACGCAAGAATTAACTATCTCAGTTACGAGTAAAATATTATAGAGCGGTTCAACGTGTTGACTCTCGCCACCATGCGTCGAAAGCTTTATTGATAAAGAGGTAAGGAATTGCCTCTTATCCGTGAAGTCTGACACCAAAAACGAAGAGATGATGAATGTTAGCTTCTTGCTATGGTTTTCCTAACTCATTCGTCACTACGATCAATCAATGTATATATTTGTTCTTTTGTTGATCTAATAAATATCTCAGTTCTACAAAAATAAAGCGGCGCAATTCATGTGTCACAATTGGATCATGCGAAACAAGTGGTGCAGAATGAAGCAAATTAATAAACGTTGAATGATAAATATATAAAACGTGGTAGAAATTTAATAATTTATTAATTTTTCTAATATTTTTTATGGCCTAAAGATTTTCGTACTAATAGAGCTGCATGGATGGATCTATTTAACCCATAGTTTTTCTACATTTCGTGAACAAAAGAGAAAACAAAAATGAAAACCACACCCAAAAGTCTAAACAAACCTAATTAACACGGACCTAAACAAAAAGAAACGTGTCGATTATATGATTCCCTTGCATGCATCTTTCAATTTTTCTAATATACAAAACATAACAAACGGACCACACTTCCATCATTTATGAATGAAAGCTGACTTGAAGATAATCGTTACCCCACCATCTAGACACGTACCGTACCTTAATTCACTCTATAAATTGAGCACTATGTCTCATAAGTTTCTTATCTCTCTTCTACAAGTAGATGTCAATGAAGAGTATCTCATTTCTTGCAAGTCTGTCTCTCTTTGCTTTAACATTTCAATTCGCCATTGCCGCTGATCCAAGCCAACTTCAAGACTTCTGCGTGGCAACAAACTCCCCAGTAAATGGTGGTACGTATGTACATGATGATTTACTAATCGTTTTTACGCTCATCTTTCATTGATTACTCATTTCTTAAATATACTCTCTTTTTTAATTTGGATGATTATATGTTCAGTTTACGTGAACGGAGAGTTCTGCAAAGACCCAGCGCATGTCACAGCGGATGACTTCTTTTTCCCAGGGCTTAATGTGCGAAAATCCACAAATAATCAAATTGGTTCCACTGTGACATTTGGCTATGTTAATAACGTTCCAGGGTTAAACACCCTCGGACTATCCTTTGCCCGAGCAGATATTGGAGTGAACGGTCAGGTCAAGCCTCATATCCATCCACGTGCCAGCGAGATCTTCGGTGTCGCAGAAGGAACAATTTTGGCAGGTTTTATTTCGTCCGACCAACGCTTCTTCACAAAAATCCTACACGTGGGAGATGTAATGGTGTTCCCACAAGGACTCATCCATATCACAGCCAACGTGGGAAATGTCCCAGCAGTTGCATTCGTTGGTTTGAACAGTCAAGACCCTGGTGTTATCTTTGTTGCTGAAAACGTGTTTGGATCTAACCCACCGATAAACGCGACTATTCTTGCAAAGGCGTTTCAGCTGAACGTCACGACGGTCATGGAACTACAGGCCAAGTTCTGATCATAAAGCAAAAGTTATTAAGCTTATAACGTATGTTGTTTTCTTTACCTTTGAATGAATAAGGATTAATGTATTATCCATATCCCACTTATCAAATAATGTAATGTATTACCAATCCCGTTATTCAAATACACAATTAACATGATGTTGGTCGTTGTCAATGAATTAATATTTTGGTTATCATAGAAGATTGTAAGCGTTGGTGTGTGAAGAAAAACAACAACGGTGGTCACTATAGAACCCAGAAGAAACGATCGAGTTCCTCCAGTTGATCCTTTGTCTCACGAAACTCCTAATTCCTTCATCGAAACCACTATATAGTAGCCATAAAAGGCATTTTCATCTTCACCACCTACAAATGAAATCCCCCAACTGCAAATCAAAAATGTCCAGTGAGCCATGAATACTCCATTACGGCTATAAATCCTGTCAGATTCCTTATTAATGATTTTAAGTTACTAGTCTACGATTCAAACTCCACAACCCTAAATTTTGCAATAGATCAATAAACTAAAAAAATACAAAGCGTTGAAACATTGAAATAACTAATTCTTTATAATAAAAAAAAAACGGTGTATAAAACAAAAAATAACTAATTTCTAAAAAAATTCCACTATCCGTTGGACAGAATTAGAGCGCTGACTTCAAATACTAAAAGGTGGAAGGGATAGTCAGCTAAAACCAATATTCCTCTGTTCCTTTAAAATGAATTTTCTAGTTTTTATTTGTTGTTTTTTAAAGATAAATTTTATAAGTTTATAAGTTACTTTTTCTTGATTACAGTAAAAATTTCAGATTTCATAGATAATAATTATGTTTATTGCATTACTATAGGTTTAAAGTTGTTTAACTTATATATAAAGTTTATACATTCATGATTTAAATTTAACTTTTTTTTAATATGTGTGAAAAAAATTAGAAAATTTATCTTTAAGGAACGGAGGGAGAATATTATTTTTACTTGATATATATTTTTTAGAAACGCATTAGACGCGAATTGGGCGCTTGATTTGAATCTAACAAAAAAAAATTAAAAAAAAAATTCGGAAATAATTTAAAAAATATATTTTTTTCTTAAACATTTGTATATAAAACACATGAAATAAAAATTCATATACATAAATTATATACAAATGGCCAAAAAATAGTTCTGTTCACAAAATACACAAAAATAAATTGTCATGATTTTAAGAACACACAAAAATAACAAAACCAGAAATTTCGAAGCAAAAATTAATGTACTCTTTTATATAAGGACTCATTCGCAATTTGATTTTGTAATTATTTCTTTAAACAATAACTCATATGTCAAGACCCTTTTCCTTTTAGTTCCACTTTCTGTCTTCCCAAAACTCTCTTTACTTTTCTGTCTCCAACTTGTGAGCTTTATCTATGGATCCAATTGTCACTTATGTATTTGTCCTTGCATATATATCAAACAAACAGATATGACAGATGAAAAACGAGAAGTGTAGTATATGTGGGACAATTGGATCATCCAAAACAAGTGGTGCATAATGAAACAAACAACCGTTGAAAGGTGAATATATAAACCGTGGTACAAATAATAAAATTAATTATTTAATTTAACATTTTGGATGTCCAAAAGATAGAACTCTATGGATCGATATACTTAACCCACAGGAATTTTTCTACATTTGGTGAACAAAATAAAAACCACACCCAAAAGTCTAAAACAAACTTAATATGGACCTAACAAAAAGAAACTTGTCGATTATATGATTCCCTTGCTATTTTGAACCGCATGCATCTTCAATTTTTCTAATATTCAAAACTTAACAAACGGACCACACTCCCATCATTTATGATGAAAGATGACTTGAAGATAATTTTTACCCCACCACCTAAAAACGTACCATACCTTAATTCATCTATAAATTGAGCACTATGTCTCATAAGTTTCATATCTTTCCATCGAAACATAATTCAAGAAAGAAAAAAAAAAACTTTCCTCTCTTCTACAAACAGATGCCAATGAAGAGTATCTCATTTCTTGCAAGTCTGTCTCTCTTGGCTTTAACATTTCAATTCGCCATTGCCGCTGATCCAAGCCAACTTCAAGACTTCTGCGTTGCCGTAAACTCCCCGGTAAATGGTGGTACGTATGTCATGATGATTTACTCATCCTTTTTACGCTCATCTTTCATTGATCTCTCATTTCTTTATTTGGTTATTATGTTCAGTGTATGTGAACGGAAAGTTCTGCAAAGACCCAGCGCTTGCCACAGCGAATGACTTCTATTTCACAGGGCTTGGCCAGCCAAAACCCACAAATAATATGCTTGGATCAGCCGTCACATTTGGCAATGTTGATAACGTTCCAGGGTTAAACACCCTCGGACTATCCTTTGCCCGTGCAGACTTTGCAGTGAACGGGTTAGTCCCACCTCACTACCATCCACGTGCCAGCGAGGCCGTGCTTGCCGCAGAAGGAACACTTTTGGTAGGTTTTGTCACGTCCGACCAACGCCTCTTCATGAAAACGCTAAATGCGGGAGATGCATTTGTGTTTCCACAGGGACTCATCCATTTCGCAGCCAACGTAGGACATGTCCCAGCAGTTATAATCGCTGCTTTGAGCAGTCAAAACCCTGGTACTATCTTTGTTGCTGACAACGTATTTGGGTCTAACCCGCCAATAACCCCCGCTCTCCTTGCAAAGGCATTTCAGCTGAACATCACTACGATCATGGAGCTACAGGCCAAATTCTAATCATAAAGCAAAAATTACTAAGCTAATAAAAAATTATGTTGTTTTCTTTACCTTGGTATGAATAAGGATTAATGTATTATCCATATCCCTCTTATCAAATAATAATGTATTTCCCGTTAATCAAATATATAATACCGTAACATGATGTTGGCTGTTGTCTTAATCATTAATAGACGTGTTCTCAGTGAATTAGTATTTTGTTCATCGAATAGTTCAAGGAGACGTGTGAAGCTATGCATGCAATCCATTTCACGCCAAAGATATATATATATATATATATATATATCGATTTTGTATTGGAAACAATTTTCAAACATCCTCTTCCTCCAGCACCTGATCCACTACATTTGTTTAAAAAAAAGAAAAGGGAAAAATATTTTAAGAAAAAAAAAAACAATATTCAGTAAGCAACTAAGAAGTGAATAAATATATGAAATCACCTAGTTTTTCTCTGGAATATGCAAGAGACTAAGATAGTGAAAAGAAAAATATGGTGTTTTTATTGAAAATTTGAAAAGACAGTTCACTTAAAACTATTAACGTTTTATATTTTCATATTGATAGCAGGAGGCAGTGCCAGAATTCCCGGAGCTCAGTGTTTATACTTTATACTGACAGAAGTATAAACACTTTAAAAAAAAAATAAAGGGTTGAAGAATAAACACTTTCGCCGTAGCCAGAAATCCAACTGGTCTAAGCAAAGAAATTTAGATACGGGATTATTTTAGTGTAGTAATATTAATATATTAATATATTTCTGTAGTATTTTTTATGTCCCAGTAATATTTATTTCTAGAGTCATCCATATATGTATATACGTACAGACTGTACAGTACCTAAGTTCATTTATAAAATGAGCTCTATGTCTCAAAATTTTCGTACATATCAGAACCTAACTATACATATCAGAACCTAACTATATTCAAGAAGAACATAAAAAACCCTTCGTATCTTCTAAGATTTGCTTCAACTTCATGTATGCCAATGAAGAGAAGAGTCTCTCATTTCCTGCAAGGCTAACTCTCTTAGCTATAACACTTCCATCGGTCGTAGATCCAAGCCCCCTTCAAGACTTTTGCGTCGGCGTAAACACCCCAGCCGATCGTGGTGCGTATACATGATTGATTCAAAAACTAAACTTTTGTACATCATGTGTGACTATTTTTTTATGAAACTATTATAAAGAAATAACATAAGATGGCTGACCTTGCTAAGCTCGAGCTCCAAACCATGTTTGGAGTGCTTCTTCATCCTTTGAGTCCCCCATAGTGCGTATACATGATTATTAACTATCCAATCGTTTTTACGCTTGGCTTTCATTGTTTCCTCATTCTTTGTACTCTATTTTACTGTTTGGTTATTATTGTGTAATTTGTGTTCAGTGTTTTTCTGGCAAGACCCAAAGATCGCCATGCAAATGACTTTAATTTACCAAAAATGTAATTGTTAAGATCCTGTCCTGTCAACCAACAATCGGAAACTAACTTATCAAAAGATCTAACCATCTCAATGAGGAAAATGATAAACACAACAAAAACAAAAAAAAACAAAAAAACAAATTATATAAAAATAAAAAACTCACAGATAAAAGCGTTGAAACATTCAAATAATTTCTCAAACAATTTCTCAAACAATTTCTCAAACAAGTCCACTATCCTACGGAAAGAATTGAAGCGCTGACTTGAAGATAATATTTACCCCACCAGCTAAAAAAGTCCCGTACCTAATTCATCTATAAGTTGACTATGTCTCATAAGTGTCTTATCTCTCCATCGAAACCTAATTCAAATAAAAAAAAAACCTTGCAAGTGAAGAACTAACTACTTCGACAAACAGAGGCCAATGAAGAGTCTTTCATTTCTTGCAAGTCTGTCTCTCTTGGCTTTAACATTTCAATTCGCCATTGCCGCTGATCCAAGCCAAGTTCAAGACTTCTGCGTTGCCGTAAACTCCCCAGTAAATGGTGGTACGTATGTACATGATGATTTACTCATCCATTTTACGCTCATCTTTCATTGATCTCTCATTTCTTTATGTGGTTATTATGTTCAGTGTATGTGAACGGAAAGTTCTGCAAAGACCCAGCGCTTGCCACAGCGAATGACTTCTTTTTCACAGGGCTTGGCCAGCCAAAACCCACAAATAATACGCTTGGATCATCTGCCACATTTGGAAATGTTGATAACGTTCCAGGGTTAAACACCCTCGGACTATCCTTTGCCCGTGGAGACTTTGCAGTGAACGGGTTAGTCCCACCTCACTACCACCCACGTGCCAGCGAAGTCGTGCTTGCCGCACAAGGAACACTTTTGGTAGGTTTTATCGCGTCCGACCAACGCCTCTTCATGAAAACGCTAAATGCGGGAGATGTATTTGTGATTCCACAGGGACTCATCCACTTCGCAGCCAACGTAGGACATGTCCCAGCAGTTGTATTCGTTGCTATGAGCAGTCAAAACCCTGGTACTATCTTTGTTGCTGACAATGTGTTTGGGTCTAACCCGCCAATAACCCCCGCTCTCCTTGCAAAGGTATTTCAGCTGAACATCACTACGATCATGGAGCTACAGGCCAAATTCTAATCTTAAAGCAAAAATTATTAAGCTAATAATAATTTCTGTTGTTTTCTTTACCTTGGTATGAATAAGGATTAATGTATTATCCATATCCCTCTTATCAAAAAATATTGTATTACCAATCCCGTTAATCAAATATACAATACCATAACATGATCTTGGCCGTTGTCTTAATTCTTAATAGACGTGTTCTCAGTCAATTAGTATTTTGTTCATGGAGATGTGTGAAGCTATGCATGCAATCCATTTCACGCCAAAGATATATATATCGATTTCTCAAAGTTGGAAACAATTTTCAAACATCCTCCTCCTGCAGGTACCTGATGTCCTGATCCACTGCATTTGTTAAAAAAAAAAAAAAAAATAGGGAAAAATATTCTAAGAAAAAACAATATTCAGTAAGCAACTAAGAAGTGAATAAAATATGAAATCATCTATTTTTTCTCAAAAATATGCAAGAGATCAAGATAGTGAAAAGAAAAATATGGTGTTTTTTATTGGAATTTTGAAGAGACTCTTCGCTTAAAACTCCCAGAGCTCAAACGACACTTTCGTCGTAGCCAGAAATCCAACTGGTCTAAGTAAAGAAATTTCAATACAGGATTATTTTAGTGTTACAGCTTTTTTTTTGGTAAAAATCATCAATATAATGACAAAAAAAAAAAAAAAAAAAAAAAAAAAATTCATCAATATACTACTGCGGTAATATTAATATATTACTGTAGTATATTTTATGTCCCAGAAATATTTATTTCTTGAGTCATCCATATATGTATACACGTACAGACTGTACAGTACCCAAGTTCATTTATAAATTGAGCTCTATGTCTCAGAAGTTTCTTACATAACAGAACCTAACTATATTCAAGAAGAACATAAAAAACCCTTCGTGTCTTCTTAGAATTGCTTCAACTTAATGTATGCCAATGAAGAGAAGAGTCTCTCAATTCCTTCAAGGCCAACTCTCTTAGCTTTAACACTTCCATTGGTCATAGATCCAAGCTCCCTTCAAGACTTTTGCGTCGGCGTAAACACCCCAGCCGATGGTGGTGCGTACAAATGATTTATTTTTTTAATTTAATGTAAAATGTATTCAAAAATTAAACTTTTGTACATCATGTGTGACTATTTTTGGATGAAACTATTATAAAAGAAATAACATAAGATAAGATGGCTGACCTTACTAAGCTCGAGCTCCAAACCATGTTTGGAGTGCTTCTTCATCCTTTGAGTCCCACATAGTGCGTATACATGATTATTAACTATCCAATCGTTTTTAAGCTTGACTTTCATTGTTTCCTCATCCTTTCCTTTGTACTCTATTTTACTGTTTCATTATTACTCCCTCTGTTTCAAATTAGGTGTCATCCTGGCAAAATGTATATGGAATTATTTGGATTTATCTGGATGTGTTTTGAGGTTAATATATCCAAATAATTGCAGAAACAATTTGCCAGAATGACAACTAATTTGAAACGGATGAAGTATTGTGTAACTTATGTTCAGTGTTCGTAAACGGAAAGTTCTGGCAAGACCCAAAGATCGCCATGCAAATGACTTTAATTTACCAAAAATATAATTGTTAAGATCCAGTCCTGTCAACCAACAATCGGAAAACTAACTTATCAAAAGATCTAACCATGTCATTGAGGAAAATGATAAACACACAAAATAATTGTAAAATATTATATAAAAATAAAAAATTCACAGATAAAAGCGTTTAAACATTCAAATAACTATTTGTCAAACAAGTCCACTATCCTACGGAAAGAATTGGAGCGCTGACTTGAAGATAATTTCACCCCACCACCTAAAAACGTACCATACCTTAATTCATCTATAAGTTGACTATGTCTCATAAGTGTCTTATCTCTGCATCGAAACCTAATTCAAAGAAAATTCCTTGCAAGTGAAGAATTACTTCGACAAGCAGAGGCCAATGAAGAGTCTTTCATTTCTTGCATGTCTGTCTCTCTTTGCTTTAATATTTCAATTCGCCATTGCTGCTGATCCAAGCCAACTTCAAGACTTCTGCGTCGCCGTAAACAGTCCAGCAAATGGTGGTATGTACATGATGATTTACTTATCGTTTTTACACTCATCGTTAATTGATTTCTCATTTCTTATTACTCTCTATTCTTTGGTTATTATGTTCAGTGTATGTGAACGGAAAGTTCTGCAAAGACCCAGCGCTTGTCACAGCGAATGACTTCTATACCACAGGGCTTAATCAGCGGAAACCCACAAATAATACGGCTGGAGCAACTGCGACATTTCTAACTGTTAATAACTTTCCAGGGTTAAACACTCTCGGACTATCCTTTGCCCGTGCAGACTTTGCAGTAAACGGGCTGGTCCCATTTGACTACCATTCACGTGCCAGCGAGATCTTGCTTGTCACTGAAGGAACACTTGTGGCAGGTTTTGTCGCGTCCGACCAACGCTACTTCATCAAAACACTAAACGTGGGAGACGTTTTTTTGTTTCCACAGGGACTCATCCATTTCGCAGCCAATGTAGGACAAGGCCCAGCAGTTGCATTTGCTGCTTTTAACAGTCAAGACCCTGGTACTACCTTTATTCCTAACACCGTGTTTGGGTCTAACCCGCCGATAAATCCGGCTCTCCTTGCAAAGGCGTTTCAGTTGAACATCACGACGATCATGGAACTACAGGCCAAATTCTGACAAAAAGTAAAAAGTTATTAACCTTATAATTTCTGTTGTTTTCTTTACCTTTGTATGAATAAGGATCAATGTATTATCCATATCGCTCTTATCAAATAATAAAATGTATTACCAATCCCGTAAATCAATTTAAAAATACGGTAACATGATGTTGGCAGTTGTCATAATCCTTAAAAGACGTGTTCTCAATGAAGTAGTATTTTGTTCATGGAATAGTTCAAGGAGACGTGTGAAGCTAATAGCTATGCATTCAATTCATTGATATCTCATCCTCCTATAAATAATAAACCTAATTTTTAATTCTCTATCTTATAGGTTGTGGTATGACCACAAAAACCTTAGGTTTGGCTATGACTTTGTTTTTTTTTTGTTTTCTTTCATATTATAACGTTCATAATTTTCATGGGAAATATTGGCAGTACCGCAGTAGTAACCATTAAAAAACATACAACAATTTATGAAGTAACTAGATTAGTGTGTTGTGGTTAAAATATAGCATATGTAATATGTTTTGATAACCCATCCGCAATTCAAAACGAGAATCTGAATCCCTTTTCCAAATCCGTAGAAAACCATTGATTCTGCATGATTGAGTATTCATGTTCCTCGTGAATTTAAAATAACTTTCCGACCACCGCTCTCGGGAAATTCAATATGGCCATCACCATCGCATCTGAAATCCGAAATCTTGTCATATCTCGATACCGATGTGAAACCGTGAAGACCAAATCGAAGAAGAGCCACTCTAAACCACTCTGAAATCTTTAATATCCCCATCGTCGTCGCCTTGTTAGGGATTTTTTCATAAATTCTTTTTTTTTGCTTAACGGTTTCATCATTAATCTTTTTAATCATGGAATTTCGGACAATGCAGGTTCCATATATACTCACAATAACCAAACATCCATATATTTAAATGTACATTAAAAATACTGTCAATTAGTGTTTGAAACAATCAGAAACTTCATATTCATAAAAGTATCATTGATATTAGGAGTGATAACAATAAGTGGGATAATATAACCTGTTCCGACGCTCAGAGGCGGAGCTAGAAAAAGTGTGTAAGGGGGTCAAAAGTTGGGAACTCATAATTAGTAGGGGTCAAACCACTAAAACTTAACCAAATAATCAATCTATAGTACAAATATATGCTTAAATTCAATCAAATCTAAGAATTAGTGGTGGTCACTTGACCATCTTACTCCATTACTAGATCCGCCCCTGCCGACGCTAATTAGTAGGTAAATGTTTTTCTTTTTTTGATCAAAGGCTTCAATTCGTAGGAAATTTTGCGACTACTAAGGTTACACTAGCATACTTTTATGTATTTCATGAGAATTAAATGTTGTCACATACTCATCAGCCCAGGCTCATAGTGTTTTAAACCGCCATAAAATGAGCAATAAACCGAGATCTAACCCAGGAGCATGATTTTGAACCAAAGCAGAACCTTTAAAGTTTAAACAAATAATTAAGAAACAACAAAAACAGACATAACATTTTTAAAAGAAATTGGGACAACTAACTCTATATATTAGATCGAAAAATTTAACCTATCAAAAGATATAACCAAGTCATAGAGGAAAATAATAAACAAGTAAAATAATTTTGAAATCATATTTCTAGATAGGGGTAATCAATACAAAAAGAAAAAAGAAAAGAAAAATGCGTTGAAAGTTGAAAGTTGAAAGTTTTTCCTTTTTTTTAAAGTTGAAAGTTGAAACGTTTAAATAATTTTTCAAACAATTCCACTACCGGACGAAAACAATTGGAGCGCTGACTTCAATACTAAAACGTGGAAGTAATAGTTAAGACTTAAGAGTAAACTTTTGTTTAAAAACTTTTGTTTTGTCTTCTTTTAACACTCGATTAATATAAAAATATTATAAAACCAATATTCTACTTAACACGTAGGTATATGGAGTTTAAGAGTAAAGAGACAGACCAATAAGTAGTGAACTAGTGGTTACTATTTCTTGAGGGGTTTCCTATAGCTATAGTGGAATGGTAAAAAGTTTGAAAGTTATAAAAATGTTTTAGTAATTCTTCATTTATTTATTTATTAGAAACTATTTTTTTATGAAATATCAGACTATCAGTATATATATTTTAATTGTGTTTCTAAACATTCAAATAATATGAAGGTAATTAAATACGTACGATTAATTTTGGATAAACCTTTTTTAGTAATGTTTTATGCTCGGAGTAAATTTGAACAGAGAATTGTGCAACGCATATAGGACATATATAACGTCAGAACTGAGAAGTGTAGTCATGTGGGACAATTGGACATGGAAAACAAGTGGTGCAGGATGAAACATATAAACGTTGAATAGTGAACATATAAAACGTGGTAATATTATAATATACTTATGAACTTAATTATTTCCTCTAATATTTGAATGGCTAGAAGTTTTGTTTTTGTATAGATAGAACTTTATGGATGGATGTATTTATCAATTTAAGACAACCCTCTTTCAAACTAATTGGATGGATGTATTTAATTTAATCCACATGAACTTTTCTACATTTTATGAACAAAAGAGAAAATAAAAATAACAACCACAACCTAATGTCTAAACAATCCTAATTAATATGGACCTAACAAAAAGAAAGGTGTCGATCGATCATATGATTTCTTTGCTATTTTGAGCCGTATGCATCTTTCTAAGTTTATAATATTCAACTTTCATTAACGGACCACACTTCCATCATTTATGATGAAATTGAATGGTGACTTGAAGAAGTTTTGTACCCCACGACCCAAAAACGTCTCGTACCCTAATTCATCTATAAATTGACCTTTGTGTATCATAAGCTTCTTATCTCTCCATCGAATAATAATTCAAGGAACAGAAAAGAAAAAGAAAAAGAAAAAAACCCCTTCCAATGAAGAATCTCTCATTTCTTGCAAGTCTGTCTCTCTTGACTTTAACATTTCAATTCGCTATTGGTTATGATCCAAACCAAGTTCAAGAATACTGCGTCGCAACAAACGCCTCAACAAATGGTGGTACGTATGTACATGATTATTAATTTGATATTTCCATTGACTTCTCTCGTTTCTTATACTCTTTTATTTTTATTGGTTATTATCTTCAGTGTTCGTGAACGGCAAGTTCTGCAAAGATCCAAGCCTCGCCACAATAGATGACTTTACTTTCACAGGACTTGACCAGCCTAGACCCATAACAGGTCCGAACGGAGCAACAATTACAACCGTTAATGTTGATGTCGTTCCAGGGTTAAACACCCTTGGAATGTTGGTTGCCCGTGTAGATTATGCAGTGAACGGACAGATCCCACCTCACCTCCATCCACGTGGCACGGAGGTCTTGCTTGTCGTAGAAGGAACAATGTACGCAGGTTTTATCACGTCAGACCTAAACGGCCCTAATCGTCTTTTCTCCAAAATACTCCACAAGGGTGATCTAATTGTGTTTCCACAAGGACTCATCCATTTCCAGGCCAACGTGGGAACAGGTCCAGCAGTTACAGTTGCTGGTGTGAACAGCCAAAACCCTGGTTTTATCACTGTTGCTAACGCCGTGTTTGGATCTAACCCACCGATAAACGCGACTATTCTTGCCAAGGCGTTTCAGTTGAACATCACAACGATCATGGACCTACAGGCCAAATTCTGATCATGAAACAAAAACTACTAAGCTTATAATTATCTTCTGAATAAGGATCCTACGTATTATCCATCCCGTTTATCAATAAAAAAATATAATAGCATGAAATAATGTTGTCCGTACTCCGTACCCTTAAATTGTCCCGCCGGTTCTGTGAAGAACAGGCCATTTTAACAATTTGGCCTTTTTTCAATTTCTACGTAGTTTTATTTTTCATTTTATAAAAAAAAAAAAAAAAAAAAAAAAAAAAAAAAGAAAAAAGTCAGGATAGATTCTACGTATAGACAGTCTCGATAGCCTGGGCCCTGAGTTGTAAGAAAAAATGGACTCATCATTCATGCATGCTTACCCAAATGCAACAAGTACTTATTTAAGACATGAAGATAGTATTTGTTAAAATAGATATTTTAGTTGGAGGCCTTTGTCTAACGTAGTTGAAGGTTTCTTAATTATGAGACTCCTATAAATAATAAACCTAGTTTTTAATTCTCTATAGGTTGTAGGAATTATTAGGACTATACTTTGTGTTAAATGATTTATTAATTTTGTTTGGTATGGGACATCAAGAATCTTAGGTATGGCGCTGACTTTGTTTTATTTTTTGCTTTCATATCATAACTTTCACCATCCTGATCTGTAGCCTTTCTTATAAAAGTATAATTGGAACTTTGGAAGTAAGATTTTACGGGGGAAAAATAGTTGTAAGCTTTGATTCTTCATCTCTCTTCTAGCGTTTCAAAAATATCTCGATATTTTAAGTTGCAAACACTAGAATTAGGCATTCAATTAATCAAAACTAAGTTGCTCTTGGTTATGTACACATGACCAGAAAAATCTTAAATGAGAACAAAATATGGTCACTATAGAGCAAAAAACAATAAAAATTCATTATTATCATCTTCTCTTGTTCCTTCATATGCTTCTTCTGTATTCTCTGTACATTTGAATTATTCCCTAAGATTATTATTATTAAAGTTTGTAAGGTGAAATCCTAAGATGGAAGCCTTTTGGTGCAAAAACTCTTGGAAACACCATTAGTTTCTCCCCTCCTATTTCCTCCCATCTGCCATTATAATCAATTCATCACACATTATTAACATTAACACAAACTTCTCAAATCAATTCATAATAACTCCAATAGAGAAAGAAAAATAGATCTTGATCAAGAATTGACCTGTATTTGGTAACAAAGTAATGGAGGAAGCTTGAGATCTCAACAATCCCTAGTTCCTTGCCGGGGCAAAGCCTTGTCCCACCACCAAACACAAAGCATGAGTTTTGTGACTCCAAGCTCTTTTTCTGAATATCACACATTCAATAAAATCAGAAATTTCCAGACAGAGAAAAACAGAGGAAATGGAAGAGCACACTACTAAACCCTCCGGTTTAAGATAAAATAAGTTTCAAAAGATTTCAATGTATTGTACACAATCATTCCAAACATGACTATAGTAGTATTGTTTTTTTTATAGTTAACAATGTAATATTTTTTGGTTTTAATAATTTTATTTAACAGAGAAAAAAATTGTAATTTTGGTAACATGTTTCTTTGAGAATAAAAATTAATATTTTGCAAAATAGAAACTCTAAGACAATATTTATTGTGAAAACGTACATAGTATAATACTTACCATCCATCTCCATGGATTAAAAACCAATGGGCCTTCATAAAGATTTGTGTCATAGTTTATTTCTCTCGTGTATACGTAAATTCTCCACCCTTTTGGGATTAAATAACCTGCAATTATTAAAGATTCATAATCAGTCGATGTGTACATTATAAAACTCAATTAAAGAACACAAATATATAAAAGTTTCTCGTGTCCAAATTATTGGAAATGAAACCATATATGAAGGGCTCACACAAAGGAGAATGCTTTTGTAGCTGGATTGGTTGGTATTCATAATACACTCTTAATCATTGATCTACACTAAGGTCCACCACATGTTCACATTATTTCTATCCTTTTTTCATAGTTTAAAACTATAAATTTCATTATCATAAACCCGACAAAGAGAAAATGAAAATATAAATTTATACGTACCATTGATTTCCATGTCACGAGTTGTTTTCCTCAGGACCCCATTAACGATCGTTGCCAATCTTGATGTCTCAAAAATCACCTGCAATAGATAATCAATAGTGATTAATTACTACTTACTAATGATTAGTTATTTGAATTAACGTTATTGTTAATGTTAATTACTCACAGCTCGAGTGAACTTCATTGACTTCACATCCTCAAGATCGAGTGGTTCGTCTGGTCGTTTTCTTTCCCGTAGAGCCAAATGCTCTCTCTGCATTTTCAAAACAACCGAAAATCAAACAGACCGGAATTAAACCGGAGAATTGTATAAAACCGGTTTCTTTCCTTTCTTAGGGACATACTCTGAGTTCTTGAAGAGCTTTTGGGTGATCATGAAGGTACTTAAGAGCCATCATTGAGGTCGTAGAGACAGTTTCATAACCCGAATACAAGATAGTCACGACTTGGTCTCTTATCTCTTCATCGGTTAACGGATATCGGTTATCTTCCTTCTTCATCAAGTAACCTAACATATCGGTGAATGTTTCTCCAGAATCTCTCCGTTCTTGCATCAGCTCTCTAAGCAACTTATCAATGTTTTTTCTTGCCTAAAAAGCAACAAGATAAATTTCAGCTGATGTTACTTTTTCATATTAAATTTCTTCGAAAGATGGATATCAGAGTATTTTACTTGGATTCCGCAACGATAGTTTGTGCCGGGAAGATCGATTGGAACCGATAAAGTTCCAACGACAAGCTTGAAGAACGCAGTTTTGAATTCTTCAATGAGTGGTTTTCTTAAATCCTCTGCGATTTGTGTCAGCGAAGATAAAAATGCCATCTGCGCAAAGCCCACCAAAAACAAAACAAAATATAAAACTACACAAAACATACATAAATAAACAAATTTCAGACATAAAATATTCTAGGATACAAGTCAAAGACAAATATTCTCATTTGTTTACTATTGTACCCACCCATAAAACTGAATCAGCTGAACTTCCCATTGTTTAAAGTTGATATTTCATATTAATCAATTTCATAATTTATCTGACATTTAAAAAGCATTAAAATGCTATTATAGAGTAGAGGCATAGACTCAAGAAACAGACAAATGTAAAAATGTAAAAATGTAAAGATGTAAAAACAGAGATATTAAACATACATGTTTGGTCTTATCCTGGATATCAATATTCTCAAGCTCACTCCACTGACCAAGATAGCTTCTCATGAAGTGATCAACTTTGGGCAAGATGTGATCTCTCATCATGGTCGAGCTTATGAGAGAGAGAAGTGAGCCTCTCATTAGCCGGTGGCTCGAACCGTGAACCGCAGCCATGTTGCAAGTCCCAAGAATGTCAAGCATCGATTGTGGATAACCAGGAACCAAACCTTTTGATTCGTTCTTGAGAATATATCTGTTGATCTCTGAGTCCATTGAGATTAACGTTGGACAGCCCAAAAGATGAGATTTGAAGAAACTCCCATATCTGTTGATCGATCTCAGGTTAGTTTTTTTTTCAAAATAAAAAGAATTCTTGATTTGTTTTATTTTGTCTTTTTTTCTTTTTCTTACCGGAGTCTTTGGTTTCTCATGAAGTTGGGGCCTTGTTTGAGAAACTCGGTGGTTTCGCCGAAGATTGGCCAGCCCATGGTTCCTGGAGGGAGACTATTCTTGGTGTATCGCATTTGGTTCCATCGGAGAAGAGCAGAACAGAGCGAGACGAGGATAACGAGTAGACCCATTATCATCATCAATATTCCCATCTCACTCTGTTTTTCTTCTATCCTTCTCCGTTCTATGCTCTGTTTTTGAAAAAGATCACTCTGTTTTCTCTGTTCTCTTCTCTTTTGAGAGAGAGAGAAAGAAAGAGAGAGGAGAGTGATTTGATTATGGTTACGGGAATGTGGTTGAGACTAGAAGGGTGTGTCTGCAAGTGTTTTTATAGAAAGCTAAGTCAAGTGCACCATGCTCTGAGTTAACATTTGTTTGTTTATGAGAAAAAATAGTTATTTACCTAATCAAAAACTATTCTTTTTATTTTACATAATTCATTATATCTTCCAATTGTGTATTAATACAGTTTCATAATATATTGTTAAAAAAGTGACCAGTGGTCCAACCAATTTTATCCAGTTTGATCCATTACCTTAACAAAATAGTAGATTCATTTTTGGTAGAATTATAAAAACAATCCCATAAGGTGGTCATTAGATTATATATACTGCAATATTAATTTTGATACTAAAAAGGGTGAAGTAGAAAGAGTAGAATTAAAAGTTAAAAACCCACCAACTCATTCCTCAAGATCTTAGACATGAATAGTTGTTCGGTAGTTGGATGAAGAAGATTCGTCTTTTCAGTTAATATTAAAGTTTGTACTTTATAAGTGAATCTTGATGGGTTTTGTCGTTAATTAATGCTTTTGTAGTTACAGTATAAGTGGGTAGAAAGTAATACAGTACTTATAAACTCTGACTCACACGACCACTATTCCACGATAGTTTGTGCTTTTATTCTGCTTAAACGCTATGATAAATTTGGTGATGGAACTCAACTTCCCTCTGTTGTATGAAAGGTTTTTCCCTTTTCTTTTTTCTTCATGACACGTTTATGTTTTAACTTTTAACCAATTTGGAGGGTACATTTCTGGTCCTTCAAACTTATATTATATAAGGTTATATAATGAAAAGTTGCTTTCTTACAAATAATAAAAAAATAAACAAACACAAAAAGCATTATATGGTTATATTCACTCTCATTTATGTAATGTACCTAAACAACTAAAAACTATTGGGATTTCGAAAATCACATCCACGAAACTTTACAAATGTTTATGATAGGATGAGTAGGGTCATTTGAAATGATGATAGCGTAAAAGCGAACATTATTAAGAATAGTTTTTATCACTAAACGAATCAAATCTTATTAACGATAGTAAATATACGGTGAAATAGATCTTAAACTAAACTTTTTCACTTAAGTAAGTCCGTTATTCTACAACATAATAATCAAGTTTTTTTTTTTAACGCTGGAAGGATTTTATTATTTGTTTTTCAAAAAAAAGGAAACGAGTTAAAAAAAAAAGAGTACTTGCGAAAGAGCACATGGGCCTCACCCGAAATAACACATTTAATCAAAGCTACGAAAACAAAGCAAAACCCATAAAGCTGAAGACAGATTTCCATATTTTCTTCCCTTCGTTCGAATTTGTTTCCTTAGGACTACATTGAAAGTTCCAACTTCCAACAAATATATTCCTTTGAAAATTTCACATTAACTCGACCGCTACAAGACACACACCACCCCTTGAAGCCCTTCTGGCCTTCTCTCTCCCCTCCATCAAAGGAACAATGATATGTCTGTTGTTTTCATTGTTTTCTTGAACACTTAAACTGCTCCAATATAAAAATGGTTGCCAATCAAATAACACATATCGTTTTGGAGTGAATAAAAATAAAATTTCTCCTGCAAAAGAAGTTTGACCTATTTAATTCTAAAAAAAAAATACATAGATATTGCACAGTTTGCACTCTTGTGACTCCTGTCGAGCTCTAACAGATTAAAACATTATCGGCATCGTTCAAGCTGCAAGTTTGAATTTTGGTCTGCCATTGAATTACTTTTAAGGTACATGTATACATGTATGATGTATCTACACTCTTATAGTCTTATAAGCATAAAACAAATGAGGCTTTGGTTTTTGAAAGAAAATTAAAAATCAAACCATAGTTGATCATTTTCTCAAAACATAATCACCAATATTCTAGATTATCATTGTTTTACCCTATGTTCCAAATCTCGGCGATAAGGGACGATAAACCGGCGGTTTATCTTAAACCGGGAGAGAACCGTAGCGATACGTGAAATCAGTGTCAAAAACCGGTCAACCGTGGTTTGACTGGTTTAACCGTGAAATTCCGATAACCGTCCGAGAAATTGCAAAACTGTTTGGGCCAGAATTTTTGAATTTGATATTGAGGTCCATATTTTTTGAAATTGAGCTCACATTATCTATTATCATCTTTTATTTAGCTTTTATATATTTTTTGTATGTTCTTAATATGATCAAGATAATATCTCTTTTGTAATATTTATGAATAGAACTGTTATTTTTTGTATTAAAAATGTTTATGAATTAGAAAAAATAAAATGTTAAAAGTTTTGTATCATCTTTTGTATTATTAATGTTTTATATAATTATAATTTTTAAAATATATTAAAATAAACCTAAAATTTTGCCCCGGTTAATCCCCGAATTATTAGCGGTTTTTTCAAAAATCGCTTATCACTGTCCAACCGAATGGTAAGTGAGAAGCGAGATTTTGAACACAGATTTTACCTAAACTAAAAAAAAGATAGCTTATACTAGTGATTAGGAAATAAATAATACTAATATGCATTATATATATATATGGAATTATGGATGTACGTATAGCTATGAAATGTGATGATTGAGCACACGTGTGGGTGTCGCCATTGGTGTCCACGTCCCGTGTCTACATTCACTGAAGTTGACTTCTTTTTCTCGACCCACTCTTCTGATCTCTCTCGTTCTCTTTTTTTGTTAAAATCTCTCTCGTTCTCTTATCTTTTCGTACCTTTCATTTGTCACGGATTTGGTTTCGTTAATTTGGGTAGAGTTTTAGTTAGTTTGGTTTACTTAATAAAAAAAAAGTCTAACTAAAGTTGATTCGGTTACACATTAAGGGCTGCGACGGTGGCAGCTATCATTAAGGGCTGCCTAAGCTGCTCTCTAACGCCTAGTTAGGTGCGAAACGTAAGGCAACATCAAGATATGTATTTTGTTTTAGTCATACATGTTTTTATTTGTTAAAATTATCTAAAGTATTTGGTCTTTGTTTAAATGGACGAGTTGAAGTTTTAGACGGATGAACTCTGTTACACTAGGAAAAACAAAAGGCAATAAGTGATGGACAATATATGAATAACATACAAAATCATAATGCAATCATGTTATCACATGTAAAGTTTTCTTAAAAAATCGTTACAATTTTGTTAATTATGTTGTTTACTTTTACTTTATTTGATCTAATCTTATTTAATTAATGTTATCATTTTAATTTGCATATTTAAATGTATCTTATTCAAAGAACACAAAACCCCAAAAAAAAGTCACCGTATAAATTTTTCAAATTGATCATAAATTTTGAGTATTATCTTTAATGCAACTGAATTCTACAACACATGCTATCAGTGCAGCTACACTTCAGCACACAGTTTGCATGTCATTCTCAGATGATTAATGCGTAGACTGGAACCGTTGAGATTGTGAATGTGATACAATATACTCCAAATAGTACTTTAACTAAGCAATTTAACACCTAACAAAAATGTTAGGCCCACTTATTTTAGCATAACTACTTCTTAACATCACAAAACATGTAAAAGATGGTTGTTTACATTCTAATGTTTTCGTCCTTTTATCAAGCTTTTGTTGAGCCAATTAAGTTTCCATTCCAGTTGGCTACTTTTACATTTGCTGCACGGTCTCTACTGCTGAACAAAAAAAGGATTTACGTTATCTAAAAGAAAAAGGCCAAAATTAAAAGCCCAAATGATCAATACTCTAATTACTACGACATTCCGGATTAATAGTCTTTTTCTATAAGAATAAAACTCAAACGTCTTAGAATAAGTGACCACAAAAGTTGTATCCACGAAATTGTACAAACGCATTTGTAAGCATGTAATAAACTTAATATTCTTTTGAGAATAATAGGTGATTAAGGGGTAAAGATTGGCTAATATCCTATAGATAGAAAGTATTTTTATTGTTAATCGAAATGATACTTTTCAAAACTATTTTATAGTTGAACTAACACAATACATAAAATATTATCGCTACCAATATAACTCAAATTCATCTAAACCACTTTTTCGAAACAAGCTTCAGCAAAATAAAATGGCATTTAAAATAAGTTTATACGTTCGCGTACATGACGGATAAATCATCAAAGTTCACAATAAATATGGACCAAGCAAAAGTCCTCAGTCTACCACTATTTCTATATATATATTCCCTATCATCATTCATCACTAGCTAAAAAAACAAATCACTCCTCACACCACATAAAGAAGGGCAAATAATTGAAGAAATGAAGTCAATAGTCTTCTTCTTCCTCCTCCTGCTTCTTGCCGTTGCAACCTCAGAGAACATGATAAGTAGTTGGCAAAATCTAACCGGCGTTTATGAAGATGAAGTGCTTCGGGATTCTCTTGCCCCGATGAGGAAAAAGTACGTAACCTATGACATCTTGCAAAGTCAGAGAACATGTGATTCTTCCAAGGGTGGTGCTTGTACCGGAACGGTTAATGGGATGAAATTTAGCAACTGTCCTATATATACTAAATGCAAACGTATGGTCATGAAATAAAATACTCCGATTTTCTCTATGTCTCCGAATGGTTACAAAGCCTTAAGGAAATGTAGAGGAGCTGAGGAGGGAGCATTACCCAAGATCGATTATGTATTCTTACATTTCCTTTGTGTTTGGTACGCTCTGTTTGATCCGTTCCTCGTTGTATTGTGTCGTTATAAGCGTTCTATGTCCCACGAGGTACCTATTAGGGTTCTTCTATGCCCGTGATTAATTTATAGCGTTTTGGTAAATGAATGTTCTGTAAAAAAAAAGGTGTTTGTTTGTTCCCGAATGGTCAAGTGTTGTTCTTTAGTAATTTACCATTTGTGAGTGGGATATGTACGGAACCATAGTTACCATTCATGTATTTAGTAAAATAAAGTAATTAAGTCCACAATCAAGATACATTATATTTACTTTGTACAAAACTACAAATACTTACTTCATCAACTTTTAAAGAAAAATTACTAAAGAACAACACTTGACCATTCAGCATAAATATGTGAAAGATCCAACTTCTTCTTGTTGATATGTGGAGACAAAAGCATAAAAACCATACTTCTTCTTTTTGCACTTAATTTTTACCATTAGTTCTTATTTCTTCTAAATATTAGTACAATATTTGGTAATCATTTATTTTATTAAAAAACTCTTACTACTATTTCAGTAATTTGTATCACCAGTCGGATACGTCATTATAATTTGAAGTCCCCACAATGCCGTCCAAAATAATCTTCCACTCACGAGAGTAGTTGGCTTTCAGAAACAAATTACAAGTTGGGCGTAAAACGACACCGTTATAAATTATTGCCATTGAAGAAATTTCAGCGGAACCTTAATGCTTGACCTGAAAAGTCAGTCAACGGTTGACCCGTAGACTCACTCACCACCACCTATGGCTTCGCTTTGATTCTACATTCATTGTCTTATCTTCTCCTCCGTGATTCTCATTCCTTCAATCATTCTCATTTTTTTTAAATTCCGATGATCCGTCACCACGCTTTCTTAGTTTTCTCTATTCTCCTTTCCGCCGCCGTATACGGAGAAGCAGCAACGGCGGCGTACGATCCCACAGAAGTCTTTCTCTTCAACTGCGGCGAAACCTCCAACAAGACGGACGACAGTAACCGGAACTGGACGGTGGATCAACGTGAACTCCCGCCGTCGAATTCAGTCAACGCGTCCTTCTCTTCAACTGCATCACGTCAAGAACCAGGCGTTCCTCAGGTGCCTTACATGACGGCTAGAATTTTCCGATCTGATTTCACTTACAGTTTTCCAGTCTCTCCGGGATGGAAATTCGTCCGGTTGTACTTCTATCCGACCCGCTACGGATCCGATTTCGACGCCGTTAATTCATTCTTCTCCGTCAACGTCAACGGTCTCACTCTCTTGAAAAACTTCAGCGCCGATTTAACGGTAAAAGCTTCTAACAGCGCTTTCCTAATCAGAGAGTTTATCGTTCCCGTTAACCTGAATTTGAATCTCACTTTTACGCCGTCTCCGAAATCGTTAGCTTTCGTTAACGGAATCGAGATTGTCTCCATGCCTGATCGGTTTTACTCTAAGGGAGGATTTGACGACGTGATATCTAACGTCGCTAGCTCCATTAACTTCGTGATAGACAATTCGACGGCATTCGAAACGGTTTACCGGATAAACGTCGCCGGACAAGCGATCAGTGACTCCGGCGACACGGGAATGTTCCGGCAGTGGCTTTCCGATGATAATTTACTCGGTATAAACTCTGGGATCGAGCCGTACGTTCCGGATGTAAAGATCAACTACACGGAGAAAACTCCGGCGTATGTCGCGCCGGAAGATGTGTACACGACGTACCGTACAATGGGAAACGCCGAGAACCCAAAGCTAAACCTGAATTTCAATCTCACGTGGCTTTTCACCGTCGACGCTGGGTTTAACTACCTCGTTAGGCTTCATTTCTGCGAGACTCTACCGGAAGTGACCTTACCTGGAGAGAGAGTCTTCACCATCTTCATCGGAAATCAGGTTGCAAAGCTTGACATGGATGTGATTCAGTTAAGCGGCGGCTCTCAGATTCCGATGTATCTAGACTTCAGTGTATACGTTGATTCCACTAATCTACGACTTGATTTGCATCCTTTGGAGGACATTACTCCAAAGTTTTACGACGCTATTCTCAACGGTGTAGAGATTCTCAAACAGAGTGACGCCGAGGGAAATCTCGCCGGACCTAATCCAGATCCTCTGCCGTCGACGCCGAACTCTGTAACGCCGGCTATACGAAAACGCAAAGCCAAGTCTAATGTTTTGGTGATAGCTTTAGCAATAGTTGGCTCTGCAATTGTGTTAGCGATGTTTGTTATTGTTATCATCTTGAGGAGGAAGAAGAAGAATAAGAAGGATGAGTTTAGTGTACATACAACGAGCAACAAGCCTAAGGACTCGTGGACTCTTCTTAGTGGCTCCTCGCATGCCAGCTCAGCCACATCACTCCCGTCGGATCTCTGCCGTCGATTCTCAATCTCCGAAATCAAATCCGCGACGAACAACTTCGAGGAGAAGCTAATCGTCGGAGTAGGAGGGTTCGGTTCCGTCTACAAAGGACGAATCGACGGCGGAGCCACGATCGTGGCGGTTAAACGGCTAGAGATCTCGTCGAACCAAGGCGCGAAAGAGTTCGAAACAGAGCTCGAAATGCTCTCGGTGCTCCGTCACAAGCATCTCGTCTCTCTGATCGGATACTGCGACGAGGAGAACGAGATGGTGCTCGTCTACGAGTATATGCCACGTGGCACCGTGAAAGACCATCTATACAAGAGGAACAACAAAGTCTCTGATCCTCCGCTTTCGTGGAAACGGAGGCTGGAGATTTGCGTCGGAGCGGCGCGTGGGCTACAGTATCTACACACAGGCGCGAAGGAGATGATCATACATCGAGACATCAAAACGACGAACATTCTTCTCGATGAGAGCTACGTGGCGAAAGTCTCCGACTTTGGTTTATCGAAAGTTGGTCTTGTTAGCGCCTCTCAGACGCACGTCTCCACCGTCGTTAAAGGGACGTTCGGTTACTTGGACCCTGAGTACTACCGCCGTCAGATCTTGACGGAAAAATCCGACGTGTACTCGTTTGGAGTTGTTTTGTTCGAGGTTCTGTGTTGTAGACCGGTCAAACTCCAAAACGTTCCGTTAGAAGAAGCGGATTTGATCCGTTGGGTGAAGTCGAATTACAAGAAGGGAACCGTTGATCGGATCGTTGATAAAGATCTAACGGATGATATTACTTCGGTGTCGTTGGAGAAGTTCTGTGAGATCGCTGTGAGATGTGTTCAAGACCGTGGTGTTGAGAGACCGTCGATGAACGACGTCGTTTGCGTGCTTGAGTTTGCGCTTCAGCTTCACGAGACTGCTGCAAAGAAGAAGAATGACGTGGATTGTTCTGTGGATCTGCGGACACGTGGCGAGGTTGGTACGACGACGGACGGAGAGGATGATTTGTTTAGTAGAACTACGGGACACGTGTCGAAATCTAGTACGACGACCGATGATGACTCGGCTCGTCTTGTGAGTGGTTCGAGTTGGGGAGCGTTTTCGGAGATCAAAGAGCCTAAAGCACGGTAGGGTTTGATGGTTTGGTACCATCCGGTTTAATATATATGTAATTATGTACGTACTTAATTTGTTAAATAAAAAAATGAAGATGTTTTTGTGTTAAGATGTTTCTAAATTATTGAAAGTGATTTTTTTCTTCAAAATAACAATCACGTAAATATCTTTCTAGAACAAAAATACAAAATAAACCAGTAGGCAATAGTTATCCAGTGATAAATAATCTTTTATTTGTTCCTTATTAAAAAGATCTCTTTTTTCATTAGTAAAGAAATCTCTCAGTCATGTTTTAAGTTTAAAATAAAATACACACGCGTAATATATTCGATATAATGTTAATATATCCATATAAAATACCGTGGGTATAATTTAATATTATATTTTTTGACAGAAAATTACTATAACTGATTTTGTACCCAAATTTCTCTTATAGATATCTTACCATATAATAAACAAAACAAATGCATACTTTATAATTTCCTCGAAAAGACTAAGGAAATGTCCCCGATTCATCTATATATAAAAAATCCTCACGAATCTTAACACAGCAAAACTCTTTTATAAAAAAAAAACACAAAACTCTAAATTACTTTTTGCCATGGTAGACTTTTTTGGTGCAGCAAACAAAAAACGAAGAATGATTCGTGAGGGGAAAAGAGTTGAAGAAACAAACAAAGAGCCCGTAAACATCGAACTAATCCTCAAGATCTTTCAAGGAGTCGCAATCGATGAACGAAATTTTACGCAGCCTTACAAAGGTTTTGAGTACTGCAGAGTCATGGCATGGACAAACGCAGAGAACGAAAGAGGAACACCAGTGGTGAAGTCTTACAATGGCTGTCCTCGTTTCAATCGAACACTTGTGATTGCTTTAGATCATCCTGAGGATCAATATCTTTACATTGAATTAACTAGAGGGGTTTCGTGGAATGATCCCAGACCATCGAACGGTACTACGGTGATGGGTCGTGCCAAGATTAAATTGCCTCCTCGGTCAAGCTGTAGGGAGTTCACTTCTAGGGTCGACCTCGTCGGTTTGAATAGTGATCGCTGTGTAGTTTCTAAGGGTTTCCTAGATTTGTCTATGAAACTTCATAGGTATCGTCTAAAATGAATATTGTCTGATTAGGGTTTTTCTCGGATACTGATTTACGTTGGGTTTTTTTTTTTTTTTTTTTTTCATCTTTAATTTTGTACTATTTTTCTGTTTTTGGTCTTAACTATATGCTATGAGTTTTTCTAAGTTGTGGTTGGTTTACTTTGTGTTATTGCCATGTTGGTCTCGTATTCCTCTAAATTTCTTCCTTGATCTGATGTATTATTTTATTTTTCAGTTTTAAACGAGGTATTTATTTGATTTTTTACCTTTATTTAAGCTTATCAGAATCTTCTGAGTTTGGCTTGAATTGTTCGGATATATAGTGGGAAATATATAGTGGGGATATGTATTTGGTACGCAGTTTTGATCCTTCCTCTTATTTATATTAAAAATTACAAATCTTAAGAAGTCTTCAATCCATTCTTTTTCATGAAGTTTAAGATATCGCAAGGCGAAAAACAGAGAATGATTCGTGAAGGGAAAAGAACAATGAACCACAATATAGAAACAAAATTAATCGTGAAGATCTTTCGAGCTGCCATAATCGACGACACAACTCTTTTGAAACCTTACAATGGTTCTAGCTACTATAGAGTTGTGGCATACACGGACACCGAAGATCAATACGCAACAGGAAAGGTTGAGGTTTTAAAAAGAAACTATTGGGAGTTTAATCAAGAACTGGTGATTTCTTTGGATTTTCCTGCAGAATATCTTTACATAGAATTGCTTAGATCAGGGTCTTCGTTCAAAGACCCCGGGACGTGGAGAGATCCTGGAACATCAAGTGGAATGGTTGTGATGGGTCAGGGAAAGGTTCGATTGTCTGGTCCAACCAAGCATGGCAAGTTCTCTGGTGCGGTCGGTCTCTTCGGTTTGAACAGTGATCGATGCGTTTTGGAAAAAGGAACCCTAGAATTGTCTTTGGAACTTCGTAAAATTGTGGTATCATAAATAAAAATATTGTTACCTCAAAAGATGAGTTGTTTTTTTAATTTTTGTATTGCTTTCCTGATTTTGATTTTGATTTTGCTCCATCTATGTAAGTTATGTGTTTTCATTTTTGGTTAATGGTGAGATAGCTTCTTTCCGTGACGAGAAAGTCATAGTAAAAGCTGCATTCTTCAGTAGAGCATTTCAATCATTTCGCCAGGCATTGTAGGAGATTACTTTTTAGCCCCATTTCAAACCTTTCTGTTGAAGGAAAGAAGCTCTATCACGAACATCTCGGTCCATAATCTTGAGGATTAATGTCTCCTTGGCTATATTACGTGAATAGTGAAGTCTCCGATGATTCCACTCTCTCCATGGAACGTAGATATAGTCACTTCCCAAGCTATTGTTAATTAGTGCTTTTGACTTGGCAGAATTAGTAGCTGATCGAGTTAGTTTATTGAGAATCCCTTACCACGAGTTGCTTGCTTGGACGATGAAGATGCAACTGTGCTCATGATCTGCTTCCACATGTGGGATAATGCTAAATTACATTTGAAGAAGAGATGAATATGTGAAATTCAGGTTTAGAGTTGCATAGGAGACAAGTTGAGTCTACATTTTGAAACACCAATTCCGAAGTCTGTCCATGCCCATTAGATCGACCATCGATGAACACATTTATAATGAAACTTCAAAACTCTAAAAAAAACGCTAAAAACATTAATTTAGTTATCTTCTAGTCTTCTACGTTTTATTTTATTTTATTTCATACACTCATTTGAATTATTGACATCGAAACGGCCCCACCGTAGAAATTTCTTTGGCTTGAACTGAAAAGTAAGTCAATGATTGACCCCGTAGACTCACTCACCACCATGCAATGCATGGCTTGGACTTAAACGTTAAAAATCATACACTATCTCTTATCCACTTCATCTCCGTCATTCTCAACATATTCAACAACTCTCATTGTTCAATTCCGATTTCGTTCTGATGAACAATGATCTGTCACGCTCTGTTAATTTTCTTCACTCTAGTTTCTGCCGTCTCCGTCGTAGATGGAGCAAGGGCGGCGTATACTGCCACCGATGTCTTTCTCTTCAACTGCGGCCAAAACAACATCATGGTGGACAGCAGTGGCCGGGAATGGACGGCGGAGAATCTGGAAATCCCTTCAGTCAACGCGTCCTTCTCTTCAACTGCATCACCTCAATATTCAGACGTTCCTCAGGTGCCTTACATGACGGCTAGGATTTTCCGATCAGATTTCACTTACAGTTTTCCCGTCTCTCCCGGCTGGAAATTCATCCGGTTATACTTCTACCCGACCCGCTACGGATCCGGTTTTGACGCCGTTAGTTCCTTCTTCTCCGTCAACGTCAACGGTTTCACTCTCTTGAAAAACTTCAGCGCCGATTTAACGGTAAAGGCTTCTAACAATAAAACAGTCTTAATTAAAGAGTTTATCGTCCCTGTCTCCGTTAAGCTGAATCTCACCTTCACGCCGTCTCCGAAATCGTTAGCTTTCGTTAACGGAATTGAGATTCTCTCCATGCCTGATCGGTTTTACTCAAAGGGAGGATTTGACGACGTGATATCAAACGTCGGTAGCTCCGTTAACTTCGAGATACACAATTCGACGGCTTTCGAAACCGTTTACCGGATAAACGTCGCCGGACAAACGATCAAAGACGTCAACGACACGGGAATGTTCCGGTGGTGGCTTTCCGATATTGATTTCATTCTCGGAGTAAACTCTGGGCTTGAGCCGTACGTTCCGTATGTAAAGATCAACTACACGAAGAAAACTCCGGCGTATGTCGCGCCGGAAGATGTGTACACGACGTATCGTACGATGGGGAACGTTGATGATCCCAAGCTAAACCTGAATTTCAATCTGACGTGGCTCTTTACCGTCGACGCCGGGTTTAACTACCTTGTTAGGCTTCATTTCTGTGAGACTCTACAGGAAGTGAGCTTACCTGGAGAACGTGTCTTCACCATCTTCATCGGAAATCATGTTGCAAAGCTTGACATGGATGTGATTCAGTTGAGCGGCGGATCTCGGATTCCGATGTATCTTGATTTCAATGTATACGTTGATTCCACTGATCTACGACTTGATTTGCATCCTCTCAAGGACATTGCTCCAAAGTTTTACGACGCTATTCTCAACGGTGTAGAGATTCTCAAGCAGAGTGATTTTGATGGTAATCTCGCTGGCCCTAATCCAAGTCCTATACAAAACTCTGTAATGCAAGAAGCTATACAAAAACGTAAAAAGAAGTCGCATGTTTTGGTGACAATCCTTGAGGTTGTTGGTTCTTCAATTGGGCTGGGGACATTTATCATTGTGCTGATACTCTTGATGCGCCACATGAAGAGTAAGAAGAGAAGAAAGGAACACAATGGCGTCATGTTCAAGGTACTAATAAAACAATACACTTACGCACAAGTGAAGAAAATTACAAAGTCATTTTCACAGAAAATTGGGAAAGGAGGATTTGGAACTGTCTATGAAGGAAGCCTTTCTAATGGATGTAAAGTTGCGGTAAAGGTCTTAAAGGATTTGAAAGGAAATGGTGAGGATTTCATCAACGAAGTCGCTAGCATGAGCCAGACATCTCATGTTAACATTGTTTCTCTACTTGGTTTCTGCTACGAAGGTTCGAGGAGAGCAATCGTATATGAGTTCTTGGAGAATGGGTCTTTGGATCAATTTATGTCAAGAAAAAGGCCATTGACTCTTGATGTGACAACACAATATGGAATCGCGCTAGGTGTTGCTCGAGGATTGGAGTACTTGCACTATGGTTGCAAAACAAGAATTGTGCATTTCGACATCAAACCTCAGAATATTCTGTTAGATGGCAATCTTTGTCCTAAAGTCTCGGACTTTGGCCTTGCTAAACTTTGTGAGAAAAGAGAAAGTGTTATGTCACTGATAGACACAAGAGGAACTATTGGTTACATTGCACCTGAGGTGTTCTCAAGGATGTACGGCGGAATCTCCCACAAGTCAGATGTGTATAGCTATGGAATGTTGGTACTCGAGATGATTGGAGCAAGAAACAAAGAAATATTTGAAGCTAGAGCTTCTAGTGCTAGTACCGTTTACTTTCCTGATTGGATCTATATGGATCTTGAAAATGGAGAGCAAACGTGGATACTTGGAGATGAAGTAACCAACGAGGAAAAAGAGATTGCAAAGAAGATGGTCTTAGTGAGCCTCTGGTGTATTCAACCATGTCCATCAGATCGTCCACCGATGAATAGAGTTGTTGAGATGATTGAGGGAAGTTTGGATGCTCTTGATTTACCTCCTAAGCCTTCTATGCATATTTCCACTGGGCTTATTATTGAATCTTCTTCGCTTCCTAATGGTGAAGAAAATCAAAACTCAAGCCTATGATTTTACTAATGTAAATTTTACGTGAAAGACTAGTTTTGTTTTTGATGATTGAATAGAAAGAATTCTGAAACATATTAAAACATTTCATAAACCGTAGCAAGAATTATACTATTCAAATACCAAAGACTAGACCAACACAAAATCTTATTAAGCATAAATAAAAGTCTAGTGACGACGAAAATAAAAGTAAGGGTTAATATAAAATATTCCTTAACCAACTAAACTCTTGTGTGACTGTGGAAATTAAGATTTCATTTGATTATTTGTTTTCTTAAGAAAAATAGCATCGTGGAGGAAAAGAAACAACACCAATTGCATTTTGCTTTCCATGGCTACAAAACAAGATCCTTTCGACAGAACACTAGATTCCCTTCATTTCCCTCTATCGAAACCTTAAAATTCTTACAGTAATAACAAAACCCCAAGAGATGAGAGAAAAGTTAAAATCTTTGACGTGGGCAACAAGAAACTGTTGACTGGTGGTGGGTCGAGCAAAGCTTGTCTATTATGCTCTGTAAGGTGGTGCTTTCCTGATTGGATCCATAAGGATCATGAAAATGGAGAACAAACGTGGATACTTGGAGATGAAGTAACCAAAGAGGAAAAAGAAAATGCAAAGAAGATGATCATGGTGAGTCTCTTGTTTATCCAACCATGCCCATTAGATCGACCATCGATGAACATAGTCGTTGAGATGATAGAAGGGAAGTTCGGATGCTCTTGAAATTCTCCCTAAGCCATAAATGCATATTTCAACAAGGCTTATTTCTGAATCTTCTTCAGTTCCTTTTAAAGCAAACTTAAAGAACACTCAAACAATAATTTGGTCCCACAAATATTAAGCGCCAAAGTGGACAAAGTTTTTCTGATTCTTTATTAAAAGTTCATACTGTAATTTCAAAGAGCACATTTATGTATAATGAAACTTAAAAGTTAAAACTCTACAACATAGATTTTACTATAATAGGATTGGGGCAATCTTCTACTTTTTTTTTTTTCCATATAGTGGTTTTAATTATTGACATCGAACGGCCCCACGTAGAAATTTCATCAAAAACATTCTTTCTGTGGCTTGAACTGACAAGTTGACCCGTAGACTTACTCTCCACCATGCATGGCTTTGGACTTAATCATTCACTCCACTCTATCTCTTATCTTCGTCTCCGTCATTTCAACAACTCTCATTTTTCAATTCCGATTTAATTCTGATGTACAATTATCTGTCACGCTTTATTTATTTTCTTCATTCTAGTTTCCGCAGTCTCCGTCTTACAAAGAGCAACGGCGGCGTATACTCCGGCCGATGTCTTTCTCGTTGGCTGCGGGGCTACTTCCTACAATGTCTCTAGCAGTGGTCGGAACTGGACGGCGGAGAGTCAGGAGATTATGTCGTCGAATTCAGACAAAGCTTCGTTTTCTTGGGTTGCATCATTCATTGGACCCGGGGTTCCTCTGGTGCCCTACACGACGGCTCGGATTTTCCGATCCGATTTCACTTACAGTTTTCCAGTTTCTCCCGGCTGGAAATTCATCCGGTTATATTTTTACCCGGGCGGTTATAATATATCCGGTGATTTCGACGACGCTAACTCTTTCTTCTCCGTAACCACCAATGGTTACAATCTTTTGAAGAACTTCAGCGCCGATCAAACTGTAAAGGCTTCTAGTAATCCGGTCTTGGTCAAAGAGTTTATCGTTCCGGTTAACCAGACTTTGAATCTCACCTTCAGGCCGTCTCCGAATTCGTTAGCTTTTGTTAACGGAATCGAGATTGTCTCCATGCCTGATCGGTTTTACTCAAAGGGAGGATTCGACGACGTGATATCAAACGTCGGTAGCTCCGTTAACTTCTTGATAGACAATTCCACGGCTTTTGAAACGGTTTACCGGATAAACGTCGCCGGACAAAATATCAGCGACTCAGGTGACAAAGGAATGTTCCGGCGATGGCTTTCCGATGATGCGTTTATACTCCGTGTAAACCCGGGACTCAAGCCGGACGTTCTAGATGTAAAGATCAAGTACACGGAGAAAACTCCCGCGTATGTCGCGCCGGATAATGTGTACACGACGTCTCGTACAATGGGGAACGCCGCTAATCCTAAGCTTAACCTGAATTCCAATCTGACGTGGCTATTCCCCGTCGACGCCGGGTTTAACTACCTCCTTAGGCTTCATTTCTGCGAGACCCTCCGGGAAGTGAGCTTCCCGGGAGAGCGAGTCTTTAGCATCTTCATTGGAAATCAGGTTGCAAAGCTTGACATGGATGTGATTCAGTTAAGCGGCGGCTCTCGGATTCCGATATACCTAGATTTCAGTGTATTTGTTGGTTTGGAAAACGAGTCTAGAGCTGATCTACGACTTGACTTGCATCCTTTCAAGGACATTGCTCCAAAGTATTACGACGCCATTCTCAATGGTGTAGAGATTCTCAAGATGAATGAATTTGAGGGAAGTCTCGATGGACCGAATGGGTTCTCTAATCCAAAGAGAGAACCTACTAACTCGGAGGGCAATCTCGTTAGACCTAAACGTAAGCCAAATATGTTGGGAGGCAAGTTAAATGTCCTGATGATAGTTGTTGGTTCTGCATTTGGGCTGGTGACTTCCGTTGTTATCCTCATATTGCTGATGCGTCAGATGAAGAGGAAGAAGAGAAGAAAGGAAAATAGTGGCGTCATGTTCAAGGTACTTATTAAACAATACACTTACGCACAAGTTGGGAGAGGAGGATTTGGAACCGTCTACGAAGCAAACCTTCCTAACGGCTGTAAAGTTGCAGTAAAGGTCTTGAAGGATTTGAAGGGAAATGGTGAGGATTTCATCAACGAAGTCGCTAGCATGAGCCAGACATCTCATGTAAACATTGTTTCTTTGCTTGGTTTCTGCTATGAAGGTTCCAAAAGAGCGATCGTATATGAGTTCTTGGAGAATGGGTCTTTGGATCAGTTCATCTCTAGACAAAGGCCAATGACTCTAGATGTGAGGACGCAGTATGGAATCGCGCTTGGTGTTGCTCGAGGATTAGAGTACTTGCACTATGGCTGCAAAACAAGAATCGTGCATTTCGACATCAAACCTCAGAATATTTTGTTGGATGGCAATCTTTGTCCTAAAGTCTCGGACTTTGGCCTTGCTAAACTTTGTGAGAAAAGAGAAAGTGTTATGTCATTGATAGACACAAGAGGAACTATTGGTTACATTGCACCTGAGGTGTTCTCGAGTATGTATGGCGGTGTCTCCCACAAGTCAGATGTGTATAGCTATGGAATGTTGGTACTCGAGATGATTGGAGCAAGAAACAAAGAAAGATTTGAAAACACAGCTTCCGACACTAGGACATCATCTCACTTTCCTGATTGGATCTATAAGGATCTTGAAAATGGAGAGCAAACGTGGATACTTGGAGATGAAGTAACCGACGAGGAAAAAGAGATTGCAAAGAAGATGGTCTTAGTGAGTCTCTGGTGTATTCAACCATGTCCATCAGATCGTCCACCGATGAATAGAGTAGTGGAGATGATAGAGGGAAGTTTGGATGCTCTTAGTTTCCCTCCTAAGCCTTCCATGCATATTTCCACAGGGCTTACTCTTGAATCTTCTTCGCTTCCTAATGGTGAATAAGCGAGTAAACAAAACTCTAGCCTATGATTTACGAATGTAATTTACGTGAAAGACTACTTTTATTTTTGATGATTCCATAGAAAAAAAAACATAATAAAACATTTCATAAACCGTAGCAAAAATTATATTATTCAAAATACCAAAGAATAGACCGACACAAAATCTTATTAAGCAGAAATAAAAAAGGGCTGCTCAATTTGGTAAAACCGAACCGAAATAGCTCATATGGTTTGGATTTAGATATATTGTATGAACCTTATGAATACAATTTTATATAAACCATGAATATTAATATGGTATGGATATTAAATGAACTAACCGAAAAACCCAAAAAGTTATATATACTAATATAATAGTATATATTATACACATGATATATAATAATATAATTTTAGAGTAATTTCATACTTTCTCCGTTTCATAATAAGTGTCGTTTTGAATCTTGACTTATCTAATGTATCTAGATGTATTAAGACTCAAAACACATCCTAATATATCAGTAAATAGTCCAGATTCATTTTGTCAAAACGACACTTATTATGAAATGGAGGAAGTATAGAATTGTAAACTTTTAATTTACCAAAATTTAATAATAAAAAGACACTAGATACTAAAACCTAGATATTTAGAGTTTTATACTTTAAAGTAAAAGATGACTTTGTATTTTCTTATTTGAATTTAATTCTTCGTTTACCTGAAAAATTAAAATATTTATATACTAAAATAATAATCAAACAAAAAGTACAAATAACCTGAAAACTGAGATTATTGAAACCTAAAATATCTAAACTGAAAAAATCGATAACCGAACCAAAATAAATGTGGTTCTTATATAGTTGCTATTTTCATTAACCCGAAAACCGAAAAAAACTGAACCGACATGATATATGGATTGAACAGCCCTAAAAAGTATAGTTACTACTAAAAGAAAAGTAATGGTTAATATAAAATATTCCTGACCAACTAAACTCTGACGTATGTGTGGAAAGTAAGATTTCATTTGATTATTTGTTTTCTCAAGAAAAATAGCGTCGTGGAGGAAAAGAAACGACACCAATTGTATTTTTACTTTCCATGGCTACAAAACAAGATCCTTTTCGACAGAACACTAGATTCCCTTCACTTCTCTCTATCGAAACCTTAAAACTCTTACAGAAATTAGAAAACCATAGAGATAAGAGAAAAGTTTAAATCTTTGAGATGGGCAACAAGAAACTGTTGACTGGTGGTGGGTCGAGCAAAGCTAATGGTAGTGGAAGCTACAGAGATCCTCTGTTACAGAACCAGGTCTGCTTTTCAATTTCACAATTTCCAGATAAACCTTTCTTGTTTCTCACTTCCATGTCGATGATTAGTGAAGTTTCATGATAGCTGTTCTATAAAGTTTTGTCCTTTGCTTACCCAAAGTCTGGAACTTGAGTCAATTTTGTGAGAAAGTTCGTCACTTTTCACTGTAAATTGGAACAGAGTCGTGGTGACGGATTCTATTTCTAGGGTTAATTACGGAATTGGAATGAGTTTAAGTGTCAATGTTAAATTTTAGTTTTTTCAGGCATAGGCTATTAGTAATCACTCATTTGGAATGATCGGAATGTCACAGAAGAAATGTCCTTCAAAGTTTAAATCTTTGATTTGCCAGATTTTGAGTTCCCATGTTTAAATTCGAAGAATCTGATTAGTTTTTGAAGCATATGGTTCTAGTAATAATTGAATTGGAATGACGTTATGTCACAGAAGAAATGTCCTTTCAAAGTTTGAATCTTTGAATATGATTTGCCAGATTATGAGTTCCCAGAAGAAATGTGTTGTTTCAGTGAAATCCTTAGTTTGATTTGGCGAATTCCAAACTCTTACTTCGTTAACTCAATCAGGATAAAACGAAAGCAAACGGAGAGCAAACAAGCGAAAATGGTCAAAATGATCTCGAGCACGGTGTGGTTGAGGTATGTGCTTGTTCTTGTTGTTTACAGAAACTTTTTCATATATAGAAGTGAGACAAAGTTCTCTTTTTTGGTTGATTCAGGCAGCAAATGTTGGATTTGGCAGAGTCTTTGCGTTGGTGAGTGATTCTTAGCTAAGCAAAAAAGCTTACATTTTTATAAAAAAAGATTCGTCAATACTCAAAAACTTTTATGGTTGCAGGCAAAACCTGATGCAGGGAAGCTAGTGATTGGCACCATTGCTTTGTTGATAGCCTCAACAACTAATCTCCTTGTTGTACGTCTCTATCTCTCCTGATTATACTGTTGAAGGGTTTGTATCTCTTAAACAGAATCAAGAAATGTTTCTGTTGTGCAGCCGAAATTTGGTGGAATGATTATAGACATTGTATCCAGAGATGTCAACACCCCTGAGCAGCAAGCTGAGTCCATTCGCGCTGTTAGAAACGCCGTTGTGATCATCTTGCTCATCGTTGTAATCGGGTAGTTACATCATCAATACTCTTCCTTAGTCCTCTCTTGATCCTTAATCTTTTGGTTTTGTCTAACTTGGTTTCTTTCTTTAGGTCTGTATGCACGGCTCTGCGATCTTGGCTGTTCAATTCTGCAAGCGAAAGAGTTGTGGCTCGACTGAGAAAGGACTTGTTCAAACACCTAATGCATCAGGTAAAGATTTTTTACTCAACACATCTCTCTCAAGATTTCTTATGAACTAAACTCTACAAGATAACAGGAAATAGCGTTTTATGATGTTACCAAAACCGGAGAACTCTTGAGTAGACTCTCTGAAGACACACAGATCATTAAAAACGCTGCTACTACTAATCTCTCTGAAGCTCTTCGTAATGTAACAACTGCGTTTATTGGAGTTGGTTTCATGTTTACATCATCTTGGAAGTTAACATGTAAGAAGCTTTCTCTTCTCTGTTTAGATTATGTGTCTTATAAAAAAAACTGACTCATCTTCTTGTTCACCATCAATCAGTGTTGGCACTAGTAGTGGTTCCGGTGATTTCAGTTGCTGTGAAGCAATTCGGGAGATACCTCCGTGAGCTTTCACACAAAACTCAATCAGCTGCTGCTCTTGCTGCATCCATCGCTGAGGAGTCTTTTGGCGCAATCCGAACGGTTAGATCTTTTGCGAAAGAAGGTTATATGGTATCACAGTATTCCAAGAAAGTTGATGAGACTCTGAAGCTAGGACTCAAACAAGCTGTGAGTGCATATGTCTGTTTATTTCATAACAGTAATCTTTTTGATGTTTCTCTGAGAGTATATGTCTGTTTTTTTTTTTGTGATTCAAGGTACTCACCGGTTTGTTCTTCGGTGGACTAAACGCAGCTTTCACGTTATCTGTTATTACGGTTGTTAGTTATGGAGCTTACTTGACAATAACTGGCTCTATGACCGTTGGAGCACTCACTTCCTTCATTCTTTATAGCCTCACAGGTTTCATTTGACATTCTTTGTCTCTTAAATCTTGAAATAGCTTGAAGAGTTATTGTGTTTAGACTAAGATATTGTTTTGTTTTTTGGCAGTTGGTTCATCCGTATCTTCTTTATCGAGTTTGTACACAACTGCAATGAAAGCTGCAGGAGCTAGTAGACGGGTTTTTCAGATCTTGGACCGTGTTTCTAGCATGCCAAGTTCAGGGAAGGAGTGTCCTGTAGGGTTAGATTTTCCTCTTATACATTTCAATATTCATAAGAACAGTTTTGGATTTTAAAACTTGGGAATGTTATGGTTGCAGTAATCCTGATGGAGATGTGGAGATAAATGACGTTTGGTTTTCTTATCCTTCTCGCCCTAGTCACATGATACTCAAGGTAACACCAAATCTTGCATTACGTTTTAGATCATAGTTCCATCAGAAGAAACATATATCTTTCAATTTATCAACATTTTAGCAAGATGTAACTCCTGAGTTACAAAAAATGGCAGATTCTTGAATCATAACTGTAGTTGTGAAGCTGTTTCGGTTTTTAACCATCACTTAAACACCTGGAATTTGCAGGGTATATCGTTGAGGTTGACACCAGGTTCAAAAGTTGCACTTGTTGGACCAAGTGGTGGAGGAAAAGTAAGTTTCAGACCATACAGTTTTCGGTTTGGTTAAGCTACAGTTTTGATTTTGGTTTGGTTTTTATCAAGAATGTGTGTATTCAACATGAAAGAAACTACAGTTTTGATCGGCTTAGGTTACGGAGGTAAAGCTGAATTAGTTCATTTCTCTTCAGTTTGGTTTTTGAATAGGTTTTATGGATAGATTTCTGGTTTAGTTTGGATAAGATAGAACCGGTTTAGGCAAGAACTTCTTGCGAGGTCCAGTGAATGTTATTCATATTTTGGATTTGCCATATTGCAGACGACAATAGCCAATTTGATAGAGAGATTCTATGATCCTGTCAAGGGAAAGATTTTGCTTAATGGAGTTTCTTTGATGGAAATATCTCATCAATACCTTCACAAACAGGTAAAACAAAAAAAAAACTCTGTTTCTTGAATCATTCATGTGGTAGAAACCAAATCTTGATTTTTCTCCTGATTCGTTTCAGATCAGCATTGTAAGCCAAGAACCGATTCTATTCAACTGTTCAGTGGAAGAGAACATCGCATATGGATTCGACGGTGAAGCTAGTCAATCAGATATAGAAAATGCATCGGTAAGAAAGACACATCACATATCACAAAGTCTCTTCCTTTCACCATTTTTCTTGTGCTGATATTGGAATTCAAAATGAAATGTTGTTGTGTGCAGAAAATGGCGAATGCGCACGAGTTCATAGAAACATTCCCGGATAAGTATAAAACCGTTGTCGGAGAACGAGGAATACGTCTCTCAGGAGGACAGAAACAGAGGATCGCAATCGCGAGAGCGCTTCTTACAAACCCTAGAGTCTTGCTTCTTGATGAAGCAACAAGTGCGCTTGACGCAGAAAGCGAATATCTTGTTCAGGTAAATAAATAAAAAAACAAGAACCTTTGTGAATTAAGAACTCATAAACAGCTTTACTCATATGATCTTAATGTTCTTTGAATCTGTTTTTTGCAGGATGCGATGGACTCGTTGATGGCGGGAAGGACGGTTTTGGTGATAGCTCATCGGTTATCGACGGTTAAGACTGCAGATTGTGTGGCGGTTATATCAGATGGTCAAGTGGCTGAGAAAGGAACTCATGATGAGCTTCTCAGCTTTAATGGAATCTACACTAATCTTGTCAAGAGGCAGCTTCAGAGTTCTTCTTCTGTTACCAACTTGTGAGATAATATTATTCTTCTGACAACAAACAACAAAAAGAATAATTTTTTTTTAGATTTGATTGTGGAAATAAGTTGTCTATGAAAATTGAAGCCTTCTATATGAGCTATATAATGGTTTGCATGTTAAAATAGTATAACGAGAATTCTATTAAAAATTGAATTAGGAACAAAAATCGATTGTGATTCCACATTCTTGCCTTCTTGGGAAGGATTTTTTTTATTGAAAACAAGATCACTGAAAATTGGAACCTCTTGGGAATGATTCTTTTTTTTTAAGATGAATTTTTTAGCTATTTTTTTTTGTTCCTTCGAAGATAAATTTTATAGGTTTTCAATGTATATTTTCTTGATTAAAGTAAAAAAAACAGATTTCAATGACTTTCTTGTACTACTATTGGTTTAAAATTGTTTAATTTAGAAAATTTATTAAACTTTTACTTTTTTTTTAATATATGTGAAAAAACTAAAAAATCCATCTTAAATAAACGGAAAGGGTATTATTTTATCAGCATATAACAACTTTTGTTTTAATAGGTTTGTTCTGGGCATCTATTTTTTAGTATTTAAAGATATCGAACAATCATGGACGTACTATTGTCCAAAGACATCTACAAAATTAAATTTTGGTATTTTTCTGGCCTATGACCATTCAATTTTCAGCTACGGCAGTGCCTCACGGGAAAACGACCAATCATGCTTCAATTATTTTGAGAGGTGTCATTAAGTATCTTAAAGAAAGCAGCTTTTATATGTGAGAACTTTTCTCTAATCTCGTTTGACATGTGTCAATTATTCACAAGTTAGTTTTTTATTCAAAAATTAAAATTTAGTTAGATAATCAAATCTTATAATATAAAGTTGGATGCGCGCAACGTGGTTGCGACACGTAGGATTTTTATAAAATATAGGATTGCGACATGTGTCACTTTTAATGTTATATCCGTTAAGATCGTGACACATGTCTTCGGAAAAAAGAAATTTTTATTTTAAAGGGAAAATTTTAATATCTTATAATAAAAACGAAATTTTATATAATAAAATGAAAATAATGTAATAAAAAATTCCTATTAGTATATGGAATAGGTATGTAAACTAAATATCCTAAAATTGTATGGAATAGTTATATAAACTCCTATTTAAAAAAATCCTATTAGTACATGTAATAGGTATGTAAACTAAATATCCTAAAACTATATGAAATTGGTTACATGAACCCCCTATAAAAAGAGAGCTACTGTAGTCTCTTTTTCTCATTCACAAACTCATCAAAGCAAATTCAGAAAATCTCTTTGATTCTCTTTCTCTAATTTCAAAATCATGTCTTTGAAAGTTCAAGAGAACAGTGGAGATTATTTGACTCTAGGTCAATTGGATCGAAATTAAAATTATTTGAATAAAATCCTATTAGTACATTAGGAAAAATCAGAAAACAGGAAACAAACAATTAAAAAGAAAAAATATTACATCCATTATGAGAAGTAAAGAAAAAACATAATTCTATTACGAAAAGGAAAAAAAACGAAAATCAGAAAAACATGAAGAAATAATTAAAAAATGTTACATCCAATAAGAAAAGGAATAAAAAACATATTCCCATTACGAAAATGAAAAAAAAAAAATATATAACAAGCTATATTTTTTAAGTTTCTTTCTCATTAAGAAATAAAATTCATGTCTTTAAAAGTTAAAGATATCAATGAAGAATACTTAACTTTAGATCGATACATGTGTCTAATATTTGATGAAGTGATGACATGTGTCAACACAAGAAAATTGGAAAAATGTAGTAACATAAATAAATAAACTAACAAAATAATATTAAAACAACTAACTAATAATGAAAATGAAAATTTATAATGGTCAGAGGCAAAAACGAAATTGAAAAAGAAACAATATAAATAGAAAACTAACAAAATAATTATTAAGGAACTAAATAATATTAAAAAAGAAAATTTTATAATGGACTGATCTTCTAATATTAAATAGTTTAATTTTCATGTTTTGTTAGGTAAAAAAATATTAAAAATAAAGATTTCATCATGGAATAATCAAAGTTTCATAAAATAATGAGTCGATTAGATTTAGACACATGTAAATCTTTCTATTTCATATCATGAATTCAAAATAAAAATGTAAAAGACTACATATCTTTATTTAGAGATTTGTTATCGGGTTTTTAATATTATTTTCTTATTTTTAAAATTGATCAAATTTTGTTTAATATTCTTCCGTGATTTAAAAAAATAAAAATAAATAAACCCGCGTATACGCGGGACCTTATCTAGTTATATATAAATAATATTAACATATTTTTGAGAATTTTATTTGAGGTAGCTGAAAATTAAAAATATGTACCATAAGACATTAAGGAAAACAACCAATTTGTATCCCAATTATTTTAAGAGATGTCATTAAGTACCTTAAAGAAAATAGCCTTTATATGTGAGAACTTCTCCCTAACTTCATTTGACATGTGTCAACTTTTCACTAGTTAATTTTTTTATTTAAAAATTAAAATTTCGTTAGATAATCAAATTATGTATAAATAATATTTTTTGAGGATTTTATTTGAGGTAGCTGAAAATTAAAGATATGTACCATAAGACATTAAGGAAAACAACCAATTTGTATCCCAACTATTTTAAGAGATGTTATTAAGTATCCAAACAATTTAGGTGCACTACCTCAACCATATAAATTATTAGTGATTTGGCCAAAATCAACATTGATCCGAATTCTGTTAGTTAAAATTACGATTATGTTATGTTAACGGTGTTTGGCCAAAACTATTTGCATGTTAAAATAGTATAGCGAGATATTCCATTAAAAGATGAATTAAAAGAAAAAAAGTTAGAATGTGATTCCACAATCTCACAAGTAAGAAGAACAAATGATAAGATCAGTGAAAACTGGAACCTCTTGGGAAGGATTTATTTATATTATATTTTTTTTGTCGGCGTATGGGATTTGTTCTTGTAGCCTACATTTTCATTATCTGAAGATATCCAATAATCATGGACTACTGTTGTCAAAAGAAATCCAAAACAAAGATATCCTCAAAAGCAATTTTGGTACTTGAACTTTACTTTCTTTGATGACCATTCAATTTTCAACTTTCCCACTTTTCAGCTACCACAGTGCTGTATTGCATCACAGTAAGCACACCCTAAATGCCGCACACATGTGTATAATAAAATTACAATTGTAATTAAGTTTTCTCAATCCAGTTCTCATGTAGAGTTGTTTTTTACTTCTATAAATTGAGATCGATAAGGGATATACAATGTAACAAGAGTTATTAATAAAACACCTTTTAAGATTAAAAAAAAAAGAAAAAAGAAGAAGCATATAAGTTGCTTAATGCATATAAGCATAACAAGAGTTATTAACTTGCAACTCATGTAGAATTGTTGCTTAATTTGGAACGGAATTTTTGTAATAAAGTAAAGAAAGTTCTCTTAGGTGTAAACAAATTCAAACTAAGAAGAGGTTGTTGCTAAAAAGAGCTTAATTTAGATAGAACATAAAGATAGAAATTAGCTCGTACGTATGACCTTTATTAAGCAAGAAAAGTAAATGAAAGGAAATATTACAAGAAGAACATCAAAATCAAAATTTCAGATCGATGTATCATAAGAATTTAGAACGAGGGAGGGTTGCGTTTTGGGTTTGAAGTCATAACTTCAATATTTATGGCTTTACTAATTTTACTAATTCTTTTTTTTTTCTAGCTCTCTTACTGAATTCTTTTACACCTCTCACATATATATATATACACGAGAGTGTCATCACCATTTGAGTACCTCCAGGCTCCAACCACAAGATTACCGAAGAAAATGGATTCTTCGCTTAACGTCATTGAGGTGTCACGAGTCACACCTTCAAACACTGACTCGCCCGAGTCATTCACTCTCCCGCTCACTTTTTACGACCTTCAGTGGTACAAACTCCACCCGGGCCAACTAGTCATCTTCTATAAACTCACCGACGCAACTCGCCCTTTCTTCGACTCAGTCATCGTCCCCAAACTCAAAACATCTCTCTCCTCAACCCTCTCTCACTACCTCCCACTCGCCGGCCAACTCCTCTGGGACACGCTCGACCAAAAACCGAGCGTCGTCTACATCCCTAACGACGCCGCTTCATTCATCGTCGCCGAGTCAAACGCGGATTTCTCCCGTTTAACCGGGAAAACACCGTTACCCACCGCTGAGTTACACCGACTAGTGCCCGAGTTAACAAACGCCGATGACTCGGCCACCGTCGTGTCGTTTCAAGTCACGCTTTTCCCTAACCAAGGGTTTTCCATTGGCAAAACCATACACCATGCCGTTGTTGACGGAAAAACGACAAGCATGTTTCTCAAAGCATGGGCGCACACATGCAAACAACTTCACGACCAAACCGCGAACGCTTCCTTACCGCAGGATCTAATCCCGTTTTACGATCGAACGGTCATAAAAGATCCAAAGGATATCGAGAGGGAGATTTTGAACCTGTTCTCCGGCGGCAAAGAACAAGAGAATCTCAAGAGCTTAAAGCTTTTTCCGTCGCCGGAGATTAGTCCCGACATTTTCCGTTACACACTCGAACTCACTCGTGAAGACATCCAAACGCTTCGAGAACGACTCAAGAGAGAATCTCAATCAAAGGAGCTTCGATTGTCGACGTTTGTGGTTATATATTCATACGCGTTAACGTGTTTAATCAGAGCTCGCGGCGGAGATCCGGATAGACCAGTCGGGTTCGGATTCGCGGTGGATTTTCGAAGCCTCGTTGATCCGCCGGTTCCGTCTAACTACTTCGGGAACTGCATTTCGGGTGCGCTTCAAACGCCGTTCACGGCGGAGACGTTTATGGGTGAGGAAGGGTTTTTGGCTGCTGCGAGACACGTCAGCGATTCGGTTGAGGCATTGGATGGAAGCGTGGTGCTGAAGATTCCTGAGGTTTTGAAAGGGTTTATGACTCTTCCACAAGGTTCACAGGTTCTCTCTGCTGCCTGGTCGACCCGGTTTGGGGTATACGGATTGGATTTCGGGTGGGGCAGACCGGAGAGAGTGGTGTTTGTGTCGATCGATCATGGCCAAGGGATTTCAATGGCGGAGAGTAGAGATGGGAGTGGTGGTGTGGAGGTTGGCTTCTCGCTCAAGAAACATGAAATGGACGTTCTTGTTGATTTGCTTCATGAGGGACTTAAAAAATAATAATTACCCTAAGGAATAAAATAATACTCCTACACTGTGTAGAAGAAATCAAATTGATTCTGTGTTTGTTTTTGGATGTCGGGAAATTGTATTTTTTTTTTTTGTTTGTTAATGATGTCGGGAAAATTGTATTTTTTATCTTGTTAAAGATGTCGGAAAAATGTATTTTGTTTTTGTTTGTTAATGATGTTGGGAAAATTGTAGCTTCCGCCTTTTAATAAAAAGCTATAAGAGCAAGTAAAGTTAAAATCTAGAGTTTATTTGGGGTTCCTACACAAAAATAGTTCGATTACTTGCAAATAATTAATCAAATAGATTATATATGTTAATTAGTAATAATATTTCACAACGAAAGTAAAATTAAAACTTGAAAGATATGTAAACGATATGAACCCATCTATCCATAACCCACTCTCCCACTCACTCACCTTCTTCGACCTTATGTGGTTCAAACTCCCCCGCGTCACAGAGAATGTCGCTTGGAAGATTCCAATGCTGCTTCAGTCGGGTCACATTCCAGGTCGGCCCGGGGAAAAAGGGTTAGGTTTCGGGTGGGGCATACTGGAGAAAGGGGAGATCGTGTTCAATACGATCAAGGCGCATTGTCAAGAAGATTGGCTTCTCTCTCAAGAAACACGAAATGAATGTTATGACTGATTTGCTTCATAACGGACTTAAGAATTATATTACTTTTCGTTTTTATGCAGAAAGGAACAAATTGCCGCTGATATGATATGCGTTTGCTCAAGCGTAGTTTCTTGCTACCCAAGTTACACAAGTACTGACCTTCAAGAATGCTATTAGCTGTGATTTGATCTAGACGCCAAAACTTCAAACATGTCTTATCAGCTGGACATATCTGGAAAGTTGGTCGGAGCCATATTGTCTAATTTAAGTTCCAAAGTATATAGTATGTGTTGTTTGTGAAAGAAGAAGCAAACAGTTGGTACCGTTGTATTATTATTTGTTTGGGCCCTTTTATATGTTTTTTCGGGGAGGGTGTAAATGTTAAGAAATTTATCTTTAAACAATATAAAGAAAATCCTGAAATTTTATGTTTGTTATATACTTCTTAAACTAATACGTCAACAGTAGTGATAGCTGTCAAAGTGGACATTGGCCTATAGGCGAGTCCATGTCCATGTAAATATGGACGGATATGGATGAGCCTATTTTCCATATGGGCATAACTGGACATATCCAATTTAGCCTATGAACAAATATGGACGGACATGTGTGGACATGGACTGTCCAATGGACAGTCAAATCGATTTGGGGAAAATTATTTTTCATAATTCACGCAGAAAAAAAAATTCGATTTTCAAAAAAAAAAAATATGATCAAAAATTTGAATTTTTTTTGTCTATAGACAGTCCACGGACAGCCCAATTTAGATGGGCTATAATGGGCATGGGCCGATATGGACATGGTCCTAAATGGACATGGACAATCTTTTGTCTACAAAACAGATGGATAAAATTGGACGGGCCAAAATGGACGTGGACACCCATATTGACAGCTCTAAGTGATACAAAACAACTTTTCCGCTTATAATGTAAACCTTACAGAATAAAAAACATACAGTAAAACCTCTATAAAACAATAATGTTGGGACTTTGAAATTTTATTATCTTATAGAGTTATTATTTTATCGATAAAACAATAATATTATTTTATCGATAAAACAATAATTATTATTTTATAGAAATATTCTATCAAAAACAAGAAACTTTATAAAATATTTTTTTCACTTTTTTATTCAAATTTTCCTTATACTTTGTTATTTACATATTTCATGCTCAAAGTTCAAAATCTAGAAGAAATTATGTCTAATGTTCTTAATGGTGAAGATGAAGTTGAAGATGATGAGGAAGACATGTGCAAGTAGTAAGCAATTGTGGCTTCGAGAACTCTTCACAACTTTTGACTGCAAGTTGAGAATACATCACCAGAAATTGTAGATGCAATAAGAAAAATTCGAGATGAGCTCCAACGGGAATCCAACTTTCAGAAAAGACAAACTACATTGGAGTCATATTTTACTAAATTGTCTTAGATATATATGCCTTAGTTTTATAATTATTATCTTAGGTTATTGTTGGGACTATATTTTTACATAGGAGTTTCAAAAATATTATTGTCTTATCATCTTATCGCATTATGCTATTTTTTACATTGGCCCGAGTTGGGACCGGAGAAAATTATTGTCTTATAGTGTTTATTGTTTTATCGAGTATTGTTTTATAGAGGTTTTACTGTATGTTGTTCTTCATCACGTATTCATATGGTTTTTTATTCCTTAACGCACCGCTCCAAGACATGAATATTTGCTTTTTATGGAGCTGTGCGATTAATTATCATACAAAAATAAATGGGAAGCGAGTTTGAAACACATGAACGTCTCTCAGGAGGACAGAAACAGAGAATGGCAATTCCGAGAGCCCTTCTTACAAACCCGAGAGTCTTGCTTCTTGATGAAGCAACAAGTGCGCTTGACGCTGAAAGCGAATATCTTGTTCAGGTAAATAAAAAAACAGAACCTTTGTGAATCAAGAAATCAAAAACAACTTTACTCATATGATCCTTATGTTTTTTGAATCTGTTTTTTGCAGGATGCGATGGACTCATTGATGGCAGGAACGACGGTTTTGGTGATAGCTCATGATGAGCTTCTCAACTTTGATTACCCACGACCATCCGACTTTCAGCTACTTCAATGTCTTGGGGGGGGGGGGGGGACGACCAATCATGCTTCATTTATTGTTAGAGGTGTTGTCATTACCTACCTTAAAGAAAGCAGCCTTTAACGGTGATGCCTACTATGAAAGCATCCCCATCAAGAAATTCTAAAAAACTAAAAATAATGGAAAAAAAAACAAAAAATAGGAGAGAAGGACTAGAATCGGTTCTCATTTGAGAACTTGTGAGAACTTCTTCCTAACCTCATTTGACATGTGTCAACTTTTCACTTGTTAATTTTTTATTCAAATACTAAAATTTAGTTAGATAATCAAATTATATATAAATAATATAATTTTTGAGAATTTGATTTGAGGTAGCTGAAAATTAAAGATATATACCATAAGACATTAAAGAAAAACGACCAATTCGTATACCCAACTATTTAAGAGATGCATTAAGTATCTGAACAATTTAAGTGTACTATTACGTATCTCATCCATAAGCAATTACTAGCTTTTATGTACTCAAATTATTAGTGTTTTGGCCAAAATCAACATTGATCCAAATTCTGTTAGTTAAAATTTCGATTATGTTATGTTAACGGTGTTTGGCCAAAACTATTTGCATGTTAAAATAGTATAGCGAGACATTCAATTAAAAAATGAATTTAAAGGAAAAAAATAGAATGTGAAAGAATTCCACATTCTTAAGGAGAAAGAACAAAGAATAAGATCACTGAAAAGTGGAACCTCTTGGGAACGATTTATTTATATTACATTCTTTTTGTTGGCATATAGGATTTGTTTTTGTCACCTATTTTTTCATTATTTGAAGATATTAAACAATCATGGACTACTCCTGTGAAAAGAAATCCAAAATAAAGACATCCACAAAATTTAATTTTGGTATTTGAACTTTACCTTCTTTGATGACCATTCAATTTTCAACTATCTCAGTTTTCAGCTACCACAGTGCTGTATTGCATCACAGTAAGCACACCCTAAATGCCGCACACATGTGTATATAAAAATTACAATTGTAAGTTTTCTTAATCTAGTTCTCATGTAGAGTTGTTTTTTTACTTCTACAAGTCGAGATCGATAAGGGATATACAATGTAAGAAGAGCTATTAATAAAACACCTTCTAAGGGATTGTCAGCAAAACTTGCAACTCATGTAGAATTGTTGCTTAATGCATATAAGTTGGAACGGAATTTTTGTAATAAAGTAAAGAAAGTTCTCTTAGGTGTAAACAAGTTCAAACTAAGAAGAGATTGTTGCTCAAAAGAGCTTAATTTAGATAGAACATAAAGATAGAAATTAGCTCGTACGTATGAGCTTTATTAAGCAAGAAAAGTAAATGAAATGAAGTATTACAAGAAGAACACCAAAATCAAATTTTCATATCGATGTATCATAAGAATTAAGAAAGAGGGAGGGTTGCGTTTTGGCAACTCCCAAAGTTACAAAACAATGTTCTCCATAATAAAGACAAACAAACGATTTAGAACTAGGGTTTGAAGTCATAACTTCATAGACATCCACAAAATTCAATTTTGGTACTTGAACTTCACTTTCTTTGATGACCATTCAATTTTCAACTACCACAGTGTTGTATTGTGTCACAGTAAGCACACCCTAAATGCACACATGTAACTTTGTCCAAACAAAAAATAAAGTCATAACTTCAATATTTATGGCTTTACTAATTTTACTAATTCATTTTTTCTTTTTTCTCTTACTGAATTCTTTTACACCTCTAATACATATATACACGTACGAGAGTATCATCACCATTTGAGCACCTCACCACCACAAGACTACCGAAGAAAATGGATTCTTCGCTTCACGTCATCGAGGTGTCACGAGTCACACCTTCAACCACTGACTCGTCCGAGTCATTCACTCTCCCGCTCACTTTCTTCGACCTTCAGTGGTACAAACTCCCCCCGGTCCAACGAGTCATCTTTTACCAACTCACTGACGCAACTCGCCCTTTCTTCGACTCAGTCATCGTCCCCAAACTCAAATCATCTCTCTCCTTAACCCTCTCTCACTACCTCCCACTCGCCGGCCAACTCCTATGGGGCTCGCTCCACCAAAAGCCAAGCATCGTCTACACCCCAAACGACGCAGTTTCACTCACCGTTGCCGAGTCAAACGCCGACTTCTCCCGTTTAACCGGGAAAAAACCGTTCCCCTCCGCCGAGTTGTACCCATTGGTGCCCAAGTTACCAAACTCTGACGACTCGGCCACTGTTGTGACGTTTCAAGTCACGTTTTTTCCTAACAAAGGGTTTTCCATAGGCGTAAACGCACACCATGCCGTATTTGACGGAAAAACAACAACCATGTTTCTCAAAGCATGGGCCCACACATGCAAACAACTTCATGACCAAACAGCAAACGCTTCCTTACCGCAGGATCTAATCCCGTTTTTCGATCGAACGGTCATAAAAGATCCGAAGGATATCGAAACGGAAATTTTGAACATGTGGCAATCTTTACTCAAACGGTTCTCCGGCGGCAAAGAATCAGAGTATCCCAAGAGCTTAAAGCTTTTTCCGTCGCCGGAGGCTAGTCACGACATTTTCCGGTACACACTCGAACTCACTCGAGACGATATCCAAACGCTTCGAGAACGACTCAAGAGAGAATCTCAATCAAAGGAGCTTCGATTGTCGACGTTTGTTATTACGTATTCCTACGCGTTAACGTGTTTAATCAGAGCTCGTGGCGGAGATCCGAATAGACCAGTCGGGTACGGATTCGCGGTGGATTGTCGGACCCTCGTGGATCCGCCGCTTCCGTCTAATTACTTCGGGAACTGCATTTCGGGTACGCTTGAAATGTCGTTCACGGCGGAGACGTTTATGGGTGAGGAAGGGTTTTTGGCTGCTGCGAGACACGTCAGCGATTCGGTGGAGGCATTGGATGGAACCGTGGTGTTGAAGATTCCGGAGCTTTTGTTAGGGTTTGCGACTCTTCCACGAGAGGCACAGGTTCCTTCTGTTGCCGGGTCGACCCGTTTTGGAGTATACCAGTTGGATTTCGGGTGGGGAAGACCGGAGAGAGTGATGGTTGTGTCGATCGATCAAAACGCGATTTCAATGGCGGAGGGTAGAGATGGGAATGGTGGTGTGGAGGTTGGCTTCTCGCTCAAGAAACAGGAAATGGACGTTCTTGTTGATTTGCTTCATGAGGGGACTTAAAAAGTAATATAAGTACTTATAATTGAAGAAAATAATACTATAAGAAATCTAATTGATTCTGTGTTTGTTTTTGGATGTCGGGAAAATTGTATTTTTTTTGTTAAAGATGTTGGAAAAATAGTTGAATATGTTTGATTGTTTGCTTCATGTCGGACTTAAGAATTAAAATACTTTTCGTTTTTGAAAGGAATGCAATAAATAGAAGTGAAACTTGCAGAAAGGAACAAATTGCCGCTGATGATATTTGTATGATGAGTTTGGTCAAGCGCAGTTTCTTGCTACCTACGTTACACAAATCTTTGACCTTTGGCGAACGCTAAAATATTTGTTCTAACAAAACATGTAACTTCAAATATGTCTTATGAGCTTTCCAAGCTACCCACTTTGACCACATATTTCTCATCCAATTGAACTTTAATTTTGACAAGTAAATACGGTAGCTCATAAGAGCTCATTACAAGAAACTCAAAGACTCCAAAATCCGGTCATTTCGGTGATGGAATTCACCGGATAAAATATCTGGAAATTTAGTCGAAGCCATATTGTCTAAATTTTAAGTTATTCCAACAAGTATATATGTGTCTTAATATTTTATACTTGTTGGAATAACTTTAAATTTGTCTAGATTGCACTCGCGAGGGCGCTTCTTCCAAGTTATATACAAACCTGATAGTCTTGCTCCTTGATTAAGCAACAAGTGCACTTGATGCTGAAAGCGAATATCTTGTTCAGGTAGACAAAAATCAAGAACTCAAAAAGACTAAAAACTCAAAGAAAATTACTCATATCTTAATGTTTTTGAATCTGTTTTTGGAGGATGCAATAGACTCGCTGATGGCGGGACGAACGGTATTGGTGATAGCTCATTGGTTATCGACGGTTAAGACCGCAGACTGTTTGGCGGTTATATCAGATGGTCAAGTTGCTGAGAAAGGAGCTAATGATGAGCTTCTTAGCTTTAGTGGAATCTACACTAATCTTGCAAAAGAGACGGCTTCAGAGTTCTTCCTCAGTTACCAAATTGTGAGATAATTTTGTTTTCTAGCGATAACAACAAAAAGAGGACTTCATTGGTATTTTTGTATATTCTGATTTACGATCTTTGTCTATGAAAAATCGGAACCTTTTATACGAGCTGGAGGGTTCTCTCACATAATAAAAATAATAACAGGACATTCCGTTCCAATTAAGAAAAACAAAATGGGAACACCCATTCTGGAGTAAGACCAAAGATCATTGGAAGCATCTTTTGAAGATTTGGAATAGTACGTTTCTGTCGTCTTGTTTGTATAATTTGAATAGAGATTGAGACTTGAGAGTAAGTCTACAACGTAATTTTCAGTTTTTTTTTCTGATCCAATATCGATAGTGACATTGTGGGAAACCATACCTGTGAACATGTGCTGTGATGCTGCCGATATTTTTTTTGTTAAAGTTTTTGATTTTCTTTTTCTTTGAAAATTAAATTTTATACTTAAATTTTGTCTATTTTGAGATTTGATTTTCCGAAATTTGTTTTAATGCTCTTCAATTTTGGCATTACTTTTATCGAATTATTTTTATTGTTTGGTAATCATTTTTTTTTTCTAACAGTTTAAAACAAACAGTCTTCATGGTCTTTTTTAACGTATGTTTCCACTAACTTAGTTATATATTATTTATTTTATTTGTTTATGGTTGATAAATGAATAAGCTATTCATGCCCAATTATTCTAATAATAAAATATATGTTTTTAACCAGTTTTTGGTTTTGTAATTGTATGTTTCAATCGTCTATATATTTTAAATTTGTAATTATTCCTGCGATCGGTAAGTGAGTGAATTATTTACGTCATGCTCAACTATTATAATTACTTCTAAATTGTTTCAATATGTGCTTCTAGGTTCCAATGAAAACTAATACATTTAAGAATTTTTTGAAGTAATGTTATATTTATAATATTATTTTCAAATATAAAGTTCTTACAAATATTTTTTAGAAAATTTAATAGCATATTTATAACTTAGCTTATAAAAATTTATAAATTTGTATTTTTCATAAACTATCTATACTTATAAATTGTTAAAGGTGATATTATCAAAAGTAGATAGAAAAAAGTAGTACTTAAGAAAATTATTATAGAAGTGATACTTTTGAAATTTCTCGAATATACTTTAGTTTTTAGATGGATTTTCATGTTTCTTTAGACAAAAAAAAAATAATAAAAAAATAAGGGAAATGAAAGTTGCACAAAAAGAAGAAGAAGGAAAAAAACTCAAAAGATAAATTTTATCCTACGGAAATGAATATTCGTAGATTCTAAAAGTCCAAATGGAAGACGAAAGAAACCACATTTTCAAACGTTACACGTACTTTTCTTTTTCTATTTTTCCTTTATATTCTTATTTCTCTTTAGATGTTTATAGAATTCAAATTGGCTATGAACTCTACTTTCTTGGGTACTTTCTTCGAAGACCTCGACCATTCAATTTCAGCTGCGTCATTGTCATACTTCCGAAACAAAATAGAACTATGTCCTTAATTATAATTAAGTCCTATAAATCAATTATTATTTTTATCAAAACAGAACTCGAAAGTAACTAAATAATATTCTCTCTATGTCCTAATAACAAATTTTATATAAATACATTTGTAACTGAATACAAAAATTTCACTTAACATAGAACAAACTTGATTTAAGAAAACAACTATGTAGATAAGAATCATAAGATCCATACAGCATACACATGTATACCTTAATGTTGTCTGTTGATCGAATCCATGTGTTTTGGTGCTATTCAACAATCAAAGGAAGCAAATCGATGACGAATCTCATGTATATTATTAGGCGGATAGCTAAAAAATGCAATTTCTCTAAACACAACACGTTATTTATCAGTCTATCACATTTTTGGCCGAACATCATTTTAGTGGCATGAAAGGTCCACTGTCCACCTTTGATGGTTCAGTACACAAACCTATCTAATATCTTCAAATGGATAATATTTAGTGACGAACATAAATATAACATGAATATAAGATCATTATATAAAGTTTACATTCATAATCTTGTTTTGAACTGACGATATGATATATAAAAATATCTATATTAATGGCTATTTGTTGGTGAATATCTTTTTTTGTCTCTTTTTTTTTTTAGTCAAATAGTACTCTCTTTGTTTTAAATTAGTTGTCGTTTTGGAAAAATGTATCTGCAATTATTTTGATGTATCTGCAATGCAAAATACGTTCAGATACATCTAAATATTTGCAGATACATTTTGCCAAAACGATAACTAATTTGAAATGGATGGAGTATAATCTATGGGCGATGGTAAAGATCAGTAAATATTTACTATTAACTTTGAAAATTGTTAACCATTGACCAGCTTTGAATTAGTCATACATTCAATATTTATCGCTTATCCATTATAGTAAAAAAAAATTCCCTTGTTTATACAAAAACCGAATTTTTGACCAAACAAAAATCGAATTTTTCTACACCTTCTCTCTCTATACACTACAGTTTCATCACCATTTGAGAATCTCACACCTCAAGATTTTCGGAAAAATGGATTCTTCACTTGACGTCATAGAGGTGTCACGAGTCACACCTTCAAAAGCTGACTCGCCCGAGTCACTCACTCTCCCGCTCACCTTCTTCGACCTTCTCTGGTTCAAAATCCACCCGGTCCAGCGAGTCATCTTCTACAAACTCACCGACGCCACTCGCCCTTTCTTCGACTCAGTCATCGTCCCCAATCTCAAATCCTCTCTCTCCTCAACCCTCTCTCACTACCTCCCTCTCGCCGGAAAACTCGTTTGGGACTCTCTCGACCTAACACCGAGCATCGTCTACACCCCGAACGACGCCGTTTCATTCACCTTCGCCGAGTCAAACGCCGATTTCTCTCTTTTAACCGGTGAAAAACCGTTCCCCTCCGCCGAGTTGTACCCGTTGGTGCCCGAGTTAACAAACTCCGATGACTCGGCCACCGCCGTGTCGTTTCAAGTCACGCTTTTTCCTAACCAAGGGTTTTGCATAGGCGTAAGCGCACACCATGCCGTTTTAGACGGGAAAACAACAACCATGTTTCTCAAATCCTGGGCCCACACATGCAAACAACAACAACAAGAGCGAACGGCGAATACATCCTTACCGCAGGATCTAATCCCGATTTTCGATCGAACGGTCATAAAAGGTCCAGAGAATATCGAAACGGAGATTATAAACGCGTGGCAATCTTTATTCAAACTGTTCACCGGCGGCAAAGAACCAGAGAACCCCAAGAGCTTAAAGCTTTTTCCGTCGCCGGCGATCAGCTCCGACGTCTTCCGATTCACACTCGAACTCACTCGAGAAGATCTCCAATCGCTTCGAGAGCGACTCAAGAGAGAATCTCAATCAAAGGAGCTTCGATTGTCGACGTTTGTGGTCACGTACTCGTACGCGATGACGTGTTTAGTCAGAGCACGCGGCGGAGATCCGAATAGACCAGTCGGGTACGGATTCGCGGTGGATTGTCGGAGCCTCTTGGATCCGCCGGTTCCGTCAAACTATTTCGGGAACTGCGTTTCGGCGTCGTTTAAAAAGCCGTTCAAGGCGGAGACGTTGATGGGTGAGGAAGGGTTTTTGGCTGCTGCGAGATTCGTCAGCGATTCGGTTGAGGCGTTTGATGAGAGTGTGGCGTTGAAGATTCCGGAGCTTTTGGCAGGGTTTGCGGATTTTCCACCAGGGGCACAGATTCCGTCTGTTGCCGGGTCGACCCGGTTTGGGGTATACGGGTTGGATTTCGGGTGGGGAAGACCGGAGAGAGTGGTGGTTGTGTCGATCGATCAAGGAGAAGCGGTTTCAATGGCGGAGGGTAGAGATGGGAATGGTGGTGTGGAGGTTGGCTTCTCGCTCAAGAAACATGAAATGGACGTTCTTGTTGATTTGCTTCGTGAAGGGCTTAAAAAATAAATAATGAGTGTTGTTGTTTTTGGATAATGGGAATATTGTAGCTTCCGGATTTTAATTAAACCTATGTGAACAAAACTCTCGAGACATGAATTTGAATGGTAACCATTATTTTTTGTCATATTTGTTGTAAACTATACTCTTCTAGATAGCAATATGTTTTGTGTTTATGAATGAGAAAAATACAAAGAAGTTTGGCGAGATGAGGAGAAAAAAGATCAAAGCGGATGAGTGATTGGATAAGTGTTTATAGCAAGAGTTTTTCATTCACTTCTTTTCTCAAAACTTATCTCACTCACATACAACTTATATATACAAGTGATGAATCCACGTCTATTTATAGTCTTGTGAGAAAGCTGTTCACAAGCTTGTAGACAAAGCTACTCACAAAGTTTGGAGATAAAACAATCAAGGGGAGATCATGAATGGTAAAAGCTAAATGTATTCTCAGAGATAAAGTAATATTTAATCACCTGTTTTTCATATCTTCCATAACAATATTGGAAAGGCTTTAAGTTTTAGGTTTATAATGAACAGAAACATATTACACTAAAATACGAAATAAAATCCCACAAAATTAAACTTTTAATGGATCATATCGGTTTACTGTCTAAGAGCATTAAGATATCTTTAGGATTTTCAAACAAAAAGATAATCATTATTTGATGTTCAACAAAAAAAAAAGATAATCATTATTTTACTTTATATACATTTTACAATTATATATATATATTTTTTTTTTAAGATTGAAACAATAAGAAAATGACAAGTATGCTTTGGTGTTTTCATAAGTATCTCAAAGGAACTCATTTGTGAACCCCAAATCATTCTTTTTGTTTCTCTATTCATGGGATACCCTCATGAAAACCCATCAATGGAGATGCGCTAACCTAATAAACCAGAGAACCAACTAACCAGATAAACGGGTAGAAAGCTACCTTAAAAGAGTTATCGCCACCATTGCCAGAGATACTTGCTGCCGGTGGAGGAAGGATCTAAATGCAAACAACCGCCACCCCAAAAGGAGAGATCATGATCTCCATCATGCCCCTACCTGAAAGCTCGTAGAAGAAGAAGCAAAAGGCGCATAAAGGATGTGGAGAGTCAATCTTGATACCCCTCTAGAACTGCTGTTAATTAATAAGGCTCGTCAAAAAGTTGCTGTCGCTTTAGTCAGTGACCAAAGGCTTAAATATGTTTAGTTTGATCAATGATTGCATTGATCACGGTTGTTTGGATATTTTTAGGTGTAAATTGATAAATGCATATACTTACAATTTACATGTGGTACGTGTAAAGAAAAATTTGTGGTCACAGTGATTTTTGGATCAAATATTTGTTTTGTAGTGAATTGTATAAAGTCTCATCACCATTCACACCTCCAGACTCATTCATCTCTCTCACTACTTATCACCAAAAACATGAACCCATCTGTTACCATTATCCACGTGTCACAAGTCACACCTTCAAATGCTGACTCGTCCGAGTCACTCATGACTCTCCCACTCACCTTCTTCGACCTTCTCTGGTTCAAACTCCACCCCGTCGAACGAGTCTTCTTCTACCGACTCACCAACGCAACTCGCTCTTTCTTCGACTCAGTCATCGTCCCCAAACTCAAATCCTCTCTTTCCTCAGCCCTCTCTCACTACCTCCCACTCGCCGGCCAACTCGTCTGGAACTCAGTCGATCATAAGCCGAGCATCGTCTGTTCCACAAACGACGCCGTTTCATTCACCGTCGCCGAGTCAACCGCAGATTTCTCCCAGTTAACCGGAAACGAACCATTCTCCGCCACCCAGCTGTACCAATTAGCGCCCCAGTTACGTGTCACCGAAGACTCAGCCGCCGTCGTGTCGTTTCAAGTCACGCTGTTCCCAAACCAAGGGTTTTGCATCGGCGTAACCGCAAACCATGCCGTTTTAGATGGAAAAACGACAACCATGTTTCTCAAATCATGGGCCCACACATGTAAACAACCAAACAATTCTCTACCGGAGGATCTAATCCCGTTTTACGATCGTACGGTCATAAAAGGTCCACCGGAGATTGATACGTTTCTCCTGAACATGTGGCACTCAGCCGCTAAAATGTTCGCCGGCGGTAAGGAACCAGAAAACCCTAAAAGTTTGAAGCATTTAATAACGCCGGAGATCGATCCCGACTTCTTCCGGTTCACATTCGAGCTCAGTCGAGGGAATATCCAAAAGCTTCGCGAGAGACTCAAAAGAGACCAGCCATCCGATTCCAAGCAGCTTCGCTTGTCGACGTTCGTGATAACGTTCTCTTACGCTTTCACGTGCTTAATCAGATCAAGAGGCGGTGACCCGAATCGACCCGTCGGGTATGGATTCGCGGCGGATTGCCGAAGCCTCCTCGTCGATCCGCCGGTTCCGTCGAGTTACTTCGGAAACTGTGTCTCGTCTATCTTTAGCAAGCCGTTGACGGCGGCGACTTTTATGGCTGAAGATGGGTTTTTGGCTGCTGCGAGATTTATTAGCGATTCGGTTGAGGAGTTGGATGGGAATGTGGCTTGGAAGGTTATGAAAAAGTACTCTGGTGCTCCATTCGGGTCACAGGTTTTGCATGTTGCCGGGTCGACCCGATTCGGAGTATACGGGTTGGATTTCGGGTGGGGCAGGCCGGGGAAAGTGGAGGTCGTGTCCATCGATCAAGACACGATATCCATGGCCGAGAGTAGAGACGGAAGCGGAGGTGTGGAGATTGGCTTCTCTCTCAAGAAACACGAAATGCACGTTTTGATTGATTTGCTCACCGACGAATTGAAAAATTAATCACTTTTTTTTCTTTGGAAGGAAGTGACGAATTAAAGGTGCTTATATCTTTTTGGTATGTTACTATTTATGACTCAAAGTTCATAGAGATTGTAGGTTTGCCTGGTTTGGTATGCCATTGAAATGTTAAGTTTTTTTTTGAATCCTACTTTAGGATCAACAATAAATCATATTCGGCCACTCATGGACCAAAGTCAAATTCGAGATACAATGTTAAGTTTCACATAACTTAAAAACAATTGATAATGAATGGATTGACATGTTTCTTATGAAATACTTTAGATCATACGAAGCTTTCGATGTGTGATTCCTAACATTTGACAAAGAAAGCATATCGATATATAAGAGTGACTTTTCACTGTACACAGAAACACAAGTTTGTGACTCGATTTGAAATTTTGCAATGTGTAAGTGGTGAGATTGGTGATTTTGTAAATTACATGACTGTTTGGACGGGATCGGGAATTTTGTAATAAAAATGAATGAAGTTCAGAAAAGATGGTTGAGTTCGGGAAATAAAAGTGACGACTATAAAAGAAATCTGATCAGAAAGCGGCGGCGCTCTGATCGGTTAATTCTTATTAATTCCAGCAAAAAGTACGAACTCTAAACCCTAAACCCTGGTATTCAGAGATTAATCTCACTTACATAATATTTACTATTGCTCTTATATAGTACAAAAGATTATATTAGTTTCCAAAATTAGGGATGACGTGGCAATAAGACCTACATCTCTTTCTCGTTTAGGTGGTGGTGGAGGTGGTGGTGGAAGAAGACTTCAGAACATGGACCATGGACCTTGCTGACAAACCCTGGTCGGAGTAATGGGTTTCTGGTCGGATACAGGCCCACCATTAACACAATGTTCTATTTCCACCCAAAAAAAAACAAAGATTCGATGAGTACTCTTAAGGCTGATGGAAAGGAGATCAAGACTGATCCAGACTCAAAGAAAGTACATCCATATGAAAGAGTAACGGATTTTGATAGTTCCAAATTCTAAATGCATCATCTTAATGACTTCATAACAGGAACTTCTCAGAAATACGATCTATAAAATAATTAGGTACTAACAAGCAAAAAATTATCGTCTAATGAGTATGGTCAGCGCGTAGTTTCTTGCTACCCAAGTAACAAAAATATTGACCTTGAAAAAATCTAAATCGTCTTCCGATTGTTAACATCTTTAAAAATAACATGTTTGCAAACACCAAAACATGTTAAATATTGACCTTTACTCAGGCTATTTTTGGATTCTTAACTTTTTTCCCCATTATCCTAACCGGTTTTTCCGATTGATGATGCTCAAATGGAATGTTAAAAGTTTTGACAAACACCTTATATGTACAAGTGATGAATCCACATCTATTTATAGTCTTGAGAGAAAGCTATTCACAAGCTAATAGACAAACCTACTCACAAGTTTTGGAGACAAAACAATTAAGGGGAGATCATGAATGGTAAAAGCTAAATGTACTCTCAGAGATAAAGTAATATTTAACATTTCTCGACAATATTAACCTTTGGAGTATTTCTTAAAGAAAACTAAGCCATATGTCGTATGTGTATGTAATGCGTATACAAAATGGAACCAAAGAAAATGAACGTTGTTCATATTACATAACATAATAAGATATATATACACTTTGCATATGAAAAAATGGAACCAAAGAAAATGAACGTTGTTCATATTACAGAACATAATAAGATATATACACTTCGCGTGAAACTGTCCTAGACTCTTGTTTTTTTCCCCTTAATCTCAGTCTTTTGATTATTGACAACGAATAATATATTTGAACTTAAAAAAAAAAAATTGAATTTGAACTTTAGTTTCATGTCTCATAGAAGTAGAACTAGACAACTTAGATTTGTGAGGTCTCAACGAATTAGAGCGAAATAATATTAGAGAGTACGAATTATTAAAGGGTGAAGTCAAATTGTCTCAATATAAGGAGCAGAGGCTAGCGTACGGTTTAAGACTTTAAGGGGTAGATAATTACACAAACCATTTTTTTTTTTCATAGTCACACACTCACACTCAATGTCTTAAGTTCTGGACCTATAGCAATATAAATTCTTAATCTATTCATATTAATCCATTCTTTGTAATAAGAACAAGTATCACTGTTATTGTTTTATTATTCAACCACATCGTATCCGACGTAAGTAAAAGATACGGTGCTAATTTCGTCGCCGCTGTTAACGGAAAAGCAAGCGAATCGACGGTTAAGAAGGGAAGACCGCTGCTGGATCATAAAATTGGTCCATTTAAGGCTTCGAGTGGTTATAACCGGTCCGGTCCGGTACGTAACCGGTAAGCGAGCAAAGTTGGCGGACTTGCTTGGTCACTTGGTGTTCATATGGGTGGATGTATTTAAATTTATACATTTAAAGAGGTAGGCCAGTTTTTAACTAAGACGATCGAATTATTTGAAGCCATTAATATGAGTTTGGTTATCTTGTGGTGGTGGCTGATGACGCGTCTCTCTTTACAATCTCTACATTATTACAAATTTACAATTCAAAATTTCTGTAGCTTGAGGCTTGAGCAATGGTCACTGCTGTTTAGAGATTCTCTAGGTGTAAATTGATTAGTCATATACTTACATGTGGTACGTAAGAATAACGATATACATGTGGGTTTATTATAAGAAAATTTGTGGTCACAGTGTTTTGTAGTAAAATTTAGTGAACTGTATAAAAGTCTCATCACCATTCACCAGACTCACTCATCTCCCTACTCTGTCACTGCCTTATTACCATTTACCAAAAACATGAATCCATCAATTACCATTATCGACGTGTCACGAGTCACACCTTCAAAAGCTGACTCGTCCATGACTCTCCCACTCACCTTCTTCGACCTTCTCTTGTTCAAAGTCCACCCCGTGGACCGAGTCTTCTTCTACCGACTCCCCGACGCAACTCGCACTCTTCTCGACTCAGTCATCGTCCCCAAACTCAAATCTTCTCTCTCCTTAGCCCTCTCTCACTACCTCCCACTCGCCGGCCAACTCGTATGGAACTCAGACGATCATAAGCCGAGCATCGTCTGCTCCACAAACGACGCCGTTTCATTCACCGTCGCCGAGTCAAACGCAGACTTCTCCCAGTTAACCGGAAACGAACCATTCCCCGCCACACAGCTGGACCAATTCGCCCCGGAGTTACGTGTCACCGAAGACTCAGCCGCCGCCGTGTCGTTCCAAGTCACGCTGTTCCCAAACCAAGGGTTTTGCATCGGCGTAAGCGCACACCACGGCGTTTTAGATGGAAAAACGACATCCATGTTTCTCAAATCATGGGCCCACACATGTAAACAAGCGAACGATTCTCTACCGGAGGATCTAACCCCTTTTTACGATCGTACGGTCATAAAAAGTCCACCGGATGTCGACACCCAAATCTTGAACGGTATGAAGAGACTCGCTCAAATGATGGCCGGCGGTAAAGAACCAGACAACCCTAAAAACCTGAAGATTTTAATAACGCCGGAGAACAGTCAGGACAAATTCCGATTCACATTCGCGCTCAGTCGCGAGAATATCCAAACGCTTCGCGAGAGACTCAAGAGAGATTCGTCATCGGATTCCAAGCAGCTCCACTTGTCGACGTTCGTGATAGCGTACGCTTATGCTTTCACTTGCTTCGTCAGATCAAGAGGCGGTGACCCGAATAGACCCGTCGGGTATAGATTCGCTGTGGATTACCGAGGCCGCCTAGTCGATGTTCCGTCGAGTTATTTCGGAAACTGTGTCTCGACTATCTATAGCGATCCGTTGACGGCGGCGACTTTTATGGCTGAAGATGGGTTTCTGGCTGCTGCGAGATTGATCAGTGATTCGGTTGAGGAGGTGGATGTGAATATGGTTTGGGATATTGTGGAGCTTGGGAAAAAGCAGTCTGCTACTCCATTCGGGTCACAGGCTTTGTATGTTGCCGGGTCGCCCCGATTCGGAGTATACGGATTGGATTTCGGGTGGGGCAGACCGGAGAAAGTGGATGTCGTGTCGATCGGTCAAGGCTCGATATCCATGGCGGAGAGTGGAGACGGAAGCGGAGGCGTGGAGATTGGCTTCTCTCTCCAGAAACACGAACTGGACGTTTTGATTGATTTGCTCCGCGACGGATTGAAGAATTAATCACTTTTTTACTTTTACCGTGCAAAGCAGTGACTCGCATGGAATAATTACGGTGCTTATCCGTTTGGTATGTTACTATTTATGTCTCGAATTTCATAATAAAGAATGTAGGTATGCGGCGTATGCCTGGTTCAGTGGTTTGGTATGCCATTTAAATGTATGGTTACTATTTTTTATGCCTGATTGTGTAGCAAAAAAAAAAAGTTTCAAAGTTTTTTGGATTGACCAGAACTTATACTTTAGTGATATCACTGATATGTATCAATGTGTCAAAATCCATGTTTAGGTCTAGGAGAGAGTGTATTATTGTATATGAATTTATTTTCATATTTTTGTGTACAACAGTGTATAAAAAGAAACAAATCAAAATCAGTACTAAAAGTCAAAAATTGTCCCCATGAAATTTATATAAACCAAATTCTCGAGAGATACAAGATGGAGAGCAAGCAAAACTAATCCATAATTATATGGCATTATCGGTCATTAACCTTATCACAATAAAATGAATTCATCACTAAACAACATCCACGTGTCACAAGTCACGCCTTCGAACTCTGACTCGTCCGAGTCACTCACTCTCCCGCTTACGTTCTTCGACCTTCTCTGGCTCAAACACAAAGCGGTCGAACGAGTCATCTTCTACCGACTCACCGACGCAACTCGCTCTTTCTTCGACTTAGTCATTGTCCCGAATCTCAAATCTTCTCTCTCCTCAGCCCTCTCTCACTACCTCCCACTCGCCGGAAAACTCATCTGGAATCCACTTGATCCCAAACCAACCATCGTCTACTCTCCGAACGACGCCGTTTCCTTCACCGTCGCCGAATCAAACGCCGCTTTCTCTCGTTTATCCGGAAACGAACCATTCCCTCCCTCCGATCTATACCCATTAGTACCCGAGTTACGAGTCTCAGACGACTCAGCCTCCGCCGTGTCGTTTCAAGTCACGTTATTTCCAAACCAAGGGTTTTGCATCGGCGTAACCACACACCACGCCGTTTCAGACGGAAAAACGACAACCAACTTTCTCAAATCCTGGGCCCACACGTGTAACCAATCAAACATTCCACTACCGGAGGATCTAATTCCATTTTACGATCGTACGGTCATAAAAGGTCCACCGGAGATCGACACAAAAGTCTTGGCCACGTGGCACTCCACTGATAAACCCAAAAGCTTGAAGCTTATACCGAAGCCGCCGGAGATCGATTCCGACGTCGTCCGATTCACATTCGAACTCACTCGAGAAGATATCCAGAAGCTCCGAGATCGACTCCAGAGAGAATCGTACTCAGAGAAGCTTCGATTGTCGACGTTTGTGGTCACATTCTCTTACGCATTCACTTGCTTAATCAGATCCGGAGGCGATGATCCGACTAGACCCGTCGGGTACAGATTCGCGGTGGATTGCCGGAGACTCATAGATCCGCCGATTCCGACGAGTTATTTCGGGAACTGCGTTTTCTCTGCCGTGAAACTCCCGTTAATGGCGGGGATGTTTCTTGGTGAAGACGGATTTGTGGCTGCTGCGAGATTAATCAGCGATTCCGTTGAGGGATTAGATTCGAATGTGGCGTGGAAGATTCCGGAGCTTTTGGAAACGTACGCGAATGCTCCGGCAGAATCGCTATTTGTTTCGGTTGCTGGGTCGACCCGATTCGGAGTATACGGGTTGGATTTCGGATGGGGTAAACCGGTTAAGGTATTGATTGTTTCGGTTGATCAGAGAGGAAAGATATCGATGACGGAGAGTAGAGACGGAAATGGCGGTGTGGAAGTTGGCTTGTCGCTCAAGAAACACGAAATGAATGTTTTTATTGATTTGCTTCATGATGGTTTAAACAATTAAAATCATTTTTTTCTTCTTCAAACAGGAAGGAAGATAACAAAAGATATCGAATTGGTTCAGTGTCTCTCTACTTCACTTGCTTCCATTAGGTTTCCTTACATAAACAACCTAAAGAAACGTGCGGCTCAAGCTAGGTAACATGAGACAACTAAAAAAACACACATTATTCTTCAAGATAGTTTGGTTTATATCAAACCTTATTGATTCATCCACCAATTGCTACTTAGAAACTTGCAATCTCAGTCATGGTTGGATAAGGAGATGCTGCAATGCTTCTATGGTATTATCAGCATAGCCGTCCATTAGTCCAGGACTAGCTAGTGTCTCCCTCCACTTGGTGTGATTCTTCTTCACCAGATCCCCAAGCTCGCTGTCACTTTTCATCACACTATCGATAGCATCACGCAAGCTCTCTTTCGAGAACCATCCAGTTTCATCTCTTGCCACTTCAACCGCAACCTCGAGTTCCTCACTCATCAATCTTGTGTTGACGACCTGCTCAGCTTCCTGAGGTAGCAACACTATCTGACAATCACTCAACAAAGCCTCCCACGTTGATCCAAACCCACAATGGCTCACAAAGCACCCCACCGATGGATGAGACAGTATCAATGGCTGTTGGACCCATCCTCCCGAAACAACTCCTCGTCCTTTAACCCGCTCCTCGAATCCATCCGGCAGTGCCTCTTGAATCGTTGATACGCCTCTTGGTGGCTTAACCGCTACAAGAAACGGTAAGCCTGTTAGCTCCATTGCTAAGCAGAGCTCTTGAAACTGATCTTTCTCCAAATTGACTTCTGTTCCCAATGCACAGAACACCACTGAGTCTGGTCCAAACCCACTTAGCCAGGTGCTCCATTGTTCTTCTAGCTGTATAGTCTTGTCTGGCTTAGGGAACATTGGACCCGTCAAGAGAACCTTTTTCTTGCAATTCTCTCTGATATAGTCGCAATATTTTCCTTCGATTTCTCTTGTTGTCTTTGTAGCAATGACGTCGCAGGTCATAAGACCTGTAAAGACTCGTTCAACGAAACCTGGTATGTTATCGTTATCGTTGTCGGTTAAGGACTTGATGGAGTAAACATCTTGTTTACGAAGCAGCACCTTCGATGAAGGATATCCCGGCGGAGGAACACCTAACTCAACACGTGGGGCAAGAGAAAGAGCTATACTCGATGCAGACCACAGGAGGTAGTGCACAGCCTTGACGCCAAACTCTCTAGCTATTTCCGGAATCCAATGAGCAAAGTCGAAGAAGATCAGGTCCGGTTTCTCGGCTCCGACCACATCCTCAACCTGACCACGTGTGAGGTCCATAGCCGAAGCCAAGAGCTTCGCTGATGACAAGTGGATTTCAGAGGTTGACTCGACGCCGGCGGGGAGACCGTTGACATGAGGGATAGTGACAGTGTGAAGAACAACGTTTTCTGGAAACAAATTGAGATGTTCAAACTGTTTCGTAGCTTTCTTGGGAAGCAAGAAAGTAACCCTATGACCCTTCTCAGCCATTTTATTGGCAAGATGCAAGAACGGAAGCAAATGGCCAGTTGCAAACCATGGATACATGAGTGCATGAAACTTTGAACCCATTTCTGTTTTATTTTATTTTTTCTCTTTCTTTGCTTCTCTGTTTTGTTTTGGACACTAAATGGTTTCACTTATACGTTGAAGTTGAAGTGAAGGCATGAAACCTAACAAGGTGCACTACAGCAAAAATTACAAGGAGTACGCAACTCTCCATACTCTCTCAATCAATAGTTATATACTGTATTTAATTAATAATCAATAGTTGTATACACGTTTTTTTTTACTAAAATTTTTGTGTGGCTTAGAAACGTTGTAACGTGGAACTCTAAACGTTCGTTCAGTTCAAAATAAGGGTTGTTCATGATGCTCCACCTAAATCCATCCAAACTACAGATTCCAGCATATTTCTTCAAATTCAGTTAAAATTATCGATATAAATTGCTTAGGGGAAATTAGCAGAAATGTGCATTTTAGGTAAATTTAACCTAGTTGATGGAGTTACTTAGATCAATCAATTTTGCTAATTTACAAAAAGAACCAAACCGATTTTAATTGAAAACTAGGTTATTCTTACCATGACACATCATAATCATGATTACTTAACACAATTTTGTAATATTTGATTTTGATAAAATGGTTAAACAAAATTATCTAATCAAAAGGATAAGGTCAAAAGCCTGATATTATAACCTTTTCTCATTTAGATGAAAGCAGGCATGTCCTTAAGCCAAGCATCAAGTTCACTCGCACTCTCACTGTCGCTCTCGCTCTCACTCGTGAGATTGAGCCGACTCTCATCATAGTCTCGTCTGCTCTTAGCCAATTTGGCAAAGTCCTCATCTGGCTCAGTTTCTGACGAAGCCCTACAGTAACCCGTGAGATTGAACCATCCCGACTCCTCGTCATAGCTTCTTCTGACCATAGCAACTCGATCAACTTCCATACCAACCCTAGCCTCGCTCGGGTCCCTGAAACGTATGTAGACAGTTGCATTTTTAGCATTGAGTCCCTCGCTTGGACCTTGCGTAGATTCTATAGCCACATCCACAATCTCCAAGTTGGACAGATCATCATCTTCCCAGTCAAGAGAAGGGTATATGGCAATCGCAAGTTCGACATATAGACGAATCCAGTCATTGGCATCGTCCTGAAGCTCTGACTTCTTCACCTGTCAAAAAAAGAATCATTATCACTGCTACTAGTTGATGAGAGGAAGCAAAACACATGCAAAAGTGTTGTCTGAATCTTAATTACCACGTAAAACCGCTTTGTATCACTGAAAGAATTGTCTGACGGCCACTCAGGGAAACTGCGTCTGAAGTCAGGGAAACGACTCACTGATCCTGTCTTGGGACCATCTATAGATACAAGATTTTCAAAATCGGCAATTTAGTAATAATTAATAAATACAGAAGAAGAGTTAAAAGAATGCACCAAGAAATGTTGTTACCTCGAGGTTCAGCAATAGCGCACGTCAAATCTAGTACACCACATTGTCCTTCCCAGATTTTGATCCAAAAAACCTGAGGCGAATTGTTTGCTGGATCGCTTGCAACACAAGTTATGTACAAGGTTTTACAGGCCGATACTCCTTCCTTATAGTATTTCTCTATGCGACTGAGCGCATAGTTTGTCCCCTGAAGAAATTGTTTCTCATTTAATGTGGATGTGAAATTGTTAATGATGAAAGAAGAGTTTATAATGATTTTACCTCGAAATTGTAACGATGAAGGCCCAGCAATGCATAAAGTTTGAATAAGCAAGGACTTGAACGAGGATCATTATCATCCCAGATCTTTCAATAAGTCGTGTTACCCTTGCCCTCGAAAGGCTACAAGAAAGAAAGGAGAATTTGTTAAATTTCCGAATTCCGATTTAACAACCAAAATAAGCAAAGCAAGCGAGATTCCTCCCAATTGGATCGAAAAGAAGACAAACGTCAGTCACAATTGGATCGAAAGAATTACATCGTATCTACTCTCTGGTATGCACGGACGTGTTATGACGGTGCCGTTGGACCTCCCCATCCTCTCCCTCCTCCTCCTCAATCAAGGCTGTGCTTGGAAACTTCGGGGCTGATGCATTTAGTCCGTTTAAATGTAGTACACAGCGGTTATATCTATATATAGATATACCCTCTTTTTTGGGCTTCAATTGGGCCCTCACATTTAATTGTTATATACATTCTCTTACGATTAGATTCGAATGTGGCGTGGAAGATTCCGGAGATTTTGGAAACCTATGCGAATGCTCCGGCGGAATTGCTGTTTGTGTCAGTTGCTGGGTCGACCCGATTCGGAGTATACGGGTTGGATTTCGGGTGGGGTAAACCGGTTAAGGTTTCGATTGATCAGATATCGATGACTGAGCAGAGACGGAAATGGTGGCGTGGAGGTTGGCTTGTCGCTCAAGAAACACGAAATGAATGTTTTGATTGGTTTGCTTCGTGATGGATTAAGCAATTGAAATCACTTTTACTTCTTCAAGCATGAATATAACAAAAGATAGCGAATTGGTTAAGTGTCTCTCTACTGCACTTGCATCCATTAAGGTTTCATCACCTAAACAACCTAAAGAAACGTATGGCTCAAGCTAGGTTTTAAAAAAGAAAAAAGTGACTGAAAATATAAAAGTGGGTGTCACCACACTCAAAAGTGTCCAGTAAGATTACGAAGTTCATTATATTACTAAACTCATCTAGATTTATTCAAGCAATTTATTTAAGAGCACTTCTAGTGGATAAATCAACCTGTGATCAATTGCTCGTTACCTACTCAAACAATCAGCAATAAGCATAAATCTATGGGAAGAAGAACTTTACAACACTATATCGAAAGTTTACAACCTAATGTACCAAATTCATGATTTTCCTTTCAAAATCCCGGCCCTAAACCCATTAGGACAATACTTGGTCAAAAGCAAGCAAATCAACACAAAAATATATTTATTGTCACCACAATAGGTAAACAAAACGCACCTAGAGGAAAAACAAAAACAAAAGTAAGAAATGCTAAAAGCATCTTCAGCAATCGTATCTCAATTGTTGAGAAAACTATTGGAGGTGCTCTAAGAAAACAGCTACCGATGCGATTAAGATAGTTGAAATACTCGTCATGCTCACATGTCGATCTCAGATCTGTAACTACCCACTAATGGCTAACTCTTAACGACTCACGAATATACAAAAGTTCTTCCCCAACACATGGCCAATAATTTGATATTTAGTAAAAAAATTGTCTAGTAGAGACAGGATACCCGACTAAACTAGGTTCTATTTGACTTGTGTATTGAACTTGAGTTTTTAGATGAATTAGAGTGATTTCATTTTAAAATGATTTTGGGTGAATTAGAGAAATTGCTATGATTTTAATGAAACACTCTAGAACTCCATCTAAAACCATGCTATTTGGATTAATATGATAGTTTTTCATGTGATAATTTTCTAAGTTTTTATATAAGTCTTTCTCACCTCTATTTTCACCTCTCACATCAGCCTTTTGCCAGCTTGTTTTGTAAGTTATAATCAAATTATTGGTGCGCAAGTTGACTTTTATCCTCAACACTTAATAACATCATAGGATACTTTAATTAGCATGGCACCGTTATAAATAATATGTGAAGGCATGAGTTATTTTTAATTTATGTTCCTCAATGGCGCTAAACGTGATCAAGATCGTCCGAGTAAACCCCGCCCCAAACTCGTCCGATGACTCAGTCAACTCTGTCAGTCTCTCTCTAACATTCTTCGACTTAATGTGGATAAAATCCCAACCTTTCAAACGAGTCTTCTTCTACAAACTCACCGAATCATCCCCCGAGTCATTCTACTCTCTCATCCTCCCCAAGCTAGAGCTCTCTCTCTCCCTTGTCCTCCGCCACTACCTCCCCCTCGCCGGCCACATCATGTGGGACCCACAAAATCAAAGGCCATGCATCCTCGTCTCCAATGATGACACAATATCCCTTACCGTCGCAGAGGCAGGCCCAGGCTTCTCCTTTATATCAGGCAATGGAATACGTCCGGCGACCGAGTTACATCCTCTAGTTCCGGAGTTAACCGTCTCTTATGATTCGGCATCCGTGCTTTCTCTGCAAGTCACCTTGCTCCCAAACCAAGGATTCTGCATCGGCATCACATCTCACCATGCTGTCATCGACGGTACAACGTCAATAATGTTTATGAAATCATGGGCTCATATTTGCAGATTACAAGAAGACAATAAAGCCAAGGAGTTTCCTCTTCTACCGGAGGATCTAACTCCATGTTTAGACCGTACGGTCATCAACCTTCCGTCAGGATTTGAGCAAGAGATGATGGAACTTTTATTCTATCTCTCAAAAAACATCGACAACTTAAGAAACCTGAGGCCACCTCCAAATAGTGAGATCAGTCCGGATGTTGTTCATGCCACGTTTGAGTTAACTGCGGAGAATATTGAGAAACTACGAGAGAGAGTCAACACTCACTCATCTCGATCTCTGCTTCAGCTTCACTTGTCAACCTTTGTCATTGCATATGCTTACGCATGGACGTGTCTGGTGAAATCGCGTGGAGGCAACCCGAACAGGCTGGTAATCTTTCTTTATGCAGCTGACTTTAGATATCGGTTAGACCCGAAAGTTCCAGCGACATACTTTGGGAACTGTGTGTTCCCGATAGGTTGGTTCGAATACGAAGCAAGGACGTTTTCGGAAGAAGATGGTTTTGTGAACGCAGTGGAGATTCTAAGCGATTCGGTTAAAGGCTTGGGCTCGCGGAGGATAGAGTCACTCTGGAAGGACTACTTGGAGGGATCAAGTAAAATAAAATCGGCTACACAATTTGGATCAGTTGCAGGGTCCACCCGATTAGGGGTGTATGGGTTAGACTTTGGGTGGGGCAGACCAGCAAAGACAGAGGTTCTGTCCATTGACCGTTCCGAAGGATTCTCTATGTCGGAGAGAAGGGATGAGCCAGGTGGTGTGGAGATGGGATTGTGCTTGAAGAAAAGTGAGATGAACACCTTTCTTTCTTTATTTAAAAATGGCCTAAAAGATTAGGCTTCCAATGTTTATTTATGCGGTTAGAATGGTTTGTGTGTGATTTTTAATGTTGGAAGTTATGACCGACCCGGTGGTCGGACCGGGTTCAACCATGAATCGGACATATGACTGGATTGGGTTTCCGGTCTGGTTTAAAAACAATTAATATGATCAATTAAATAATTACTTTATTTTATTTGTTTTTAATTTTGAAAAGTTTTTAAGTTATATATATATTTATACTATAAATAATTAATTAGAACAATGAAAATATAAGTTTCTAATACTATTATATTTATATTTATATCTATATATCAATTTTTAATTATTTATATTTTATTATAATTTCTAACTATTTTAAAATAAATAATTTATGAATTGGATTTAACCCGGTCGAACCAAATTGACCCATGACTCTGATGCCAATCCGGTCCGATTTTAAAAACACTGAGAAAAACTAAAACTTGAAATCTTAAATGGAGGGTGTGTGTATTCGTATGGACCATGCACCATATGCTCAAAACCCACATCACACCCACCATTATTATGTGATTTATGTAGTGCTATCGCGTTTCGAGAAGACTAGAGACATGCAATGAGATTTCTTAAAAATGATTAATTGAGGATTAAACTATAAATCTTTAAAAAAAACTATCAAGGAGCATCTTTATCGTTTTTCCTATTTTCGATATGAAGAAAACATCATAGGATGCTTAATAGGTGAATCACTAATTGCTCGATGAAAGGTGACACGGAGATCATGACTACGTGAAGAACGTCGTTCTATTAATGAAGTCAATGGATGAAGTTATTTTCATTAATAAATCTATCTGACGGGTTGATTTACTAACCTTATTCAGGGTAGTTGAGTAATTCTTCTCTTGGTCCATGTAACAAGTATTAAACATATGATTAGGTAGTAACTTTTAAGAAGCGTTAAACATATGTTTATCTTAAAAAAAATGTGTGACTAAATCAATATAGGAAAAGTAAAGTTAATATTAATATATATACAATTACTTGAAAATCAAGAGTTCAATTGTGAATCTCCTAAGTTTTGAACTACTGCAACAACGACAAGACAACGAACAATGACCAAACATCTGAGTTTGAAGGTCTCACGAAAATCTACCATTTGGATTTGTATGTTTTCTCTTTGGAATAAAAACGATTTGTAAATTAAACGAACGTCAAAGTTTGCGGATAAAAATTATGCCTAATCTTTTATGTTGGGACAAGATCTTAAGATTGACGTTCGCGAGGAATACATACACGAACATTCACGAGTCAATGATCGATAGTTGCTTACATAATAAATGAAACAGATCGAAGAAAACTGTCAAAAGATTTAAAAACACACGAGTTATGAAAGTATAAATCGATCGATTATGAACCTAAATCTATACGCTATTTCCTTCCAGCAATTCACTATTAGTTGTTACAGAACATATCTCGTCGTATATGAAAAGAGTTTAGCTCGGAAACAGGCCCGCGTTAGACTCCAATACGAAAGGATAAAGAAGAATAAGAACATTTGGCTCATTTATTACTTTTTGCTACTTTTTTTCTCTTCTAAACGTGTAAGTTATTTTATTCGAAATACCTATAAAATTTATCAAGGCAATTTTCTGAAAATGTTCATTTTTTTTTTCTATAATAGAGTATGCTTTTTGATGTATCTTGGTAGAAATTGCTGCTATTTCTATGTAGTAATTAATTTGTTTGATTTGATAGCTTGATTTTGCCAACCTTCTTAACTAAGTTGAGTTTTCTCAAGTCTTATCCTTCTAACAACTCTTAACTACTTAATAAAAATATCAAAGAAAACTTAGTACCCGGATATTAAAACAAAAATGTAAGACTAAAATCAAAATATGAAAAGTAAACTTAATAGAAGTAAATATCAAATTAGGTGAAAACACCATTATTAATCCGTATTACATTATTACTTTAAAGTGTTACAAAGATAAACACTCTTAATGAGTTAAACTCAGTTCTTAAACTTGGCCTCAAGGTCTTTGACAATATTGACATCCAACTGGAACGCCATAGCCAGAAAATCTGGATTAATTGGAGGGTTCGAGCCAAACACAGTATCCGCGATCGTGATAACACCAGCATTCTGACTACTCAGTCCAGCAAAGGCAACCGCAGGTACTTTTCCAATATTCACCTGAAAATGGATCATTCCTATGGGAAACACAAAAACATCTCCTGGGTGCAATACTTTGGCGAATAGACGATTGTTATCTTGATTGGAAGAAACAAATCCGACGTATAATGTTCCCTCGATAAGGACAAGGATCTCAGTAGCACGAGGGTGCGTGTGAGGTGGGTTTTGGCCATATGGTGCATAGTCTATGCGAACCAAAGATATTCCCATAGTGTTTAGCCCTGGGATCTGCTCGACATTGACGGTTGTCACGTTGGATTTGACTTTGTTATTAGTGCTTCCAGCGATATTGAGGCCTGGGAAAAAGAAGTCGTCTGCCTTCGCTTGCTTCGGATCCTTACAGAACTTACCATTCACGAAAACTGCATGCAGATTTCAGTTCAAAGAATATAATAAATCTTGCAAGAAAAAAAAAATAATAATTCAAGAGAATAATAGAGAGTTAAAGAAAACGGATTTTATATACTCACCACCATCTTTGGGGTCATCAATTGCGACACAGAAATCTTGGAGTGGACTTGGGTCATAAGCTTTGACCAAGGAAATGACCAAAGCCAATATGGTAACCAGCACGAGAGACTTGGAAACCATCATTCTCAATTCTCAAACAAAAGGTTCTGCTAGTGCTTTTAGTTTGAAGATCTTCTGTATGTGTGTTGTTTGTGAATTGTGAAGCATTTTGAGCTCAGTATTTATAGGGCAAGAGCGTACGCAAGTCATAATTGACCTGGTCCACCAAAGTCATCACATATACATTTCTATTTCCTAAGTTTCAAAGTGGCAGTTCAAAAACCGTTTACCAAGTCAATCGATAAGAACATATTCTTCCCTTACTTAAAAGTGGATTTGTTGTAATTTATTTGTAATTTAAGAATAACCTATTTTAAGTATTTATAATATATTTTGATCTGTCACTCTGTATGGAGAGATTTCAGTTTGGTATAATACAGGATTTTACACTCTTGTTTATCATTAGTTTTCCAAGGTTTATATTTGAGAATAAACAATACTACTAGTAATTGTCACTAAATTTCGAACACAGCAACCAAAAATTCTAAATTCCAACATAAGTAAAAAAAAAAATCATTGGCCTATACGCAAGGTATTTTGTCGGACTTATAGATAAATCAATCACATGCAAGTATGCGATGACTGAAACCTTACTTATGACGTATTTGCTAAATATATAGATTTACGGTAGACTACACAAGTCTGTTATGACGAAAAACATTTATGACAGACTTTGTTATGTTTGTATTTTTTAGCTACAACTACGATAGACTTGGTACGTAATTGGCAAATGCGCTATGAATACGAGATTTACGGAAGACTTGCTTAATTATGCTGTTGATGAACATATATACAACAAACACGAACAAGTCTTCAATGTGAATAAGTCTGCTTTTATATTAGTTAGAGTGGTGTAATCAGAATATTTCAAAAGGATTTTTCTCCAAGTCCAACAAAAAGTGTTAGATCCTTGAGTACGTATATCAAAATCTATCTATTTTGAAGACCATGTAACAAAAAAAGAATTAAAGTAGAGGATGGTTTGGTAAGAAAATGTGTAGTTGCATTATCTTGGTTATTTTCTAAATGTACTGGTCTACTTTGAATGTTTGTCTTAAGAAAATGTAAAGACAATTTCAATCTAGGAAAAGTAAAGTTTAGTATCAAACTACGGGAAAAAACACAATTTAGTTGGTGAAACCACTGCCAAAAAAAGACAAAAGCAGTGACCATTTCAATTTGTGTCTATTTTCTTTCTACAAGTCACCCTTATACTCACTTGTTTTCTTTGCTTTGTTCCTATGGTATAAAAAAAAACTATTCCTACAGTTTTTCCTTCATAAGAAAAATAAATGAATATAGTTTCTAATTTCAAATGTGATTTCGTAGCCAATTGATGTATTTCTATGAAAGTTTCTCTACTAATATGTAATATTTTATTTTATGGCTTTGTTTTTGGCTAACCTTGTTGGAATGGATATACTTTTGAAAAAAAAAATCTTTGTAACAACTCTTAAAGACCTGATTAGGTATATACCCATGAATTTATATATGCTAACCATTACAAAAATAGAAAAGTTATAAAATGTAAGATTAAATCTATACAAGAATTATAAGCTATTTGTTAGAATATGGAAATCGGGTGAAAAACACAATTTTTATATTATTAGACATAACCTTTCTTAGTTTTACATTGTTAATTAAGTAATCATAAACACTACTAACGACTTAAATAGATTCAGTTCATGCACCAAACTTGGCCTGAAGTTCTTTGACAATAATTGCATCCAACTGAAACGCCTTGGCTAAGCCTAGAGCCCGTGGATCAATCAGAGAGTTTGACCCAAACGCAGCGTGTGTGATTGTGATCACAACAGCGTTCTGACTACTCAATCCTGCAAACGCAATGGCAGGGATTTTCCCAATATTTACTTGAAAATGGATCATTCCTATGGCCCTATGTGGATCACAAAAACGTCTCCTGGGTGCAATACTTTGGCGAATAAACGGTTGTTATCTTGATTGTAAGAGACAAACCTGACGTATATATAATGTTCCTTCGATAAGGACAAGGATCTCTCAGCCACGAGAATTCGTGTGAGGCGGGGTTGGCCATACGGTGCGTAGTCGATGCGGACCAATGATATTCCCATGGTGTTTAGCCCTAGGTTCTGATCAACATTAACAGGCCCTATATCATAATTTTCTTTTTGATAGCTTCCTTTTATCAACGAAACTTTTATTACCCCCGCATTAAAAAAAAGGAAGACTATATATGAAAAGTAAACTTAATAGTACTTGCAAAATTCATACTAATATTAGGTGAATACACCATTTTAATTTTATTAAGCATACCCTTTTATCCGTATTACATTCTTACTTTAAGTGTTACAAAGATAAACACTCTTAATGAGTTAAACTCAGTTCTTGAACTTGGCCTCAAGGTCTTTGACAATATTGACATCCAACTGGAACGCCATAGCCAGAAAATCTGGATTAATTGGAGGGTTCGAGCCAAACACAGTATCCGCGATTGTGATAACACCAGCGTTCTGACTGCTCAGTCCAGCAAACGCCACCGCAGGGGTTTTCCCAACATTCACCTGAAAATGTATCATTCCTATGGGAAACACAAAAACATCGCCTGGCTGCAAAATCTTTGCGAATAGACGATTGTTATCTTGATTGGAAGAAACAAAACCGACGTATAGTGTTCCTTCTAAAAGGACAAGGATCTCGCTGGCACGAGGGTGCGTGTGAGGTGGGTTTTGGCCATATGGCGCATAGTCTATGCGAACCAAGGATATTCCCATTGTGTTTAGCCCTGGGATCTGCTCGACATTGACCGTTGTCACGTTGGATCTGACTTTGTTATCAGTGCTTCCAGCCATATTGAGGCCTGGGAAAAAGAAGTCGTCTGCCTTCGCTTGCTTCGGATCCTTACAGAACTTACCATTCACGAAAACTGCATGTAGATTTCAGTTCAAAGAATATAATAAATACCATATGATATAATCATAATTTGCAGCACAAAAAAAAGAGTAACATAAGTAAGGATGATAATAGAGAGTTAAAGAAAATGGATTTTATATACTCACCACCATCTTTGGGGTCATCAATGGCGACACAGAAATCTTGGAGTGGACTTGGATCATAAGCTTTGACAAAGGAAATGACCAAAGCCAATATGGTAATCAGCACGAGAGACTTGGAAACCGTCATTCTCAAACAAAACGTTCTGCTAATGCTTTTAGTTTGAAGATCTTCTGTATGTGTGTTGTTTGTGAATTGTGAAGAAGTTTGAGCTCAGTATTTATAGGGCAAGAGCGTACGTAAGTCATAATTGACCTGGTCCACCAAAGTCATCACATATACATTTCTATTTCCTAAGTTTCAAAGTGGCAGTTAAAAAACGTTTACCAAGTCAATCGATAACAACATATTCTACCCTTACTTAAAATCGGATTTGTTGTAATTTACTTGTACTTTAAGAATAAACTGTTTTAAAAATATTTTGATTTGTCACTCTGTATGGAGAGATTTCAGTTTGGTATATACATTATTTTACAGTCTTGTTTATCATTAGTTTTTCCAAGGTCATTTCATATTTGAGAATAAATAATATTACTAGTAAATTGTCACTAAGTTTCAAACATCCCAACCAAAAATTCTAAATTCCAACATAAGTAAAAAACAATTCAGTGGCCTATACGCAAGGTATTTTGTCGGACTTATAGACAAATCAATAACATGCAAGTATGCGATGACTAAAGCCTTCCTTATGAGTTATGACGCAGTGTACTTGCTCAATATATAGATTGACGGTAGACTATATAACAAGTCTGTTATGACGAAAGAACATTTATGACAGACTTAATTATGATTGTTTTTTAGCTACAACTTTAGATAGACTTGCTTACTACGTATTTGGGAAATGCGTTATGAATACATATTTACAGAAGACTTGCTTAATTATGCTTTTGATGAGTATATTTACATTACAACAAACACGAACAAGTCTTCTATGTGAATAAGTCAGCTTTTATTTTAGATTGAGTGGTATAGTTAGTATATTTCAAAAGGAATTTTCTCAAAGTCCAACGAAAAATGTCAGATTCTCGAGTACGTATTTCTAAAACTTTTATATTATATCTTGATATCTATTTTCAAGACCATGTAACAACAACAACAAAAAAAAAAAATAAAAAAAAAATAAAATAAAATAAAATTCAAAAGTAGAGGATGGTTTGGTAAGAAAATGTTTAGTTGCATTATCTTGGTTATCTTCTAAATGTACTGGTCTACTTTGAACGTGTGTCATTAAAAAACTGTAAAGACAAATTCAATGTAGGAAAAGTAAATTAGTTTAGTATCAACCTATCAAACTACGGGAAAAAAACATAATTTAGTTGGTGAAACAACTGCAAAAAAAGACAAAAGCATGCAGTGACCCTTTCAATTTATGTGTATTTTTCTTTCTACAAGCTAGACACGCTTATAACTCAAGCTTCCAGATGATACTTAATTCCATTCACCCATTTTGTAACAATCGCATTACTCATGGTGAAAACAAAAAAAGAATCTTACAGTTTTTTCCTTCATAAGAAAAATAAATAAATAAATATAGTTTATGATGCATTTCTATGAAAGTGTCTCTACTAATATGTAATATTCTATTTATGACTTTGTTTTTGGCTAACCTTACTGCATTGTATATACTTATTTATTCTTATAACAAAGGCAATATAGTATGATATTTTGCATGTACTATTAAGTTTACTTTTCATATATAATCTTACATTTTATTTGACCTTTTTTCTTAGGTTGACATTATTCATTAAGTCTTACAATGATAAACACTCTTAAAAATAACTTCATTAGATTCAGTTCATGCACCAAACTTGGCTTGAAGTTCTACGACAATATGTGGATCCAACTGGAACGCCCTGGCTAGAACCTGTAGATCAATCGGAGGGTTTGACCCGAACACAGCGTTTGCGATTGTGATCACACCAGCGTTCTGACTACTCAATCCTGCAAACGCAACCGCAGGGACGTTCCCAATATTGAACTGAAAATGGATCATTCCTATGGGGAACACAAAGACATCTCCTGGGTGCAATACTTTGGCGAATAAACGGTTGTTATCTTGATTAGAAGAGACAAACCCGACGTATAATGTTCCTTTGATAAGGACAAGGATCTCTGAGCCACGAGGATGCGTGTGAGGCGGATTTTGGCCATTTGGCGCGTAGTCGATGCGAACCAATGATATTCCCATTGTGTTTAGCCCTGGAATCTGATCAACATTAACAGTGGTCACATTCGAGCCAACTTGATTACTGGTGTTCCCGGGAATATTGAGGCCTGAGAAGAAGAAATCTTTTGCAGTGACACGTCTCGGGTCCTTACAAAACTTACCGTTCACGAAAACTGCATGTAGAAATATAGTTTCCAAAGAGTATACGTTACGAAACATCAGGGTTAGTTATTAGGATAAAAAATGTAGAAAAAAAAAAATTTAACAAACATGAGTTTCTTTACGTACCGCCATTTAGGTCATCAATTGCAACACAGAAGTCTTGGAGTGGACTTGGATCATAAGAATTGGCAAAGGAAATGACCAAAGCTAATATGGCGATAGAGATGAGAGACTGAGAACTCATTTTTAAGGGTGGGCTGATACACTCTCTAAATCTGTTATATATTCATGTGTTGTATTTCTGAAGCATGAGTGCTCTGATATTTATAGGCCAAGAGCATGTACAATACATATTTTTGACATGGTTCATAATCATTATAATTCTTTTTTATTTAACATGTTGTTACTGTCAGTTCAAAATGATTAATCGAATGTATTACGTAATTACTGAGATTACACAGGTTTGGTAGAGTTTTAGTTACAGAAGAGAATTATTTTATTGGTAGTTGGAATCATAGTAGGAAGATTCGCCAAATGTTGAATGGTAGATATCAAAGAATGTAAGACACGACCAAACGTGTCATAGGGAAAATTTTAGGAGAGAGTCCCAGGGTTTTATAATTTAAAAATAAAATGAAATCGGATTTGCATATATAAGACACGACCAAACGTGTCATAGGGACAACGTAGATTGCAAATAGTGCAAGTGAAGAAGTAGTAATGGTCAGAGAAAAAGAAGAAGGGGTTCTTTTCATGATCTAGACGCAGTATCAATATTGAATTCGTGAAGTAGCAAATTATATGTCTTATGTTTCGTAAGTCTTGTAATGACTACCATATTTGGCTGCACATTGGTGCTACCATAATATTATGAGAGGGAAAAAAATTTTGAATTAGTGGTAGATACGAGAATTTTTCTAATATAAAGCTACATAAAACAGTATAATTTTGTTTCCTTCCATCGAGACATTACGATTCTGTATATGATGCATATCTTAATATAGTGTTACATAGGATCAAATCAGTTATAACCTAGTCTAATGTCTAGCGTCTCTTGGACAACTACAACCTAGGTCATTGACTTGACAGAGAGAATCATCTCATTTTTTCACTGCGAAACAGGAAAAACAAGAAAGCCAGCCACCAGCATTGCCCGGTTTCGGATCATCTTGGTAAAATCCGGATACTTCTGTTTTACGACTTTCACTTTTCACCTTCAGCGATGTCTTTCGATCTTGTTGGTACTGATCTGGTAATCTACAGAAACAAAAAAAGATGTTAAAATGTTTCACATCAGAAATAGAGATAACATGCATTAGTACAGAGCTTATATTCACAACTAAATTCGAAACCGGTTTAGTCCAACCCGAATAAACCGGTTTGGAAGATTGGACAATGACTTACGTGGGAAATGCGAAAGAAGCTGCACTATGATTACTTGTGTCTGAGTGATAAGACTTGGTCGGAGAAATTGGAATTTGTTGTGGTGGATCCGGCTTAGGTAAATTGATCAAGACATCTCGATTAGTGGTTTTTGGTGCGGTTTCAGCTACGTGGTTATTGACTTCTTTGTTTCCAGCGTCACTAGTAGTGATCTTGTTATCATTGTTGTTAGTGTACGAGTTAGTAAAATCGAAATTGGAGAGTTCTCCAGATCTATACATTTTGGAGAAACTTTGATCTGCGATGTGAATACTGAACAAAGATTCGTTTGATTGGGTACTCCATTCTTGTTTAGAAGTGATCGTTGGTGCGAAAACCGACTGTGGAATTCGATCCGGTTCATAGCCTGATTTTGTTTCCTGGGCCATCTTTGCTCTCTGTCTCCAATGAAAAAATTGTAACCAAAAGAAGAGCACACAACTTTGATCAAGTTCTTCAAGAACCAATAGGCTGCAAAAAAAACAATTTCTCTCGTTTCTTTAAAAGTGTGGAAATTATATTGAATCTATGTCTTCATTAATAATGATTGGGTTTTAAAACAACCGTAATTAAACCTAACAGACTAACTAACTAATCTCCATTAGGGAATTAATTTTAAAAATAGAAAGTTTGGACTTCAGTTATAAGTTATTACCAAATCTTTGTAGTCCTTGATTATGACCTGTTTTTTATTTCCGTTGGATAACAAACGTAACTAAACTGACTAACTTTAGTCAGAGTTAATTTAAAGACAAACGTTTGGACTTCTGTTATAAGTTATAACTAAAAATTGTCTAGTGAAGAATTGGGACAAATCCAAAGCCTAATTCGGAGCTGTTATTGTTATGAAGCAAACAGTTTTTTCAAATTTGAATCACCCAGATTGGAATTTTTTTTAAAACAAATCAAATCGATAAAAAGTACAATAAATGCAAGAGAAACCGTAAACGAATATATAATCAGAATAATGAAATATGAAGAAATTATGTATTCTTTTGAGTTGCTAAAAAACTAATTATCATGTTATTTTTCCATATGCTTAATTTTCAGATCATTTGTGTATATTAATTAAATTTACCCTTTATGATTTACGATGATGAAAAATATGGAATAACTTTATCTAATTGTAGATGTTGGAATGTTAACTTGATTTAGACAAATTTGATTGTGGACCAATGATCCAATTATCATTGGGCCGAACCCAAAAATTGATCCAAATTCTAGAATTTCATTAAACTATACAAATATTTGTGTTCACTTTCTTAAAATGTTGAAAGATATGATTATGGACCAATGATCCAACTTAGTACATATACTACTGATTCTATACATATATAATTCTGAGATTATGTAGCTCTTACCAATAATCAGAATCTAGTATAGGCCCTATTTCTATGATAAAATAATTGGGCCCATTTAAGATAGATGGAAAAAATTGTTGGTGTATGCTCCTCGTAATATCATCTTATCTACAAGAAGCTAATATTGCTGTTACTAAAATACAAAAGTGTTGTAATAATTTTATTGGCAAAAAAACTCAAAATGGAGATTTCGCTGCAGAAGCAGCTTTTCGCAAATGGTGATAAGCTTTTCAATTGTAAGCTCTAACACTATTCCTCTTCTCAACTTTTGTTTCCTTACAACGATGATTATTGAAAACTTTTTTTTTTTTTTGAACATCACGATTATTGAAAACTAAGAATAGCTTAACCCATCTATTTCAATTTTCCGTACGTTTCTATGCTTTTCAGCTCCACAAAACCGACGAGTTTGGATAGAAAAATTCCAAGCAACAGATTCTCTTCCCTCATACTCAGTAAACCTTTGTCATAATCCTATAAGTTGTCCAATGTTGTCCATGACCGCAACAAGAAAGAGCAAAAACCATTTAAGAGTAAGTGTTGGTTCACTGCATTTTGATATAAATTATGTTATTTTTGTTTTTCTTTTTTGTTGGTTTTGATTGGTGACCCCGGAAATGGTTTTGCTATTGAACAAAAATATGTAACAATCATATAATTGAATAATAAAAAAAGAAATACACTTAATGGTTATGTTAATTAAATTAACCATTAGCATTGCGAATAGAGAAATTTTATGAAATACACCTCTTGAGGTGCAAATTTTCAAAACTACACCTATAGTGTGGAAATTTTCAAAAATACATCTTTCCCTAATTTTAATATATATGTTTGGGTTCACTAATCCTATATTAGGGTTTAGATTTTGGGGTTTAGGGTTTAGATTTAAGGGTTCAATGTTAGATTTTAGGGTTTTGGATTTATATTTTAGGGTTTTGGATTTATATTTTAGGGTTTAGAGTTCTTTTACTAAATGAAAAAAATGTAGTTTTGAAAATTGGCACCATAGAGGTGTATTTTTGAAAATTTGCACCTCAAGAGGTGTAGTTTTGAAATTTCCCCGTGCGAATAGTTTTTTTCGGAAATATATGGAACCGTCTTAATATATAAGTATTCCAATTAATTTAAACAGATGTGAATATATAATTTAGGTTTGTGCAAGGAGAAGAAGAGTACATTCGGACTCGGATACGTACGTACTGTTAGAGGCAGGACAAGACGAACAGTTCGTGTCAGAAGATGAACTCAAGGCTAAGCTAAAAGGATGGCTTGAGAATTGGCCTGCGGAGTTTTTGCCACCGGACCTTGCTAGGTTCGATGACCTCGACGAAGCCGTCGATTTCTTGGTTAAAGCTGTATGTGAACTCGAGATTTATGGGGAAGTAGGTACTGTTCAATGGTATCAAGTTCGTCTTGAGTAATTTCAATTAGTATATTCCAACGTATTGTTTTGTTTCTGTATGTAATAAGCACATGGCTTTTTGTTAGTAATTTATTTTGTTCTTGTATACGTAATTCCCAACTATGGTTTGTTTTTCTTCTCGTTCTCTTTTCCCAAAGTAACTGCAAACAAAACATACAATGGACAGTTTATATATGAGACAATTGGCGACGTGATCCTTTCTCGTTTGTAGAGTTTAAAGTTATTAAGAATGAAGAATTAAATTTTAAATGGATTCAGAATTAAATTTAAAATTTTAAATAGATTCAGAATTAAATTTAAAATTTGACCGAGGCCGAGAGATTGTAGTTTGGGATTCTGACTCATAAATTTGTATGTGTTATATTTTCTTGTATATTCTTCTTTAACAAACTAGAGAACCTTTACTCAAAAAAGAGATGACAACTTTGTTGCTAATGAATTGTATTAAACTTATGTTTCAATGTTAATCTAATGTCGGCCGTTGTTACTTATTTTTGGACAAGTTGTATGATTGTATCTAGAGAACTGTTAGGTGGGAATGTGAATGGTATCACTCCAACATTTAAGAAAAAAGAAACAATTTAACATAATTTCATTCCTTTGTCCAAGAGTTTATAGATGGAGTAGATATTTTTGAGTGCAAATAAATAAATAAATACGTGTGATTATTGGATTTTACTTTTGTCTTCAAGCTTTCAAAATAAGAAAGCGTGTTAACTGTCAGAAGAACTTGTGTGGTCATTTCCAAAGAAATAAACAAAAAAGTGTATAAAAAACAAGAATGTAATTAATTAATGATCAATTAAATACAAACAAGAAATTTACAAGTACACTAATAAAAGACGAAATTGGGTAGTTGCATTTCAATTTAAATGCCATGCAAATGGTCCGAATCCTAACATTACTCTCCTTTCTATTTCTGGTTACTCTCTTCAATGTCACGAAATTCGAATAATCAATTATTTCGCTAAAAATAACAATAGTAAACCAAAATTAGGTACTTTAATTAAACCTTATTATTAAACACATTTCTTCGAGAATAGCTTTAAGAAGCCTTTAACTCAGAGAGAAAGAGAGAGAGAGAGTGAGTGAGAGACAGAGAGATGATGGGTAGCTTGAAAATGGTCTCTCCACCGCCTCCAGCGACAAGCTTCCGGCGGATAACGGCGAACGGAGATGGGTTTCCGGCATTTCTTCCAAAGGAGGTAAAGAACATAAAAGATCCATTCGCAAGAACTCTAGCTCAAAGAATTGTTCGACTTCCTGTTCCTCTTCAGGTTCTTCTCTCTCGATTTTGTTACTTAATTTCTCGAAATTTCAAAGTTTTTCTTGTGAGAAACAAAATCAAAATGTGTTTCAGATGGGAAACTTTAGAGGCTGTGTAATGAGTAGCTGTATCAAACCAATTGTTCAATCACACGACAAAAGTCCCGTCGTTCTTCTCCATTGTTTCGACAGGTTTTATTTATTAATTTTAAATTATTTTTACGGACAATACAATTTATTAAAGTCACTCTATCTGAATTTTACAGAGATTTAATTTTTTTTTTTTTTTTGACTTAGTTCGTGTCTTGAATGGAGACGTACTTACCCTCTGCTTGAACAAGCTTGTCTTGAAACTTGGGCTATTGATGTTCTTGGTTGGGGCTTCTCCGATCTTCGTAAGCTTTACACAAATTTAACTTTTGATTTTACTAATTAAACCCAATTCTTGAGAATTCTGGTTTTGGAGGATATAAATACGTGTTTTGATTATTTTTTCAATTTCAAGAACTCGTTAATTTCAATGACCATTGCAGAGAAACTTCCACCGTGCGATGCAGCATCTAAGCGACAACATCTTTTCGAGGTCAGTAAATTAAGAGAGTTCAGAAACTAGACTGAATGCCGGGAATTGTTTTTTTTTTTTTTTTGTTACTAAATGATTCAAATATGTCTTCAATTCACTGCTAATTACCCTGAAGTTCAATTTAGGCCTACAAGTTCGATTTGTTCGGTTAGTCGAGTTGTTCGGTTCGAGAAAATTTTACTGAAAAATAACCAAAATAAATTACGGTTCGATTTGGTTCGGTTTCATTTCTTCGTTCAAATTTGGTTAAATTCGGTTAAGTCTTGTAGATTTTGTTAGTCCAATTCTTCTGTTCAAAAATTTATTATCAGTTTGGCATATTTTGGTTTAGTTTTTTTTTTTAATACAGTTAACAAAACTAACAGAATCAATTTTGAAATTATGCCGATTGGTTTAACCAAGTTAACCGAACCAAAACTGAAAACCGAAAACCAAAAATCTCGGTTTGGTTTGTTATATACGGTATCTGGTTTTCCAGTCTTAGCTAATCTCTCTGTTCTGTGATTTGAAATTTTCAGCTTTGGAAAACATATATCAAACGACCAATGATATTAGTTGGACCAAGTTTAGGAGCAACGGTAGCTGTTGACTTCACTGCTAATTACCCTGAAGCTGTAAACTTCTGGTTTAATCATAATCACTCTCTTAGCTTTCTGTTAAACCAATCTCAATATTCACTAATTCCTCTTCTTTTACCAACTTTCAGGTTGCTAAATTGGTTCTCATTAACGCCAATGCGTATTCAGAAGGAACCGGTCGGCTTAAAGAGTTACCAAAATCAATAGCTTACGCTGGGGTTGGTCCCAAAAAAACTCTTATCATGCACAATAAGTTAACGTATGATATTAATATTGTTGATGTTGCTTCAGGTTAAGTTGTTGAAGTCATTTCCTCTTCGCCTTTTGGCCAATGTGTTAGCATTTTCATCTCCCTTGTCGGAGAACATAGATTGGACTAATGTAAGATCATGTCTCACTTCATTTTTTTTTTTTATATATAATTATTACATATATTTCATATTGATTTTGGAATTGAATATGTTTTTGCTTAGATTGGTCGGTTACATTGTCAAATGCCGTGGTGGGAGGATGCGATGGTCGATTTTATGATTAGCGGTGGCTATAATGTCGCTTCACATATCAAACTAGTAATGAAAACACTTAGTAAACAACTAAACACTTACTAATCACAAATTTGGCCCAAAAATCCATCAGTTTATATGGTTCTTGATTTTTGTTTATGTTTTGGATGTAACAACGCAGATTAACCATAAGACGCTAGTCGTATGCAGTGAAAATGATCAGATTGTTAGCAACCAGCTCTCAGTTGTAAGTATTGATTTTTTTTTTTTTTTTGTTCTTTGGCTTAATTAAAGCTTTTAGTTTTAACAATGCCATCAACAAAATGCAGAAATTGTTGTGTGAGCTACAAAATGCGGTTTTCCGGGAAGTACCAGATTCCGGTCATCTTCCACATGTTGAGAACCCTAAACACTTTGTGAAGCTGATATCGGATTTCGCCAGTGGGAAGCTCAATTGATTCCATATATACTGCAACTTTGGTTCTCACATATATAGTGGTACAGAGGAAGGAGTTGCAATGTTATATATGAAATAAATACAAATAGATTAAGTATGTATTTGTTTGATTAAAAGAGAAAGCTATAGCAACATCTCTTTTTATCATATTCGTAAGCTGACTTATGAGAAAATCTTATGTAATTTTCAAGATTGTAGGAGAAGATGGAAACTTTAAAGACATTAAGATTTCTCTTGCGTTTGTTTTCAGATTGTACTAAAATAGTTGAATTCTACCGTGTGTTTTAAGTTGCGGTTGCCAGTACGTGGGTGATGTAAAATTTTGTTTCATGTATGAACTATTGACTTCAAAACTATTATTATTCATACATGAAACAAATTGTATTACAATTGGCAATTTTAGGCTTATTAATAGTCAAATCTTTGGTCTCAAAAATATATAAATAGATAATTATAGTCAAATCTTAAAAGAGTGGAAGTATTTTTTTTTTTTTTTTTAAATAAATACCTTGAGAAAACAAAGCAAACCAAATCCTACTACTATTAGGCTAGCAACATTTAATTGGAAATTTTAGGCTAATTAATAATCAAATCTTAAATTGAAAAGAGGTAATTGTTCTTTTCCTAATAGAAATTGGTTTCCTTTCTTTTTAATATATAAAATCGTTAAAGAAAAAAGAAACCAATCAAGAAAAAGAACAATTACCTCTTTCTTATCTCTTTTCTTTGTATATAAACGAACCCCCAAAAAAAACCCAATCATACCTTGCCATAGGATAAATACAAGTTATAATGGAGGTAATCGCATGCTTGGATTGCAAGAAACTAACCAATACAGTAACTGACTATCGATCTGGCGACACAATCTGCACAGAATGCGGTCTTGTCCTCGACTCCCACTACATCGCCGACACTTCTGAATGGAGAACCTCACGCAGGATCGCTCCCATCAGGACCAAACTCAAGGTCAACACAAAAGTTCTCAAGAGCCGTAAACCCTAACCCCAAAGACAAAGCCTCTTCCGCAAGCTTCAGGGTCTCATCTCCGGCCTGATCATCTGGTCGTAAAGCTCTGCTCAAAGGCCATGAATTTGATCACACGAGGTTGATCGAGGAGCTACGTTTCAACAAAAAAACGAAGGGAGGTTTGATGGACAGTTAGTCGTTTCTTATTATTTTATATTCATGATTGTTTGTATATATTATTAGGGTTTGTTTAATTATGTGCCTGTGAGATTTGATTCTCTTGCAGTTTACTTGAGAAAGATGTCTGACTCTGAAAGCAGCATCTCTCAAATTCGGAATCGCAATGATCAACCAACTCTTTGAAGCCGACATTGAAGCCTCTTCATGTTGGAGGTGACTCATATAATTGCCTTTTTCTATTGTGTGATTTTTTTTACTGCAAATTATGAATGAAAAACCTTAAATTCAATATAATGTTCTATAGACATCTCGATTCTCGATGGCTGCAGCCTGCGGATATCGGAGCTGATGGGGATCAGCAAAGCGGGTTAGGGATTGTTAATTACAATTCTTATTACTATTAAGAGAAAACCTACCTTGCTTCTTAAGGGAGAACTAGTTTCCTAGTTTTATACTATGAGTTAGGGATTTTCTTAAATTCTTTTATATAAAATTTGTATTGTATAATTAACAAAGGTCGCATGTATCGAACTATAGTTAATATTAAGAAAATCACAACATGCATGTCTCACTCAATCTTTAATTAAAAGTAATTTAAAGCTAAAGAATTTTATCCGAAGTCCGTAGAAATATGGGTTTTTTGGCCAGTTAAAGTGTTTACGAATGATCAAACGCATGTATATCTAATGAAATTACGTAATCACTAGAGTTATATATTTTGTCAAATCTCTGATTAATTGCGAATGTAATAGGTACCCTTAGCAAAGAATTTTCCGCAAACAGATCACGACGAAAGCATCCGAACCGGGACCGAGGACCACATAGAGTATTCGTACCAGGTGGAATCAAACTTGGAGCCACCACGTCCGGGTGCGTGAAATTTTGTTTCAGTGTGTATTTTTTTTTTTTTTTTGGTTGTTGTTTCAGTGTGTTATTTCTTACTATGATATTTCTCTTAAGAAATAAAATAAAACTAGACAGTCAAGAGGATAAAAAGAAGGAACATGCGCATTTATATATTTGAGAATTTTCAAATTAAAATGAAAGAGAGATCACATGGTAGAGTTAAGCAAAGGGGACTAACAAGTCACGATCAGCGTGACCATAAATCACATACATGTTACATAATACAGATATAACACATGATCCTAAAGAGACAAAAGACACAGCACTTACATACTGATGTACGTATCTCTTCCTTCTTTACTTTTGTGTCCACCTTCTATCTTTAGTTCTGTTTTTTAATACTTCTATATAATCTTTGTTATTTTTCATTTTCTAGGTTGTTTTTTTCTACTGTTGCTATTTTTTTTTTTAAAGGACTTAAAGATCCAATTTTTTTTACAAGGACAGAAAAAGGAATGATGTCTAGATCACTACATGCTATAGAACTCAAACTTGTTAAGCTCTCAATCATTAAAGACCTCCATCACAAGAAATAAGAATCCTTAATTTTGTGAGGAAACACATATCATCTACAATTGAATTTTTGAAAATTTCTAAAGGCCAATATGTATACTATAATTTTTACGGTTATAAAATCAGATACGTAGTTGTTTAATTTAGCTAGATTCTTAGTGTTGTAGACTCAAAGGAATGATGGTCTACACTACATGATATAACAATTCAAAACTTCTCAAGCTATCAATCCACTAAGCCTCCACCAAAAGAAAGAAGGATCAACGATCTCAACTTCTCAAGTTTTCCGTGCATTAATCGCTAACGTTAACAATCAATCTACATGATTAGAAATTAGAACACTGTATGTTAACGTTTACATATGCAGTAGTCGCTAAAAATATGCTGATGAAATATATCGCTGATTCAGCAATGATAGGACCAACATATGTTGGTTTTTGTTGCTAGTCATTGGTCGTTACTGACAACAAAACGTGTCGGTAGTGGGATGGTGTCAACAAAAGCGAAAACAAATAACAAATAACGCATTTTGATATGTTTGAATAAGAAAAATAAAGACTACAAAAATACGCATAATGGTTGTTACAATAACTTCTGTGGATTATTCAAACCGATTTCTTTTCTTCTTTCGTCAAAATCAAAACATTATACATGGACTACCTAAAAGTAACCATAAAGGGTTTCAAAATACGTAATACATAAAAAGAAAAATAAACTGGATTTTAGAAAGAAAAAAAAAACCATAATTCAAATATGAACATTATAAAACAAAATCTTTAGTTTGATCAGAGGATCCGTAGATCTCGATTAGCTTTTGCAACACCACGACTTGGTTCCTTAGCCGGACGATGTAATCTGCCGTTTCTTGAAACAGCTGTTCCGTCTCTCCATTGTCTGGTTTCTCCTCCACGTCGACGACTTGAGGACTCTGCTCCGCCGTCTTCTCCGTCTTCCTCGTCGACGGAGGTAGAAGACTCTTAAGCGCTTGGAGCTTCTCGGTGAACTTTTCACCGCCGTTGCCGCAGCAATTGCGGAGAATCTTGGCACGTGACGAAGCAGTTAATCTTCTGTTTACGAGTTTCTTGCATCTTGTTCCTCCTCCTCTTGATCTTTGCGTCTTTATGATTCTCATCGCGAAGAAGAAGATTAGGATGAGATTTTTTATTTTCTCTCTTTTCTTTTTGAATATGAGAAGAATGAAGATCGGGGTTTATGTACAACTGGCTATTCGTTTATGCCCCTGAAAGTACCAGTTTTTACAATAGTGCCACTGGTGGTGCTTTCATTCCTTTGTTTGTCGTCTTGTGCTTTTTTTTTTGTTGGGCCCTAAGTTTAAAGAAAAATAAATCTCGATATTATCTCTCACGTGCTCGTTGTCAAATATCTCTCAGAGGAACAATCTTAAACTATTTTCTTGAATATTAAAGAAACAGGTTTAGATTATATATTTGGCATTATAAGTTTCACATACCAAGAATTGAACTATTGAAATTTTGGAATTTTTATTAACAGTTGTATTGCTTTGTAAAAAACTGCTAAAGAAATACAAATTAACTTCTAGAAATGTCCTCTCTATCTAACAACTACGAACGAAACATTTATTGTTCATTACAAGCCATTGAACACATGTTCTCACAATTAATCTACAGATACTACACTGATCGATCTAGTGATGTGTTAGGAATCCTATAAAAAGATTAATTTGAATGCATGTTTATTCTTATGTAATTGTGATTTTGTTACAATCGGTATTTCAGAAATTTTATCTTATTGTATTGTTGCTTTTTTATCCTTTTTTTTTCAAGAGCATGCCTAAAAGGTTAAGACATTAGTTTCCAAATTATCTGAATGTTTTGAGTCGTACGAATATCGACAACACAGCACTGACATGTGAAGAGAAGGTATATCCGTAATTTCAAATGTGTGGAGAAGCTGGTTAAGAGAAGTGGGTGAAGAGTGCGCATTTGCCTTATGACAGTAAAGCCTGAGCGTTCTGTGGTGGCACATGATAAATTGATAAGTGTTTGGGCCAATATTATTTTTCTTTTGCTTTCCTGTATTGCCCCCTCCACAGTTTGTCCATAATCCAGTTGCTAAATGGTACGTACGAAGAATGTTTACAGATTATCTATCTAATCAGATGTTTTACTTTTCCATTTGACCAGATAAATGTTTTCGTTTTATTTCTTTGTTGGAGGACCCCTTTTTTGTTTTGTCAAGGTTGGACCCTTTGGCGCCTTATAAACTTTGTTTTTCTCTTTAATTTTATAACATGGGTGATAACTCTTGTCTTTTTCATGATATTAAATGACAAATATCTCGAGACAATTTTAACAAAAAAATATATATCTCGAGAAAATTCTCCAAAATGATATTTTCATTTTTGTTAATAAACATATTCGTATATAGTTAAAATTAAAACATCCGTAACAGAAATTACATAAGATTATGCAATTCGGGAGTAAATTTGGAAGGGTAGTTTCGTCATCAAAAAGGGAAGAATATATGTGTATTAAAATGTGCCTCGTGTAGAGAGGTCATGCATGTGAAGGTGTTATGAGCCAGCAAACCCTCATTGGACAAAGAAGAGAATTTTGAGTAAAAAAGAAAACTGAAAACTAATTTGAAATATGAGAACCGGGAAAAATTGAACCGGAAACCGGTTGTAAAGGGAGAGAGTAAACAGCATGTGAAGGCACATGGGAGAAGAGAAAGGAAAGCAGACAGAGAAAGAAAGCATGGAAGTGAACAGAGAGCATGTTCTGTATATTCCCTGCATGCACATAACTTCCCTTTTCTTTGTAATGCCAAAAAATAATAAGAAGAGTGTATAATCAACATTGTTTTTAGATGATTAATTAATTTAGTATAGGAAGGATGTGTTTCTTTTTATAATTTCGATTTGGTGGCTTGGTGCACATGGTTTACTATCTAGATTTCAGGTTAATAGCATGTGTTTAGCTGTTGTTCCACGTGACTGATTTGCGTAATTGTGTACATTGATTAACAAGTATTCGACTAATATCCGTAGATAAAGCATCGAGCTGACTCACGTATAGAGTTTGGATTACGTCCTTTAGTCCAATGCCATAGTGCCACCACGCGAGTTAGCTTTTATAATCTTTGATGTTATATAATAATCAGTACATTATGTAATGCTTCTAAATATTAATCTGTTTGTCACATTATATCTTGTGTAACTGATTTAGTTGGTCGTTTTATAAAGGGAAAAGTTATTGATCAACTTGCTCATACATGTTTTACAACTGTACTTGAATTAGTGTCAACATACCGTAATGAACTGGCCAAAAATAAAAACAAAAATTTGAATCAAGCTTTTCTTTGTATTATTTGATTTTATTCTTTACATAACACAACAATATAACAAAACTTTTTGTTAAAAAAAGCTGTATTAGCACAATATATACATGTCTTAATAAGGAGGCGAGAGAACAAAAGTTTTTGGCTTTTGTTTTGTTTGTTTGATGAAAGTGGGAGTGAGGGACAATATGATATAAGGCAGGGAAAAAGTATTTTAATTTCTTGTGGTCATAGATAAGTAACAAATTTACCAAAAGATTTAGATGTTGACGAGACATCTTTTCATTCCATTTGTGTTTCCTCCCTTACTCACCGTTTCGTAATTCAAATCAAAACATTAAAAAGCATTCGATTATGGGAGTCGCCGACTATGGAGACTGCCTACATTTTTCTAGTGTCATGAAACATTAACACGTTGTTTTACTTTTAACCAATGAAATTTCGCATGAAAATAGGAACGAAAGTAATATCATTGACCCACGTCCACGTGAGATAAACAATAAACCTCCCAATGAAGAGGCTTTGGACACTGGTCGACCATTTATGTTCTGTACCAAGGTATAATTGAAATTCCTTTCCACTAATAGGATGTCTTGAGTATATTATTTTTTTTTTAGTATAATATTTTTATGTAATGGTGAAAATGTCAAGATATAAACATGTAATTATCAAGTGATTCTTACTAAGTACTAAGTATAGATCCCACATTGCTTTTACATGTAAGTCTTGGCTAGCTATAAACATAACTTTTTTTTTTTTATTGTATTAACTACTTTGGATAAACTCAAGTTACATATGAAGATAGATACTCACATTTAACATCCATATTTTTAAAAGAAACCAACCACTACTTTTTTTCTGAAAATATCTACTTATCATGTGATGTAATTTTCTTGTCCTCCCCCTCTCATTGCTTTCACTTTATTCTTTATATTTTATTTTTATATATAAAATTACAAGAAGAATGAAAAGAAAAGAATGTAGAGGTTTTGGTGGGGAAATAAGGTACCCTGAGACTAAACACAAGGGGTAAGTTGTTGAGTCACTGAATAGTGACTATTCTGATCCCACACTCTGTCCTCCTTGCTCCTTGTCTCCCATGCTCTTCACTATTTGTCCTCTTTTCACGTTTATCAGTTGGTTTTATTCAAATATATATATATTCACATAAAATTGTCAATCTCCAAACAAACAATCACTACAAGAACAAAAACAAAATCAATAAATATATTTGAGTTGTAAATTTAAGCAATTGATAACGTCATCCATAAAATTAGATAGTGAAATATTCAACTGCGTTTTTCGAAGTTTATGACTTAATCTATCAAAGAATCTTTCATTGATCATTGTAAAGGTACATCCTGAAAAAATATAGCATTATAATTGTTAAAACCAGATGCTCCCCTAGTAGCTACTTGGTTAAGATTGGTGAATGGTGATGCGTCTACACACGCATTCATGTTTCTTTTTGAAGGAGTACTTGAATATGAACTTGTGGTGACTGTGATATGCAAACTCAAGTGGTGAATTATAAGATTATTGTTGATGTTTCTTTTCGTGGATCATTTTACACCCACATAGTTTTCTTTTTGATTTTGCAATCTCGACTACTTCAGTTTTTTCATGAGCAGAAAAGATATCACAGTAAATTTCATATACAATTTGATAGTTTCCAACCATCTCATCATGTTTCTATTACAATATTAAGGATAAACAGTTTTCATTAAACACAAGAAATTATTATATTGCACGAGTTGGTTTTCGAAATCTTTAATTATGTTTCAAATAAACGAAAATGATTTGTTTCCTAAAATATAATTTAGTTATTCGAGAGTAAAATAACTATGTTCTCTATGACTTCTTTATTCAAAAAAAAAAAAAAAAAAAAAAAGTTCTTGCCGCCAAAAATATATTGTTTGGTTAATTTCATTGATTATTGCTTCTGTTTTGGTTCTTGGAATAAAGTTTGTGGGCTAAGGCCCGTTTACAAATCAGGCCCGTTTTATTACTTTTTAATTTCTTATTAATTAATTAAATCTTCAGTTTTATCTTCCTACCGAATACTGATGCTTCCTCTTTCCCCTAATTTCCCCAGGAAAATCCAATATGTAAAATTTTCTTCCATTTTCTTTCGAAATCGTATCTATGTGATCCAGATTCCGACTCCAGATTGTGTGAAAAGGTTAGCGTTATTTTCTCTATTGCTCATGATGAAGCTTCGTCTATTTCTGTTTTGCTTTCGTTCTCTTCACCGATTGATCATCATATCCTGTTTCAATTATCGTCACTGGAAATTACCTCTAATCAAATCGAATTGGATTTGATCTGCTCCTACTCTCTCCAACTCTGTCGAAATTGTTCTTCTGTATTTTCCAATTACAATTTTCATCTGGAAATTTCAAATTGGATTTGGATCTCGCTCGCTCCTTGCTCTTCTTACTGAGAATTGGAACATTTTCAATTAGGTCATATTTATGGTTCCATTAGCTTGTCTGATTATAAATTCGAAACTTTTGTTGATCAAAATGCATTTTTCTTCTCAAATCTACTAAGCATTTGTTATCTCTGTCATTGGGTATTGAAAATTGATTGCAAATAAAGATACTTTCTTAGAGAAATTTCTCAAAACCAAACATTCTCTGTTTTGATTATCCCTCAAATGATTCAGAAAGAGAGTTGGTTACAAAAAGACCGTTTCATGTTCACATTTAGTTTGATTCTGTGTCTTAATCTTGACCCATTTAACCAATTTGTGTAGTTCTTGAAAAAGCGCAAGAAGATGTTCCCTCAAGAAGTGTTGAAGAATGTGTTTCCACTGCTCGAAGGAGAAGACCTCGCAGCGTGTATGGGCGTAAGCAAACAATGGAGAGACATAGCAAGAGACGACTTTTACTGGAAATGCCAATGCGCCAAGAAATGGCCGTCGGTTTGCAAACGGAACAAACCGCCGACGGAGACATACTACAAGATGTTCCAAACGTTTAGCAAACGGCGGCTAAACCGGACTCTACCTCCTCCGAGACTCTCCTTCGAAAACTTGGAGTTCTTCGTCGACATTTGGTCAGAAGACAAACTGATATACTCCGGTTTAATCCCTGGCGTTGCGTTCGAAACCGGGATCGATCCTTTACCATCAGAGATCAGCAGTGTTCTTAGAATGTTCCTTGGAAGACATGATTTCATGATGCTTGTCCCTGCTGAGCCGAGATTCGCTATTCCGTTAAACGAAACGGTTAGTGTTTCGATGTTTGTGGCGAGGAATGATTCGGATAAGGTTGCGAGGATAATAAACCGGTCTGTGTTTGAGTATATAGACCATTCTTCGTACAGAGCGCTTGCTTTCGAGTATCTTGACTTGTCTCCTTATTATCCTTTCATCTCCGGTGTGAGAGCGTGGGTCTCTCTGCTTTTCATGGATGTGAATGATGGTGTGCTTGATGTTTTTGGGATTCAGTTGGATTTCTGTGATGTTGCTGATACTAGAGATGAGGTTTTGTGGCTTCTTGATATGCTTGATTGGAAGTGAAACCACAAGAGTTAAGACTCAGGTTTGTAACTTTGTATACACACAAACACGCTTTGGTCTCAGTACCTATTTCAGTACTTAACTTTGTTTACAGCATCTGTGATTCTTTTTAATACTAGTTTGATTCATTTTTTCTCTGTATACACATTCCTTTATGAATTGTTTAGTTTACGGTTGATCATTATTTTTTGTTTAATCTGGCAATTTAGATTTCAACCATATATGATATCATGGTAATACACATTCCTATAAGTACCAAATGCAGGAATCAAGTAACATAATTTAAACCACATTTATTTTATATTTCTTTATATTATTGTAACTATTGCACCCAATACATCTGTTAAATCATATAATTATAAGCCATAGTTAACAAAAGTCAAATCATTTTTTTAAAAGTTAATCCTCCCATCAAAATTCTGGCCAAATCCCCAATTCTGTGGTGCCACATTATTAAAATCCTTAGTAATCCCATCACTCGTTGTAATCCTGAATGATAAACCTTGTCCGGTCAACACAACATTGGTGGTCCAGTGCTGTCCCCAATTCTTGCTCATCGGAATCCATCCGGTTCTGCTTCCTCTAATCTGCATGGCCTTAATATCTCCGGCTCCTCCTACATTGTACGGCAAGATTATCAAGAAATAAGGGTTCCCCGTGGTTTCGAACCTGACACCACCGGCTTTCATGCAACGAATACGTCTATATTTAACCGGGACAATCCCGGCTCTGTACTGGGCGATCTTGAGGAACATTGGTTGGGAGAGATCAAAGTGTTTTTGTGGTGGGTTGCACCAAACGCCTTGGGTTTTGCTGTAATCTGGTGGACAGAAATTTGTAGCCGTGACCTTGATGGATCCGGGCAAACACCATTGTGGATCATTCACGCACATGATCTCGTAACAAGCCCCGCACGTGTACCCGTTGTTGAACAGCGCCGTGCTCAACGCAGTCGTAGCTAGACCATAGCCTTGTTTGAATACACCATATCCACAAGCCCCCTCTATTGAATATATGAAGCAAAAAGTGTCAGTGTAATATTTTAAAGAGTACTAGATGATCTCTTCAGGCTGTACAAAATAATCGCATTAAAAATAAAATAATAACTAAACCATGGATATTTAGTTTAGTAACTAAAACTTACGTTCCGTTTCTCCACCATGGATGTCACCGTAAAATGTGGCGTGTGCGTCATACCAAGCAGTGTCGAGTCCGTTGGTTGCACCGTTACTGGGTACCTTGGGTACATCACCACTCATCGGTGAGTCGGCTACATGACCGTAACTCAGGGGTACGACCCATATCGCCATTACCAACATCAAAACTTTTGTATATATCATATTTTCTAAGATTTGTATTATTTTATTTGTTTTTAATAATACTCTCTTAATTGATTGATTGATTGATGATTAATATTGATGGGAATGTGTGCATATATAGGTAGAGAAGTATAAGTGGTTATGGTAGTTATGTAAATATGCATTCAAGTAATTTATAATGTTGCATGTATTGATTGAAATGACCACAAACTAGTAAATGTGTTGAAGTTTTCCTAGTCAACATGCATCTTGATAGGTGATAACATTGCCAATATATAATTTTGAATGAAATGGTAGGCTGTTTTAGAAATATAATTTTCTAGATTACATGTAATATGGTAACTGTGTAAAACCATTCAAATGTTTCTATAATGTTGCATATATATACTTTACAAATGAACACAGTTTAGTAATTCTGATAATCTTTTGGTAGCCAACATGCTTCTTGATAAGTGATAACTTAGTACGCTGATTTAAAAGTACTTTCTTAAATTACATTTAACTAGTTTGTTTATTTTAATCTCTTCGCATCTTACAATAATATGTTCAAAATCTGATATATTGGAAAGTTTATCATGCTGTAGATCACGCTTACTAAATCAGAGAGAGGGTAAGGCAAATATATAAGCTCATTTCAAAGATCCTATAAAAACACTGTAAAACTTTATATATGAGAAAACATTGTAAAGTTTAAACTGCCAAAATAGCTTAAGCTGTTGTGACAATCGAAAAAAATCACTTCAAATACTTGAAATGGATGTTCATAATTTATTGATGTATATATGATGTATATATAGGAGACCACGATTAAAATTCTATTAAAGTAAAGATAGATATATATATATATATATATATATATATATATATATACTAATGCGTGTGTAAGTCACCGTATCATAATTTGGATTTAAATGTGAGAGTTTGCGTGTTTAAGTTATACACTATAGAAAAAGTGAAAAACTGAAGAATTTAAGCTGAACCAGAAACAGAAATGACATGCAAACGACTCAAAACTGAATAAACATTAGCTAGTTTTAATGGATATCGTCCGGGACACATGTTAATCTGATTAAATCATAGTATGATGTTAAAACTAAATGCACGAACTAAATTAAGTAGCATAAACAAAATCTCAAATATTTTTAGTATTTTTTCATTATTGTTACTTTTGCACCCAATACATCTATGTATTCAATTATTTAAAAAAAAAATTTTTTTTGCAAATTAATTAGCTAACAAACTCAATCATTCTTCTAAAAGTTAATCCTTCCATTAAAAGTCTGGCCAAATCCCCAAGTCTTGGGTGCCACGTTAATGAAATCCTTAGTAACCCCATCACTGGTCGTAACCCTGAATGATAATTGTTGTCCAGTCAACATAACATTGGTGGTCCAGTGCTGTCCCCAGTTCTTGCTCATTGCCATCCATCCGGTCTTGTTTCCTTTAATCTGCACGGCCTTTATATCTCCGGCTCCTCCTACGTTGTACGGCAAGATCATCAAGAAATTAGGGTTTCCGGTTGTTTCGAACCTGACACCACCTCTTTTCACACAAGGAATACGTCTGTATCTAACCGGAACAACCCCGGCTATTTGCTTGGCGATCTTGATGAACATTGGTAGGGTGAGATCAAAATGTTTTTGTGGTGGGTCGCACCAACCGCCGGTTGAGCCTGGTGGACATGAATTTGTAGCCGTGACTTTGATGGATCCGGGCAAACACGCTTGTGGAGTATTCGCACACATGATCTCGTAACAAGCCCCACAAGTGTAACCGTCGTTGAAGAGCGGCGTGCTCAACGCCGTCGTGTATAGACCATAGCCCTGTCTGAATGTATCAGTATATCCACAAGCTCCCTCTATTAAATATATCATGGAAAAAGTGAGTATGTAATAATTGATGAAGATAATGGGTTTGGCTTTAATAAAAAAAAAAATAATAATAATAACTAAAAACTTACGTCGGGTTTCTCCACCCTGCATGTCACCGTAATATGTGGCTCTTGCGTCTTCATACCAACCACCATTTTTGAATGAGTCAGTTCCAGGTGCGTCGGCTACATCACCAGTCGCTGGTGCCTCGGCTTCTTGACCATAAATTATAGGCGCAAACCATATCGCCACAACTATCATCAAAACTTGTGTATACATCATTGGTTCCAAGAGTTTCATGATTTTTATTTTTCGCTTTTTTTAATAACTTTGACTGATGATTTGATATCAATGGGAATGTAGGTATATATATACAGGTAGAGACATAGAACTGATTAGGATTTTATGTAAATAAGTTTACAAATCTTTTGAACAGTTATATTAATGTTGGTCAAACGATATATGTGCATAAATATACTTCATAGAATAATAGTAATTGACTAATTGCAGTCAACTTTTTTGTAGTCCATCTGCTATTGATAAGCAGTAACATTGCCGATACGTTGATATGTTTTAAAAGTATATTTTGTTTCTAAACTACAAGTCAAGTAATTACTTTGTTTCTTTGTATTCTCTTCACATATTTCCATTATGTTCAAAAGATGATGATTGACTACAAAATTTCCATGATGATCTTACCATCATGAAAATTTATTAAACAATGAAGATTGACCACAAACATTATGATCTTATAAATTATAACTATCATGAAAAGATTATTAATCGTCTCATATCATTGACTACAAAGATTCTATGAGGGGAATCTATATAACTAATAAGGCTTGGACAATCTCCAGCCTTTGACACGTGGCACTCTTTTTTTTTTTTTTTTCGCCTAACACCAAAACGACGTCGTTTTGCGCTTTATTTTTTTTTCGTCTACACCAAAACGACGTCGTTTTGCGCTTTATTTTTTTTTCGTCTTACACCAAAACGACGTCGTTTTGCGCTTTTTTTTTTTTCGTCTTACACCAAAACGACGTCGTTTTCGTAAAAAAAAAAACTATGTGTAATGCTGTTCGTTTTGATGGGCTTGATTATTTATCGGACCTCTTCGTTTCCATGGTAGCTTTAAATGGGCTTACTGGCTAATTAGCTCATTTCATTTCCTTTTAAAAAGGATTGCAATTATTATTATCTATGAGTCTGTAGGATAATAATCAATCTATAATGATTGTTAGTATAAGGAAAATTAGAAGAACTCAACTCCAGTCGATAAATTATTGTATAAAAGAACAAAAAACATATGAAACTATTCACTATGAGTCTATATAAGATTTCACGTAAATAACAACTAAATTTTAAAACTATATGAAAAAAAACAAAATGCAAAACTTACAGAATCTAATATATTCGAGTAAAAAACAAATGATATATTCGAATCTAATGTTCTGAATAATTAAATTAAAAATATTTGGTTTAATAAACCCGCGCATTGCGCGGGTTCTCTCCTAGTACTAATAAATTGTAATGCATGTATACTTATCTTACCATCATGGAAATTTTACTAATCAATGAAGATTGACCACAATCATTATGATCTTACAACCATCATGAAAATTTTAATAATCGTATCATCATCGACTACAATGATTTTATGAGGGGAATACTAGTAAATTGTAATGTGTACTTGTATCATCATATGTTTTATTAGGTTTACAATATACTTTTGTATAAATACTGCAAAATGTTTATAAATTAATATTCATTAAACCAATTAATAAGCATGATACAATAAATACATTTCCAAAACTTAAACCATTTTTTTCTTTTTCAAAGTTATGCTTCCCACAGTTGAGAGAAATTAAACACGAAGGCCCAATGATACATACTACAATTAAATTCTTAAAACAGAATAAATATTTGTTGGGATTAGTGGTTCTTGGTCCTCGACTCGTGAGAAATCAAAGTATGAAGTTAAACCCAATACATGAATTCAGCAGAAAAAAATATGTAAAATATATAATTTCTTATTAATCTTTTTAATTATTGTAACTTTTTCACCAAGTACATCTGTGTATTACTTTTAGTTCTAAGACTTAGCTACTAACAAAACACAAAAATTACTCTTCTAAAAGTTAATCCTTCCATCAAAAGTCTGGCCAAATCCCCAAGTCTTGGGTGCCACGTTGATGAAATCCTTAGTAACCCCATCACTGGTCGTAACCCTGAATGACAATTGTTGTCCGGTCAGCACAACATTGGTGGTCCAGTGCTGTCCCCAGTTCTTGCTCATTGCAATCCATCCGGTCTTGTTTCCTTTAACCTGCACGGCCTTGATATCTCCAGCTCCTCCTACGTTGTACGGCAAGATCATCAAGAAATAAGGGTTTCCTGTGGTTTCGAACCTGACACCACCTCTTTTCACACAAGGAATACGTCTGTATTTAACCGGAACAACCCCGGCTCTGTACTGGGCGATCTTGAGGAACATTGGCTGGGAGAGATCAAAATGTTTTTGTGGTGGGTTGCACCAAATGTCATGGGTTTTGGTGTAATTTGGTGGACAGAAATTTGTAGCTGTGATCTTGATGGATCCGGGCAAACACCATTGTGGAGCATTCACGCACATGATCTCGTAACAAGCCCCGCAAGTGTACCCGTCGTTGAAGAGCGCCGTGCTCAACGCGGCCGTGGCTAGACCATAGCCTTGTTTGAATAGATTACCATATCCACAAGCTCCCTCTATTAAAATATATCATGAATAAAGTGAGTATGAAATAACTAGTAAAGTTTAATAGATTATAATGGCTTTGGTTTTGATTGTTACTAATATTATAAAGAGTGTACGTATTAAAAATATTTGTAACTAAAAACTTACGTTGGGTTTCTCCACCATGGATGTCACCGTAAAATGTGGCTCGTGCGTCATACCAAGCAGTGTCGAGTGAGTCAGTTCCAGGTGCCTCGGCTACATCACCAATCGGTGCCTCGGCTTCTTGACCATAAATTATGGGCGCAAACCATATCGCCACAATTATCATCAAAACTTTTGTATACATCATTGGTTCCAAGAGTTTCATGATTTTTGTTTTTCGCTTTTTCAAAGATACTTTGTAAGTTAACCTTGATTGATGGTAAATATTAACGAGAATGTGTGTATATATAGTGTAGAGAAATAGAACTGATTAGGATAATTTGTGTAAATATGTTAACAACTATTTTGAAATCTCATATATATTTTGGTCAAACAAATATGTGCATAACTATACTTAATAGTAATTGTATTCAAGTTTTTGTAGTCAATATTCAACCTGATATAAGCGATAACTTCCCAACATGTTGATAGGTTTTCAAAGATGATGATTGACTAATAAACTTTCCATGTTGATCTAACCATCATGGAAAGTTTCTTCATCGATCAAGACTGATTTCAAACATTATGTGATCTTAGCATCCTGAGAAGTTTATTCATCGTTTAATCATCTCTGACTACAAAGACTTTATGAGAAAGTATCAGTAAATTGTACTTATCTATATGCAAAACTAGCATAATCTATTTGGTAGTCTAAACTCTTGTATTAATACAGTAATTGTTTTTTATATATTATTATTTGATAATAAACTAATAAAAATGAGAGCAGTTCCAAATTGAGTTAGTGCAAATAAAAAAGAGATAAAAATAATAAGATGTAATTTTTGAGAAATTATATGTCAGTATATGTTCCCAAAAATATCACATAATTTTTGTTTTCCAAAAACTATTTACTAATAAATCTACAAATAACAATAATTCACTGAATTAATTGCAAGTTGCAACCCTTAGCTAACAAAACACACGTCCATTTTTTTGTTTTCCTAAAAGTTATGCTTTGCAACAAACGACTGTCCAGTACATCCCCAAGTCGGTGGTGTTACGTCCATAAATTCTTTCGTAATTCCATCACTTGTAGTGATTTTAAACGATAAACATTGTCCGGTTAACACAACACCAGTGGTCCAAATCTGTCCCCAATTCTTGCTCATCGTTATCCACTCGGTCTTCGTTCCCTTAACACACATGGCCTTAATATCTCCGGCTCCTCCTACATTGTATGGCAAGATCATAAGAAAATGAGGGTTTCCCTTGATTTCAAACTTGATACCACCGGTTTTCGCGCAAGGAACACGTCTATATCTAACCGGGACAACCCCGGCTTTGTACTTGGCGATTTTGAGGAACATTGGTTGGGAGAGATCAAAGTGTTTTTGTGGTGGATTGCACCAACAGTCTTTGCTCTTGCTAAAATCTGGTGGACAGAAGTTTGTAGCTGTGATTCTGATGGTTCCGGGCAAACACCATTGTGGAGAATTCACGCACTTCATCTCGTAACAAGCCCCACATGTGTAGCCGTTGTTGAATAGCGCCGTGCTTAGCGCTGCTGTGGCTAGACCATAGCCTTGTTTGTGTAGATCACCATATCCACAAGCTCCCTCTATCAAATAAATATAAAATGAAAAAGGTGAGTATATATGTTTGATAGACATATGTGTTTTTACTTTTGCGTTTGCATGTCATTGTATCCCATAATTAAGAGATGGTGTTTTTTAATAAATTTTCTTTTGTTACAAAGTTGGCGTTTGCATAAGCAAAACAAATTGTAAAAAGAGAAACAAAGTTGGCGTTTACGTTTTCACTTTTACTAAAAGAATATGTAGATGGTGTTTTTTTTTAATAATTTTTCTTTAGTTACAAAGTTGACGTTTACATAAGCAAAACTAATTGTAACAGGAGAAACAAAGTTGGCGTTTACGTTTTCATGTTTACTAAAAGAATATGTAGAAATAAATGAAAAACTGTTTGAATTTTTTGAAGTCATATATAAAATGAAAAAAATAATAATAATGTTTGGAAAATCACATACTAACCAATTACCATATTACTCTAGTGGTTAAAGATCCATTCCCCTCTTCAACCCAAAGGGAGAGATCAAAGACTCATTCACTATGTCTTCATGTTGGCTATTGCATACGTCTTAATTTTGCAAGTTTTGAGAGTATTGAATTGTTAGTATGTTAACTTACGTTGAGTTTCTCCACCATTGATGTCACCGTAAAATGTGGCACGCGCATCAAGCCAACCAGAATCAGGTGCGTCGGCCGTTCCATGGCCACCATTTTGTGGGTTAGGTACATCACTAGGCACGGGCACACTGGCTTCACCACCATTACTTGTAGGTGAGCCGGTTCCGTGGCCATCATGGTGTGGTTTAGGCACATCACCAGGCACGTGCACATTAGCTCCATCGCCGTTACTCGTAGGCGGGTCGGTTCCATGGTCACCATTGCGTGGGTTAGGCACATCACCTGCAGGCACGTGCACATTGGCTCCATCACCGTTATTTGTAGGTGGGCCGGTTCCATGGTCACCATTGTGTGGTTTAGGCACATCACCAGGCACGTGCTCATTTGCTCCATCACCGTTTTTCGTAGGTGAGCCGGTTCTATGGCCGTCATGGTGTGGTTTAGGCACATCACCAGGCACGAGCACATTGGCTCCATCACCGTTAGGTGGGCCAGTTCCATCACCATGACTCTTGGGTGGATTTGGTACATCATCAGTCGCTGGCACGTGATCAGATTTTTCACCAGTCATCGGCGCATGGTGGTCACGACCGTAACTCATGGGCACGACCCATATCACCGTTACTATCATCAAAATTTCAGCACATATAATTTTTTGTAAGTGATTCATGATTCTTGTGCTTCCTTGGTTAATCTTTTTCGTAATTTTGACTAATGATAAATATTGATGGACATTTACGTGAATATAGGTAGAAAGATTATGGGCTTCTCGCTGTTTTCGGGATTCATTAGATTTCTGTGATGTTGCTGACAATTAGATTCTCCAGTCCCGTTAAATCGCTTTGTCAGGTCTTTAATTGGTCCGGGACTAAACTTTTCTTACAACATTTTATTGACAAATGATTTTTCTTTCAATTTAATGTTTTGATGTGAACAGAGTAATGATTACAATTTGCAAACAAACATTGCTAGAATTTAATCAATTACTTTTTTAAAGTAAAGTTTTTTTTAGTTTTGCTTCTAAATGCTGTATAGATATTATTCAAAACATATGAAAAAAGATTAATATTATATTTTAGCATACAATAGTACATATATTTGATTATATTATCTCATCTCGGACCATACGCATATGTCTATGGAATAGCACGACAACAGCATCGATGTAGAGGGTGATCACACCGGTGAAAATATAAACCATGATTACGACACCATCGATCGCAGTCTTTAAAAGTACATGGATCTCTCATACAACAGAAACATTGCTCCATCTGCTTTATCTCATTTCCTATTAATTAATAAAATTTTCTATTAAATCATATTCATTGAAAATACAATTCATATAGATAATTATAAAGTAATTGTATAAGTTTTAAACTAATACCTGGAGTACTAACGGTTGTTGTACGACAATGAGCAAAAGATATGATGAAAAAAATCATGAAAACATATGTAATTAACTTCATGCTAAATCCCATTTTATGATATTTCTTTTTTCTTTTAATTTTCGTTATGAGTTTTGTTTATTTAGATTGGCTATATATAGTACCAGAAACGTACTGATAAGGTAATTTTCATGGCCAAATTTAATAAATAACTTAACAAAAAAAGGTTGACATTAACATAACATTCAATTTATTTACTTATAGATTTATAGTCATAATAAAACCATATGTTGACCAAAAAAAACAGTAGCACACACACACAGGTTTCCATAGTTTGGTGTAGCGTAAAAAAAAAGGATTAATTGTTATTCTCTCCACTCTACTCCACAAAAATAGTGATTAATTAGGTCGTCGTGCATGATCGATGTAGAAATAAAATAAAAATTAAAACATTTGCTAGTTTCAACATGGGCATTATCGTCATTATTTTCGTACTGACAATGTTTCCAACACATTCCCCGTTTTGCCCCCGCCTGTGATTGGATTCTTGCTCCACCATAAGTTCGGGTGACAAAGGGCAAATTCGGAAACGTGTCCCCTATAAATTGCGTGCCTTTCCTTCTTCGTCGTTGAAACTTTCTTCCATTTCTGCTCTTCCAACAGAACAATCTCTTCACTGCTAATCTTCAGAGGTAAATGCAGATCTCTCTCTATATCAATTCTCTTCGATGTTCTTATTGCATTTTGGATTATTCACCCGAAACTCTGCTTGATTCTCAATTGATTGATCTCGCTCTGAATCGCCGATCGATGTCATTCGAAACGTAGAGATCGGATCCTTCTCTGTATGAAATTGTATCGAGATTGCTCAAATGTGTAGATCCTTCGTTAATTGTGCTGATTTCGCAATCATTCTTAGTTTCTGGGTAGATTATGTTTAGATCCGCGTGAGCTACGAGCAATTTTTGTATTTATTCGGATCTCTCCATTGATTCAGATCGAATCGTGAATCATCTCTTGATTTCATATATATAGTCCAGATCTGATCTCAATTTGACTTTGCTTTTGAAAGATCTCTGTTTGCTATTCGATCTGTTGTTAGAAATCTGAGTTTTTGATTCGAATTTTGCAGAGAGAGAGTTTCAGAAATCATCAAAATGGTGAAGATCTGTTGTATCGGAGCTGGATATGTTGGAGGTCCAACAATGGCGGTGATTGCGCTGAAATGCCCACACATTGAAGTAGCAGTCGTCGACATCTCCGTGCCACGGATCACCGCGTGGAACAGTGACCAGCTTCCGATCTACGAGCCAGGTCTCGAAGACATCGTCAAGCAATGCAGAGGCAAGAACCTCTTCTTCAGCACCGACGTGGAGCAGCACGTGAGAGAAGCCGACATCGTCTTCGTCTCCGTCAACACGCCGACGAAAACCACCGGTCTCGGAGCTGGTAAAGCCGCGGATCTCACTTACTGGGAGAGCGCTGCTCGTATGATCGCCGACGTATCGGTCTCTGACAAGATCGTCGTTGAGAAATCGACTGTCCCCGTGAAAACAGCTGAAGCAATCGAGAAGATCCTGATGCATAACAGTAAAGGAATCAAGTTCCAGATCCTCTCGAATCCTGAGTTTCTCGCTGAAGGAACTGCAATCACTGACCTTTTTAACCCTGACCGTGTTCTCATCGGAGGCCGTGAAACACCTGAAGGATTCAAAGCTGTGCAGACGCTTAAGGAAGTGTACGCCAATTGGGTCCCTGAAGGCCAAATCATCACGACGAACCTCTGGTCCGCAGAGCTCTCCAAGCTAGCTGCGAACGCGTTCTTGGCTCAGAGGATCTCATCCGTCAACGCCATGTCTGCTCTCTGTGAGTCCACCGGCGCTGACGTCACTCAGGTCTCTTACGCCGTTGGTACCGATTCAAGAATCGGCCCCAAGTTCTTGAACGCGAGTGTCGGTTTCGGAGGCTCTTGTTTCCAGAAGGACATTCTCAACCTCGTCTACATCTGCCAGTGCAACGGGCTTCCTGAAGTTGCGGAGTACTGGAAACAAGTGATCAAGATCAACGATTACCAGAAGAACCGGTTCGTGAACAGGATCGTCTCTTCCATGTTCAACACCGTCTCCAACAAGAAAGTCGCTATCCTCGGATTCGCGTTCAAGAAGGACACCGGTGACACGAGGGAGACGCCGGCGATCGATGTGTGCAAAGGTTTGTTGGGAGACAAGGCGCAGATTAGCATCTACGATCCTCAAGTCACTGAGGATCAGATTCAGAGAGACCTTTCGATGAAGAAGTTCGACTGGGACCATCCCCTTCACTTGCAGCCGATGAGTCCAACGACTGTGAAACAAGTGAGTGTGACTTGGGACGCGTATGAAGCTACGAAAGGTGCACATGCGGTTTGCGTTTTGACGGAGTGGGATGAGTTTAAGTCGTTGGATTTCCAGAAGATCTTTGACAATATGCAGAAACCGGCGTTTATCTTTGACGGAAGGAACATTATGGATGTTAACAAGTTGAGAGAGATTGGTTTCATCGTTTACTCCATTGGTAAGCCACTTGATGCTTGGCTCAAGGACATGCCTGCTTTCATCTAAATGAGAAAAAGGTAATAATATAATATGGCTTTTGACCTGATCCTTTTTGATTGTTTGTGTTTTTGCTTCGTTTTCATATAATTTTAGACTCAAGGACTCGAAACTTGAGGAAGTCTTGTTTTTACTTTCTACAGCGTGTTTTTTCTTTTTCTTATGTAAGCTCTTTTTATTTTGTGTTTGTTTCAATTCTTGTTAAGACTCAAGAGACATGCTTTGAATTGCGATTTACATCATTTTTGTTGTTTCCGTAGACAATAAACAAAGTTTAGTCTTTAATTCGAATTCAGTAATTAATTTAAGGAAGGGAATTTGTTAAAGTATATGGTTCAAATCTTGATTATTGCATAATGTAGATTCCAATTTCTTGTAATTTGAGTAATAATTTGGTTAATGGTCACGAGAACTTCTACTACCAGAAAAAAAATATGGTAAAGCGATGATAACTGTACTATGATTGAGTAGAGTCGTAGAGATCATGAACATGATCGTTGTTCAAGGGTTCTACATTTGACAAGTTTAAGTTTCTATATATTTACATGGATAACATAATCCTTTATCAAAAAAAAAAGGTTCTACATGAATTGTATAAGAAAAAAAGAAAAAAAAATACATCAATGTGCATCAGGTTTCTCTTGCGGTTGTAATGTTATGGAAATGATGTTTTTTAATTTGGTTTAATATAACTACATTTGATAATGGTACACTATTTATGACAATTTTTTACAAACTAAAGATGAATTTTGTGTATTTGCTTGTAATGAGTAGGTCATTAATCTGTATAAATTTTAAAATCATCTAGATTCCGAAAAAACAATCAATGATAAAATTTTGTTTTTTTCAACATTTGTTCCATTTCATCAAACTATTGTTTAATACTTTTGTGCCTATATTTTATTATTACCTAAGAATTCTCCCCTACCAAATGTAAAAAAAGATAGCAACTGATTAATAACCAAAACAATCTCAATCAAATAATTGAATTTGTTCTAGTAAGAACGGTTTGTTTGGATCGGCACAACAATTCTGAAATTGGAAAATTGACATCTCTTGTTGCGAAGGCCCAATAGAAGCCCAGAAATGAGGATGAGGATTGAGGAGGGGTGTATGTATGTACTATAAATACAATAATAATCTTCGCGTGAGGCAAACCTAAACGGAGGCCAAAGCATCTAGCCGCCGCTCGCTCGCTTGCATCCGCCGTAATTTCGAAGCGCACAGCCTTGAATCTTGATTGAGGAGGAGGGAGAGGATGGGGAGGCCAACGGCCCGTCATAACGGCTCGGGGTCGGCACGTCCGTGCATACCAGAGAGTATATACGATGTAATTCTTTCGATCCAATTGTGACTGACTAGTTTGTCTTCTTTTCGATCCAATTGGGAGGAATCTCGCTTGCTTTGCTTATTTTTGGTTGTTAAATCGGAATTCGGAAATTTAACAAATTCTCTTTCTTTCTTGTATGCTTTTATTAATGGATCTTCTAGCCCTTCGTGGGCAAGGGTACAGCACGACTTATTGAAAAGATCTGGGATCATAATGATCCTCGTTCAAGTCCTTGCTTATTCAAACTTTATGCATTGCTGGGCCTTCATCGTTACAATTTCTACGAGGTAAAATCATTATAACTCTTCTTTCATCATTAACAATTTCACCGTCCACATTAAATAATGAGAAACAATTTCTTCAGGGGACAAACTATGCGCTCCGTCGCATAGAGAAATACTATAAGGAAGGAGTATCGGCATGTAAAACCTTGTACATAACTTGTGTTGCAAGCGATCCAGCAAACGATTCGCCTCAGGTTTTTTGGATCAAAATCTGGGAAGGACAATGTGGTGTACTAGATTTGACGTGCGCTATTGCTGAACCTCGAGGTAACAACATTTCTTGGTGCATTCTTTAGCTCTTCTTCTGTATTAATTATTAATTACTACTAAATGGCCGATTTTGAAAATCTTGTATCTATAGATGGTCCCAGGACAGGATCAGTGAGTCGTTTCCCTGACTTCAGACTCAGTTTCCCTGAGTGGCCGTCAGACAATTCTTTCAGTGATACAAAGCGGTTTTACGTGGTAATTAAGATTCAGACAACACTTTTGCATGTGTTTTGTTTCCTCTCATGAACTAGTAGCAGTGATAATGATTGTCTTTTTTTGACAGGTGAAGAAGTCAGAGCTTCAAGGACGATGCCAATAACTGGATTCGTCTATATGTGGAACTTGCGATTGCCACATACCCTTCTCTTGCTGGAGAGAAGATGATCTGGCCAACTTGGAGATTGTGGATGTGGCTATAGAATCTACGCAAGGTCCAAGGGAGGGACTCACTGCTAAAGATGCTACTGTCTACATACGTTACAAGGACCCAAGCGAGGCTCGGGCTGGTATGGAAGTTGATCGAGTTGCTATGGTCAGAAGAAGCTATGACGAGGAGTCGGGATGGTTTAATCTCACGGGTTACTGTAGGGCTTCGTCAGAAACTGAGCCAGATGAGGACTTTGCCAAATTGGCTAAGTCCAGACGAGACTATGATGAGCGTCGGCTCAATCTCAGTAAGAGTTCGTCGTCAGAAATTAAGCCAACAGAGCATGGTAAGAGTCGGAGAGTGCAACGTCTGTCTTCTCGTTTTGCCAAGTTGCGGCTCAATCTCAAACCGTTGCGGCTGCCTAGTCTTGTGCGGCGTAAGGCATCCAAAAACCGTGGTCTGCACAAGACAAGATCCACTTGAAGATGTGGATCAGATAATAATAAAACTATCTTATCAGTATTCAGTAGTGGTATGTATGATTATTAATTATGTGCGTTTGGATTGGCAAGTACGGTTTGTTTTTCTTTCTCTTTTTGCGATGTGTTGTTGTTCTGCTTGACTTATCGAACTTATTTAAATCACATGTGGTGTCATGATGGTCAATAACCTGTTCACAGGTCAATCTTGAGACTCTAGCTCCTGCTTTTTCCTTTTAAAATTGTTCAATACATATCAAATTAATAACCCTAAAAACGCACAATCGAAGATCTGTAGTTACACCATTGTAGTTGAAATATGGAGGATGAGATGAAATGCTAAACCGACGAAACAGAACACTAAATCTCATTCACAACACTGGTTCCTTCCCTAATCTCCCACCTAAAATACGGAGAGTTTTTGTACAAAACCATTCTATGACTAACAAACCATTGAAACTGAAAAATAGCAGCAAGAAAAGGCGTACCTAAGACCACCCTAGTCCCTACTCCAAACATGATTAGAGGAAACCATCTACATTGCTGAAAACGTTGACGCAATACATATATGCACACAAAAGGTGTTTCCGAAAACAGACGTGAAGCTGCTAAAGATTGCTTGGAATGGCATAACATAACAGAGACGAGAAAACATGGCAATTATACCGTTAAACTCCTACGTGGTATATGTACCATGAATCGATTTAGGTATCTACATATTGGCCTGCTTCCAATCGATGCAGCTCCGAAAACACAAAAAGAACCTAGACTGGCTTCAAGCTTCCCAAAACCTAAACGCGAAACCCTAGGAGAGCCACAGTATTGAAGTTCAACTACAAATGCAGATAGAGGTTTCTTCCTGATCCAAAACTCTGGGCATAATCTTCCCATATATTGTTACTATGCAACCATAATTCAAGCAGCGAATGGAAGGCTACGCACAGACCATAGATAATTGAGATCGTCGACTGTCAGCCGAGTCGCAGAGCTTCCACCATGATCTTCACCGAACGCAGATGCAGCCATTTTTCTTTTATCGTCCTGATAAGAAAAACAATTCAAAACTCAGACACATGGTTTTCCAAGAAAACATCGAGCTACTTACAAACGTATCATCTTTTCCAACAAAAACCACATCAATTTCAAACCAAGTATGGAGGAAGAAAAAGGAGAACCTTGAATTGTGATCGTGAACCTTCCTGAAGCCTCATGTAAAAAGATCGCTCCTCCACTGAAAAGTCTACCTGGCTCAAGTTAAGTTTCTTTGGAGGTATATTAATTATGGGTTTCCCGTCAAGCAATGTTCCTAAATAGCAGAACACAAGATATTCAGCAGAAACCATCAACAGCATCACAGCTACATACGAAGTTAATAAGAGCAAATTAAAAATCTACAGTCGAACAGGAAAAGGATCTCATCCAACGAAAAGGAAAAATACACAAATGACAAGACAATTAATATTTCATAAACCTCTCGACCAGAGAACAGCTGCTGGTTTAGTACACCTTGTTGCACAATTGTTGGAGCCTTTCATGCCATCTTTTTTCTCGTGAGGTAAAGGTTTTTGACTTTTGATTGATTAATGATTGTTTTTTGGATTAACCTTGATTCACGAAGAATGATGCTAAGTACATTGAATCAAAGAAGAATGATGCTACGTGTATATCAAGGATTTGGTATATTACATTGCATTAGCTCTGTAGTTTTACGATCTCATTGGCTTGTTGTATGTTATAATATTAATCTCTGTGAAATTATGTGATTACAGAAAGATGAAGAAAGGCAACAGTACAAAGAAAAGTTCTCTTGAAGTCAAGGCTATGGATGTAGAAGCAGCTAAATCTCGTGGAGCAAAAACTTGATGTAGGATTCTTTGTTTTACATACATGAAAGCACTTTTACAACATTTGTTTACCAATCAGACTTTAAATATACTATTTTCTCTCTTAAACACTCCCAAAAAGAAAAGTCAAAAGTCAAAACTCACCTTTCTTTCTCTCACAAAACAAAAAATGAAAAAAAGTAGCTTTTCTTTTCACTTGAATTATTGTACTATATATATGCAGAGAAACCCAAAAAGGAAACAAATGTAATTACTATATATTAAAAAGGAGAGAAATTTGTACAACCTTGTAATATGCGGTCCTGAGAGTATTGGTTCTTAGCTCCTCTTGGCATTCTTGAGATTACGTAGGGTCATGACAAGTTGTTGTCTCTCACCTTCAACTTCTGCAAATCTTAACACTTATCTCTGAATCTCTCTCTTGCATCTCCTTCTACTCCATCTCCATTAATCCATTTTGGTCTCTTAGCCACGCTACTTCTTTTACCAAGTCTTCAAGATCAGCATCACTGTGTCTCATGCATCTCCTACATATTTATAGATGGGGAGAAACAAATAAAATAATACAACATAGGCTGTGTCGAAACTTATGGACTAAGTAATGAAGAAGATAATCAGTGATATATTATGTTAGAACAGATAGCATTACTATTCCAAAACAATTGATTTTTTTTTTTAATTTAGCATTATGATGAAATTGATATTATTGGACACTATATAATTGTAGATAGACAAACTAAATCTAACACACTTACAATTACAATAGTTGTATATAGTAATGCATAAATTGTTATAATATCAGTCACAATATATTCAACGTACGCTGACCACCAGACATGCATTGGAGATTAGAAGAAAGGAGGAAAACATGCAAGTGATCAATAAGAACAAATCTATGTGATCCAAATTTTAAAAACATCTCCCCACGCTTCTATGAACAAATGAGGAAAGCGAAACGGCACGCAGTTCTCATTACAAGAGTAACTAAACCAAAATTTAACCTATAACCATAACTATAGACTTAACTGAAGATCTATACAAACTTTTGGATGACACATAACCACTGAAGCAACGTCACTTCCTTAAAAAGTGTAAGCGACCATTATCTATCTATTGCTAAAAGAATCAAAAGCGGTCGTAGCAGTGATGAAGCCACGGCGGTTGAATCAGAAGAAGAAAATAAAGAAAATATTATAATTGCTGCATCGAAATACCAAACCAACGCATCTAAATGATTAAAGATATGCAAGAGCTACATGATGGGTCCCACTTTCCGAACTGATTTTTGTCTATTCGACCAAAATTGACCGGCCGAGTTCAAAACAATCTATCGACCAACATGTATAGATCTTCAATTAAAGTTTGTCTCTTCTCTCTACAGTATTTGTTAGAAGGTTGTATTGTTATAGGACTGATTGGGCTAGAACGAACTCTAAAGTAGGAGTAAGAAATTAAGAAGTACTGAAGTTTGATAGACTTTCAAGGATGACCATGTTTGGTACACACAAGACAAGAGGTATCTGTTTCGAAGCAAACACAAAACAGTAACTGTCATTGTTAACATTGCGAGAAAATATCGGAAGTGACTGTATTTTTGATGCGACGTAGTAGAGGGAAAGAATGACACTTGCTCTAAAGTCAAAGATCACATGCTGAAATAGAGGAACAAATTTTAGAAGCAAGATCAATTTCTGAAAAAGGTTAAAGCGACAATTATCTATTGCTAAAATAATCAAAGGCGATCGTACCAACTACCAAGTGAGAAAATTTTGAAAAAAATAGAAGAAATGACAATTTTGATTTAAGGCCAAAAATAAGAAACTATCGTCACTTCAAAACAATGACATAATGTTTGGAACTGCTTCAAAGTAGCGAGAGGCAACGGCTGCATCACAAGAAGAAAAGCATCACAAGGATGACCATGCTTGGTACACACAAGACAAGAGGTATCTGTTTCGAAGCAAACACAACACAGTAACTTATAAAGTACGATAGATGTCATTGTTAACATTGCGAGTAAATATAGGAAATGACTGTCTTTTTGATGCGACGTAGAATGACACTTGCTCTAAAGTCAAAGATCACATGCTGACATTTACTCAGTTTCCTGTCTAAGTATGTTCAAAACAATGACATTATGTTTGGAATTGCTTAAAAAGTAGCGAGAGGCAACGGTTGCATCACAAGAAGAAACGCATTTTCTGCATCAAAAATGCCAATGTGTAGCAGCTTTCATGAGGCTTTCCTTACTGTTATGCGGGAAGCCTAACAGTAACTAACAACAGATAAAACTAATTATGACGTCAGTTTTTCTGATCACTGGATCCCAGGTCAGACTTTAAATATACTATTTTCTCTCTTAAATACTCCCAAAAAGAAAGTCAAAACTCAAAACTCACTTCTCTTTCTCTCACAGAACAGACCATTTTCCCACTTTTCACTTGATTTATTATATACTATATATATGTAGAGAAACCCAAAAAAAAACAAACAAGTGTAATTACTATATACTATAAAAAAGAAGAGAAATTTGTACAACCTTGTAATATGCGGTCCTGAGAGTATTGGTTCTTAGCTCCTCTTGGCATTCTTGTCTCTCAGCTTCAACTTCTGCAAATCTTAGACTTATCTCTGAATATCTCTCTTGCATCTCCTTCAACTCCGTCTCCATCAATCCATTTTACTCTCTTAAGCCACGTTACATCTTTTACCAAGTCTTCAAGATCAACATCACTGTGTAGCAAACAAACAAAAAACACAATCAGAAATGATCGCTATTTTCTTATGTCTGTATCATTGGTTCAGGAACACACATAGCTCTTGTTCGATGACAATACTTCTCTGCTTTGCAAAGCAGTAGCGTCTTGACAGTGCAGAGATTCTCCGGTCTGTTCATAAAACAAACCTGAGTTATGTGCTAATCGTTTTAAGGTTGTAGGAATGCATTTTGATTATTGTAAAGGTTATAATTCTGTACCTCTTGGTTGTTGAGTCTAGTCTCCAACTCTTTGATTCGGTAATCAAATATTTTTCCTTTTCGACGAACATCTTCGAAGAGGCTTCCAAAGCCTTTTCCTTCATTTTGATTTGTTCCTGAATTACAAGGAAAATTTGGCATCAACAACAAAAGACTTAGCTAAATAATGAACACTATATAATTCTCTTGCTTGAGTATCTCGTAATCTAGAGAAAGCTGCTCCACCTGTATCTCAAGGTCTTCTTTGTCTCGTTTATAGATCTCTATCTCATTGTAGAGATCAGTGATCCTTCGCTCAAGAACATGCGCTTCTTTCGCATCCATGTGTCCCTTCACAAGCTCATCCAATGCCTTTTGATCCTCATCTTCTTCATCTGTCTCACTTGTGCAAGACCTTCTTCTCCTGGATTCTTCGGTGTTAATCTCGCACGGTCTTGGTCTAGGAAAATCGACTGCCCTTTTACGTCTTTTCTGCCCCAACATTGCTTCAAGATCTTGCACATCAAGGATCAACTCTGTGTTCGAATCTTGCGTCTTCTCCAACTGTAACCGTAGATTGGAATTCAGATCCTTCTCATAATCAAGCTCTTCTTGAGTTGCTTCTAAAACAACTTGCGGATCACTTCCTTCAAAATGCAACTTGTTCCTAATTTCGGCCTCGTCTTTTCGCTTGTCAGATGCTTTTAACACTCTCACAATCTTCTTCCAGTGAGTCTCTCTCTTGCTTCAGGCTAGTCACTTCCCTCAAGAGATCCTGACTTCATTTAGTCTCTTTAACTATTTGTTTCCTCAGGCTCTGCAGCTCCAACTCCGAAAGATCCGCTCTCCTTGCCAGAGCAACGACCTCGGCTTTAAGCTTCTCTACCTCTTCATCCGAGGAAGTCCTTGTGGTGGTGTCTCTCCGGATGGTAGTATCATTTGAACTATTCATGGAGTCACCAGAGGCAAGACCACGTTTTTCAGTATTCTTTTCATCGTTCGCATCCTCATCCACCAAAGGCCTTTTGGGAACTTCATTGGTAACAACTAACAATGGCGTAAGTTGTCACAACCACATCGTATTTAGCTAATTCAACAGGATCTTTGGTCCTATTACCACCATGGTAGACTAAAACAGAAAGTTTGCATTCATCAGACACCTGCTCATCCAGTTCTCTTGCCCACTGCCTTACAACACTTGCTGGACAAACAATTAATGTACCAGCGGCTGGACTCTTCCGGTTAAATGCCCGTGTTGAAAGTACTCACGTTGACGTTCTCCATATCTGAACTGCCATTCTCATCACTACCACCAGCAGTCATAACCTTGGTCTCACTGTTGCTTGATATCTTGAGCTATGGCTTTACATGACTATCACTGTCATGCTTTGCATTTTCTGACTCATCATCAGCATCCAGGTCCAATAGCTTGAAACCTCAGAGTTTAGCTGTGACTCAAACTTTTGCTTTAAGATAAGAGCGATTGTCGAGACTGTCTTACCAAGTCCCTGCAAAAATAGACCTTACATAGTGTGAGGGAGAAAACTACGTC